ACCATCAGATGAAATTAACAGTTCTCCTAGGTCAAGAAATGCCTGTATTGTAGTCCGATAGAAAAAATTAAAATAAAAGTTCGAGCTAGGATATGGCTCGCCATACATACTAAAATTTCAAGATGCATTTCAAAATGACCACATAACACCTCAACTCTATTCATCCAAAAACAACTATTATCATCTTGGCTATGTACAGAAGCATCCTGTTTTAGTATGGGCACAGGATGTGAGACTCAGCCAGTTGCTAGATAACCCATGAGGATACAGCTACACACAAGGGTTCCAGTGAGCATTATACTAAACATGTACCATCATTATCAACACTATTACTGTGTTTCTTTGCGAAGACAGAAGAGCAACAAAGACAAACAATGATGAAAAAAGTATATACAAGGAGAACCCCTAACCAATTGGCATAGCAAACCTCTAATAAACAGAGATTAACGTAAGAGTGCTACACCAATAAACAGGAAAGAAAGTATCAGACACATGTGGACTGTGGGCATAGGTTATGTTAGCAAATTCACACAAACCAATTCTCACTGGGGAAAAAATCCACAAGGACACAACTCATCAAAGAATAATAAAGAGGATTGATAACCTGGGAATCACATGGGTCAATTTTTGTAGCCTTCCTCATAAATTCCAAGGCCTTCTCAGTCTGTCCAAGCTGAAAATATATGTGCCCAAGGACCTAGAGAAAAGGGAAATTAGCAAAGAAAATCAAACTAACAGAAAAAATATATCATTGATGCCAACATACTTTCATTTCACATTTCAACTCACTTTCAACGCGTCACAATTATCAGGGTACACCTCCAAAACCTTTTCAAAGTTTGATAGTGCACTTCTAAGATCTCCCATCTTCAGTTGTACTTGTCCCAAACCTGTCACCATGAGCCCAAAAATTATGCACAGAACTAGGTGAATGCAAACAATATTACATGAATATAAACCTGCTTCTCCGTGCAGATTTCGGCATACTACTGAAAAATGTCTTATTAACAGGCCTAGTTGAAGTATGCATGCCAAGGAAAACAATGACAACAAAAGATGTGGACTTAAAAAGAGAAATTATGTTAAAGTCTTGCAGAAGATATATTACATTACAATCATTACTAATACTATGCCAAAACATCATACTCAGGCAAAGTATAAGCACAGAAGATTGTAATGATTGATGGTAACTGACCATAATAAGGAAATACGAACTCAAGGGGTTTACTGATTTCCTTGACAGATGCCATGTAGTAAACTCCAGCCTTCTCATAGTCCCCCTGAAATCCAGCGAAAATAAACATTTGTAACGTTTGTGATCCATTGTATGCATGACTAAAATGTATAAAGTTGATGTCATCAAATCAAATGAGGCCACAAGACTTGCTAATAATTTATCTTCACTTATTTGAAAGTGTTCGTTGCCAGCAGTTAGTAACAGTATTGATGACAATTTCATTATCGGGCCACCTTATGCATTTGTTTATAGGAACCACAATAGATGGTCGAGTTGCATGTGGAGCTAAATGCTGCCTAAGATAAATCACTAATGGATGATCAACCACATTTAAACACACACACACACAGAAGTCGCCAGAAAGCATGTGATTGTACAGAACACAACTTCCTCCGCCTCAAAATTTCCAATTAATACAATACAGAAAATGTAAAGAACCCCTTAATGATAACAAGAAAAGCATGACCTCTTCATAAACAAAATAATAATAATATAATGCATAATCTTTTACTAACCTTGCTATGGTAAGATCGTGCCAAATTGTAGTAGGAATGTGACTTTGTCGGTCCATGGTTGGTGACAGCAAGTGCAGTTTCAGTTAGTTGCTCAACTAGAAAGTGCTGACCAGTGTAGAAAAAATGGTTTGCCAAATAATTCAAGGCCATTGCGCAGTAGGGGTATATCTCAAAAGCTCTCTGCATTTTTTCCATTCCTCTCCTTATTCCAGCAGCTGTCAAGTAGTATATCCTGAATATTAGACTGCTCGAAAGAGAGAAGTATGGACAAATAATAACTATCAAACTAAACACAAGTGCAACATATAGAAATGCTGACTTGTATGGTTGTACCTGTATTTGCATGCAAATCCATAATCGCAAGTGCAACAAGAGCCTCAACATTTTCTGGATCTAGCTGCAAGTATAAATTCATTTTGTTAGAAACTGTGGCATTTAACACCTTCACCTTATATTAATGCATCATTCATTCGCTGATATCACTTGCCTGTAAAACCCGTTGAAAGGCCTGCCGAGCTTTTTCAAATTGACCCATTTTGTAACGACAGAGACCTATGCCAAGTCTTACAGCCGCAGGACAATCGGGATGTACTTGCAGGGCCCTCTTTATCAAATTTCACAAAAGACAAGTTAAATCAACAATTAGCGTTCGTAAAAGAAATATCTTCACAAAATTACCAAATTTCTACACTGCAGAGGGCTACCCATAACCCCAACCAATTCAAATACAAATAACGACTTCTAGAGGTTCAGACCATATACATTCTTATGTTCTTCCCATTAGCAAACAGTGGGGTGAAAAATACAAACCTTGTACAGCTCCAATGAATCTGAGTAATGCCCACGGTTGAACTCAACGCATGCCTGAAAATAACAGGGGCAAGGTGTTCACAACAAATGAAGCATATCTACACTAACCCAAGCCCAACCCAATTTGGTCTCTCTTGCTCTCTCTGGGACAACCAGCTCTGTTATATTTCAAATGAGTTCCCCCTTGGTCTTAATTTAAATTCTATTCCGTTAGCTGCTATCTAACACTAAATTAGTCACTCCCATGTACCATTGCCAATTTTCTGGCCACAGGGCCATGCTCATAGATCATGGATTCACAGCTAGCCAAGTACCTCACATGTTAAAAATTTACACCCATAATCAACACGCTTTAGAAAGAATTATTGAAAGGAAAAGAGACAGTGTTCAAGATATGATATACTGATAAAGCCAAGATGAGGAAGAGCAATAACTAAAAAACTAACTATATCTTCTATTTTCCTTATCATATGCTGATATATTCATCACATCTTTATCCATGCGATCTTTGAAAATGGCAAGCATAATTACTTTGCTAAGCAGAGAAATTCAATGTATATACCTGACCCAAAAGGGCAGGAACGTTGTCCCGGTCTCCATCTAATACAATTTTGAATGCAGAAAATGCTTGATCAACTTCACCTTTAGCCAATAAAAGCTGACCTGAAAGACATGTAATAAAATTTCAAGTATCATAGGATGCATCATATAACAGCAGCAAAAAGGTTGCCCCTACATTATCTCACAATATAGATTCTTCTGTGACACTCATTGAGAATTTAGACACATAGTAGTACAAGTAAGCAGTAGATGTATTATAGACCAAAACCAGCAAGTTTCAGAACATAAATTGCAAACACAAAGAAACTTTATGTGCCATACAGACAGAAGGATACACAAAATTTCTTTGGATTCCATACTTCACGACTACGACATGAACAAGAACATAAGACCAGTTATTGAAGACTCTAAGATGCCACATCAAGCAGTTTCTAGGATGGCAAACTACAGATCAACTACCAAGCTAGTCTCATCACACACAATGTCATCCGAAAAACACACCCTAAATCCAAAATCCAGCAAAGGCCTATGTTTTTGGACAATTCAGTTCTCATCATGAACGTATCAGAAGTTCTAAGTAAGTAGAAATCAAATCTTCAGTCAGATAGATGACAACATAAAGAGGCTCTGGGGTATCCACACCTTTCCCAACCCAAGTAGAAGGCTCATGAATGTCGATTCTAGATGCTTTGTTGTAAAATTGTGTTGCTAGAATGAAATGCTCCTCCTTTTCTCTCTGTTTGGTCTCAATTTTTCCGAGGTAGGTGTAGTAGGCCCCTAAAGCATTCAAGATCGCAATCCTCTCATATCGAACATCAGCATAATACTCATCAATCTCTGCATCAAGAAAATAATAATAATAGCCAACATTACTCCACAATTTAAACACAATACGATAGACATTAAGCACCTATAGCAAGTACGAAACAAAAATTAAAAATAAAACAATTTCAGATATTGCAAGTGCCGGGAAAGAATGATTACCAGAGCCAGACCCTTCCTCCAAAATCTGGCGGAACTGCTCAAGTTTTCCTTGTTTGAAATACTCTCTCTGCAGCATTGCCAGTTAAAAAGTAAACAGCATATTCATCGTTTTGTATTAGAAAAATAAATACAAAATTCACTATTATCTTGCATTAGCGTAAAAATTGAAACGTAATTGCTCAGCAACTCAAACAATCATGCCATGAACAAAACATTAAGCATATCCTCTAACAGAAAAGGCATTTAAATCAAAAAACTAAAATGCAAAAAAGACGAACCGCGATAATGAGCCAGAGATCGAGAGAGGCTTGCTCGGCTTTGAGAATGTCGATGATATCAGTAGCTTCCCTTGGGAGCTGATCCAGAACCACCCTCACTTCCTCCTCTGAATTCTGAACCGGTATGTACACGCACGCCATTGATTCCCCCAATCACCAAAAAGCCCAAAAATAAAAGAATAAAAGACAGGTTATCCAAACGAAACCCTAGCTCTCTGCCTATCTCTCTCAACTCGTCTTCGGTGAACTGGCCGCAGGGCGAGAACGGCCACCAATTAGACGCAAAGCACGCGACTTTTCTTCGCGTTTGAACTTCGAAGGTTGTGCTGTGAAAAGACGAAGACCGCTCACACAGTCACTGTCTTCTTTATGGTGTTTCTCATAATATACCAAGCTCTCTGTTTTAAAATACAACCGGAAGAAATAGCCTTTTTTTTTTTCTTTTTTTTAAACCGCCTCGCGCTAAAGCCTAGTCCTTTTGGGAAACCCAAAAAAAGAAAAGAAAAAGACCAATTTACTCAGCTCTCTCTCTCCTCTCTCTCTCTAAGGCTTCATCTTCGTCAGCGGCTCACGGCGACTATAAAGCCCTAAGCAGAACCGTTGGAATCTGAGACAATGCCACTGAAATGGTAAAGATTGAGAACCCTATTCTTAGGATCGGAGTATTATGTATAGTAAGTTTTGTGTTTGATTTTCTTTTGGGTTTTAGGGTTTTGCATTGGCAGCCCAATGCAGGGACGACAGTAAACAGCCAAATCATCAACGAAGTGACGCAGTGCGTTGAGAGCATCAATGGCGTTAAGGAAGGCAGGTGGAAAGCCACTATCACCTTCTACAAACCCATGATTCGAGGTAAATTTCTCTTCTTTCATGTTTTCAATTTTGTTTTTCTCAATTTTGTATTATGGGTCTTGTCAATTGTTATGAAGTTGGATTTTGATATATATGTACATGTATGTACATCAGAGCAGACTTTAGCATGGGACTTCCCGCGTGATTTTCTGGGGATTGCGCTGCCGGAGCAACCGAATAAGTACTACCTTATAATCCGATTGCAGCGCATAGTTCTTGAGGCTGATTCATCTATTCAGATGATTATGGAGAAATTACAGTCTTACAAATCGAGGCTCTCTCTTAATTTTGAGGTCCCCCCTTCCTCTCTCAGTTAGTCTAATTAGGATGTTTAATATCCTGATAAGGTCCAAACAGAGAAAATGGTTTTAATATGATTCTATGTTGGTGTTGTAGGGATTTCAATATCAACTTGGGGACTTCCAATTGAGAGTGGGGAAAGTTCTTCCCACTCATTCTGAAAATTTGAGAGGAATAGTTATGGAGGTACGGACGTGCTCTAAGCTTGAAATTTGTTGGAGATTTGAATACTTTTTTATGGGATTTTCCATTTCTATATTTGGCAAATTTTTTACTATTGGTGAAGTGAGATATGCATTTTGAAATATCTGAGATTGATAAGGCTTTTATTTTTTTGGGCAGAAAGAGATCGATAAGGTTTGCCATTGAGAAAGTGCCTTTTGGTTTCATTTGAGTGTGTTGGCGTCTAACTTTGACTATTTACAAAAGCATGGGATTAATATGCCAAAAGGAGAGAGCTATATCACAGTAAAATTAAACTATGAAAAGTGTGTATCTCCCAAATGTGTTTGGGAGCACTTTATAGTAATGCATGATGGAAGTAGTTTACTTGTTTAGCTACCTTGATAAGAGTTTTCTCACAAGATTGGAATACAGGCTGGATTACTATTTGCCGAACAATGCGAATTCCAAGCTCTGGTTAATATATGATGTTGGTTTCATGATGATTATGTCCGGCATGCACTTTATAGATTGGCTTAGATTGATTTCTGAATCTCCCTGTTGACTTTGATTAATTTCTAAGAAAAGGCAAATCTTTTTAACTACAAATGTTTTTGGTTTCAGATCAGTGCTTTAGCTTAGGATTGTGATTGTGCTCTATGAAATATTTAGCAGTGTATGAATTTGCTAGTCTTCAGATTGTTGGTCCTTATATGGTCTTTTTTCCCCTTGTTTCCCCAAGTACCCTTGACTATTCGTCTGCTAAAACGACTGATATTTTATCCAACATCTATTTCATATTTGCTAGATGTTAATCTGGGAAATATTTTCATGCTGTCATCGTCTTGGATCCTTTTTAATTGAAGTTGCTTGTGTTGTACAGGTGGAGTACCTTCCCATTTCTTCGATGGAAAAAGCAAGGCAAGTCATGGAAGACTTTATGGATATATGGCAACAGGCTTTGTCAAAAAGATCATTACCAGGGCACTTCATGCACATGGAACCAAACTTTGCTGAGTATGGCCTTGCAGACCAGTATACTTCACAACATACTGCTGTCCAGTATGCTACTGTTATGGCTCAACTAATTGCAACAGTGCAGGCAGTGCAAGCAAGAAATTAGGAAATGAATAAGAAGAATTTGTTGTATGTCACTTGTCAACTGGTTTTATGAATGGATAACTTCAATCTTAGTTTCTTTGGGACTAACACTCCCTCTGTTTGGATAGAGGAAAATGAGGGAGGAACGAGGGTCTGTACGCAGGTTTGATTGTTCATGGAAGACAAGAAAGTAAAGGCTTGGGTTCTTTAAATGGAAAAATAGACTTATTCATTACCCTTTTTACAACACATTGTTAACTTATGCTTTCGAGTAAAGCTGCTTCTCCATTTACTTCGTGTTTTCCACATCCCATTGAAGAGGGCGAATGTCCACAACTTAGTTCTTATTTCTCTGACAACTATAGTATAAACGTATCACAGAGGATTTTTTAAAGAATAAATATTTGCTATTTTGATAAACATCTTGAAATAACAGGTAAACGTAAATCCACATTCAAAAATGAAATAAAGATTAGGAGCGCATAGCATTTGCCCAAGTTTAGAAAGAAAATATGACAAAAATAGAATTCAAGAAACAAATTTGATAAGAGAAAAAAGATGTAAAAAAACTCAGAAACAATAAGGCAGCAGGCCTAAGTTTCTCAAACTGGGCCTTGCCACATATATATATATATATATATATATATATATATATATATATTCCAAACCCATGGGAGTCAGCAAAGAAGTTAAAAGCCGAGACAACCCTTTGCTTTTTGCACCTACTGAAAGATGGTGTGCGAGTGTAAAGGGGCGCACGTCCACGTGAAGGCACACAGAAGCACAGCTTAGGGCCTAAGCGGCGCTCTATAAAAGCCGGATTTGTTGAAAGCGAGAGGGGGGTTTGGTTTGGTTTGGTTTCATTAGCGTTAGCCACCCTCTCTGCCTCTCCCACGGTCATCACTCTGCTTCATTCTCTTTCATTACAGGTTGCCTCCATCATCATCATCATCATCATTATCATCATTGTGCATAGAAGAGGCCAAGCAACAGCCTTGGCACGAACCCACTTGACCAAAATCTGGTTTTTGCATTTGTTATACATGGGCTGATGAATTTTTTGTCTTTAATTTTATTTTTTGGTTTCCTGCAGATTGTCATTTAATCTCCAATGGAACCAGAACGAGCTCCCAGGAAGGTTTGTTTGATACCCTGCTTTTGTTGAATTAATGTCCTTTTGTTTTTCTTTTAAATTCTTCAATAGTTTTACTTTTGTTTTCTTCTGATTTTCTTTGCTCTGCTGCAGATGAGATTCATACCAAAAGCTCCCCGCAGAGTGCCAAAGCCTGAAGTCAAAACGTATTTGTCACTTTTTGTTAAACTTGAAAGTTGTACCCTTTTCTGGTTTAATCTGTTTCTTAACTTCTGTTATTCTTAATCTCTCAACAGCGAAGTGGACCATGGGGCGGAGTCTGATGCTGAAAAGGCTAAGGAATTGCTGAAACGCTTCAATGTAACTGTGTTTTTCATTGATATGGATGTCATGGTTTCAATTTCGTTTCTCATCTCCCATATCTCTTTTGTTTTGTGTTTTTGTTGTGTGTGTGTTTTTTTTTTTTTTTTTTTTTTTTTTTTTTTTTTTTTTTTTGCTCTTTTCTTATAGGAACAATCATCAAGGGCGAGGCTCAAAGTTGAAAAGAAAGGTAAGGCTCTTCGGGTTTAAATAAGCCTGATATCAATGCACATTTGTTTTTTTTCATTTTCAGTTTACTCAATAACAAGTGTATAACACAACATATGTAATTCTTCACTTTTATTTCGGCATCTTACACCTGCAATTAACTCAATAAAGTTCAAATCAAATAAAATAGTCAAATAATATGTAGTGAAGTTGTGATCCAATGGAAAATATGCTATAAAATTTGTATCTTGTGGGTATTTTGTGGGAGTGGGTTGAACTTGGCTTAAGTAGAGGAAATTTGCATGTCATGATATGTATTCTCTGAATAAGATAATATTTCCTACAATTTGTTGGGATTAGAATTCTCTGTCACTTATTTTTTGAAATTTGCAGTGGTGCCTACGCAAATTGTATTTGGTTATGGTGGTGCATCAACAACCATGAAATCATATGGTGCTCCCAAGGGTGGGAGCGCTAGTTCAGCCACCAATGGTATGGTCTCCTTCTTTGTACTCTTTTTGTTTAGCTGCTAATGAGATGCTTCTAGTACATCACCTTGGATGGTGTTTTCTGCAGCTGGTGCCTCAGGCTTGAAAGAGGAGAAAGAATACAGTTCACCATGGGTAGGTTACATTACGATTCAAAATATACAAGCCAACTTGACTATGCATTATTGGTTTCTGGTTTCTGCTTTTTCTGTGAACGTCTGTGTGTGTATGACTTTAGTTATTTTTATTTTGGATGTTGTTGCAGGATCAATACAGTTATTACCCTGTAACTCTTCCTCTGAGACCACCATATTCTGGAAATCCTGGTATGTTTTGAGAAAAGCATAGGATTATCAATGATGCAACATGGCACATTATAGGTTGTCTAGTCGTTGCATTTTACCTAATAGGATACGCATTTACAGGTGTGTTTTTTTTTTTTTTTTTTTTTTGGTTTTGTTTTGCTTTCCATCTGATCATTTCTGTTTCATCTACTGTCAAGGTGAAATTCGACTTGTGTTACAAATAAATGCACCTAATGTTCTACCTATACCACTTGCAGAAATTCGTAATGAGGAAGAATTTGGGGAGGGTTCAGAGGAATCAACTTATGATGAAAATTCAACAACACCAGCAAATGATCTTGGGCTGTTGGTTAGTAATCCCACAATTGAACTTCTAACATTACATGCTTAAATCCTTTGATTTAATTTTGATAATTTGTTGGCAGGAGGAAAATAAAGCAACAAGTATGTTCTTTCTTCAGTTACCGCCAAATATGCCTACAATAAAACGATCAGCTACAGCAGATAGCCAAGAGGTAACAAAAAGCTCAGGGCCACCTGGAGGTGCATGCAATATTCAGAAGCCTTGTTCTTTGTCCGAGTTACCAGCTGGCTTCATGGGTAAGATGCTGGTGTACAGGAGTGGTGCTGTCAAGATGAAGATGGGAAATAGCCTTTTTGATGTGAGTACAATTTCATAATAAAGATGAAAAATGGAATGTCTTTTCTTGCCCCACTTAACTGCCCATGCTATTATACATGGATGAAATAATCTTATATTTTTGCACATTTGAACAAACTTCAGTTAACTTTTATGTTGCAATTAATTACTCAAGAAAATATTTTTGTGCACGTGTATAATAATCTTATACTTCCTTCCTTCTTACCTTTTGAATTGTTGCAGGTCTCCCCAGGAATGAATTGCGATTTCGCCCAGGATGTTGTGGTTGTTAATAAAGCAGAGAAAGGCTGTGGCATTATCGGGGAGCTGAACAAGCGAGCCATAATAACCCCAGATGTAGACTCCATTTTAGCAAGTGTAGATGGTTTATGATAGTTTTTTTCTCATTTGCAATACAATTTTGTTTCCTAGGTAACCCTATATACCTTTGAGAGGGAAATTATCTTTGTTTGAAACTATCAGAGAAAATAGTTGACAAGTTCCAATAGCTAGACTAGTTAGGAATTTTTTCCAGTACACCAGCAGCCACCATAATATGCAGAACAGTGGATTGTTTTATACTCATTCAAATGAACATATTGCAACTAATCGTCTTTGTCTAATGGCATTGAAATAAAAATCATATCCTACCATTTAAGTATATATGCTCTGCTCTCTGTTCGAGACATTTGTCAATTCTCCTAAGTTGAATGTATTTGCTTTATAAAATTATTGGAACAAACCATCCTTATGAGGTGAATTGGCTCTCGAACAGTAGTTGCCACTTTCAGAAGACACTGAACTTAATGAGCAAACGCAAAATCTCGACTTCTTCATTATGAACGAAACACACTATGGGAAATATAACAGGCACACATTTTGTGATTTAATATCACATTATTGGAAGTGAAATTTAGACATGGCAGGCTTGTCCAACCTAGAGTTGGTGTAACATAATTTGAGCTCCATGCTGTGGTTGAAGAATGGTAACAGTATAAGGAGCATGAGTGTAGGAAGGTGAGAGCTCGAATGAGAAATGTTGCAGAACCATAGCCAAAGCAAGTTTTGCTTCTATCATGGCAAAGTTTTGGCCTACGCAGGTCCTTGGACCCCAGCCAAATGGAAAAAATGCTTGCTGATCCTTCGACGCCTTTGAAACTCCTGCGGAGAATCTCTCTGGTTTGAATTCCCCTGCATCAGCACCCCAAAGCTCCGGATCATGGTGAATGAGTAGTGTTGGCAGAGTAATATCAACTCCTGCTGGAGCAATGATGTCCCCTATTTTGGTTTCCTTGTAAGTATGTTGATACTGAGCAATTGCCGATGGATACAACCTTAGAACTTCATTAAGTATCATGGTTACCTGCAAGAGAATTTTATACAAGTATGCGATTGTAAAGAGAGAAGAGGATGTGTTAATCACCCTTGTATGTGATTGCAGAGAGAAATACTCACAATCTTGAGGAGGCTTAGAGTTTCAAAATTAGGTTCTTTTTTACCACAAACTTGTAGGACTTCTTGCCTTGCCCTTTCTTGCCAGTCTGGGTGCATGGCTAAAACAATCATGGTCCATGTTAGCCAACTTGAGGTTGTTTCTTGGCCAGCAAGGTAGAACTGCTTGCACTCTTCTACCACCTCTTCAATTGTCAACATCTCATTGCTTCTTGTGTTCCTTACAGTTTCTGATAAGTCCGTCTGATTATTAGACTGCAAGAGCGTGCCTAGCAAGTCATCAACCCTGGATTCTCCGGCCCTTATTGCATTCATTTTCTTCTGGATTATGTTTCGCAGCATTGATGTGATATCTTTGGCCAATTTCTTTCTCCTTTGATTCTTTTTTGTTGGAAAAAACCTGTATTAAATGGTTAAGATGTTAATTTTCTCAAGAACTGATATTAAATACTATGCAGGGGAAATATTAGGCAATGGAAATGCACCTGAAACCAGGAATGTATAAGGTAGTCATTGCTTCAAATGTTAGCACAAGAAGCTCTTTCTGAAGCTCAAAGACCATCTTCCCTTCTTCATAGGTGCTTCCGAATGCAGCTCGAGAAATAACATCTGCACTAAGTTTCTGGATTTCAGGCCATATATCCATTTCCCAAGCTCCTTGAAGAGGAACCATCCTTTTCCACTGCTCTATCATTTCCCCACAACTAACTGCGAAAACTGGTACCATTTCCTACAACAACAAAAACAGCAGAAATGACTTATTCTGAAAAAGAATTGAATCTGTAAATCAGAAAGAGATGTCAAGCAATAGATAGAACCTTCAGCCTTTCTAGGTGGAAGGCAGGATTGATTATCCTTCTGTGTTTGGCCCACTTCTCACCCTCTAGGCTTGCAAGTCCTTTGGTCAGTATGAGAATGAGAGGGTTCAGGGGTGGCTTATTGAAGTGGCCTTGCCTGTTAGACAAGATTTCTTTCATCATCTCTGTATCCATGATGATCAGTCTTGGTGTTGTCCCAACCCAATACATTGATATCTTCCCTGTGATCAATAAATTGAGAAATTAAGAGATATGAACAAAGACACAATATCAGCAGACAAAAACATAAGCAGAACTAATTAACATGGTGGTTACCATATTTCTGCATATTAATTAGGGTGAAAGGGTCGACGCGTGGCACAATCTGGTGAGTTAGGCTCATAGGCTTAGACCATGCTTCCTTTATGAGCTTCACAAACTCCTTCATGTCTCCAATGAGTGGCCTGTAAGGGGTGCCTCTAATCCCTTGGCGCTTCAACTGCCTCTCAAGCCATTTGGGTTTCCACCAAATGGAGTAGGAAACTCTAGCAGCACCATACAACAGCAGAACCAGTGCAAGAGAACATAATAATACTACATATTCTTCCATACTTGAAAAACTGAGAGATTCTTTGAGTGCTAGATATGAATGATGGTTCACAAACTCAAAACTTGAGCATATATATACATATTGCTGAAGAGAGAGAGCTCCCTTAACGTTATTTGTAGAAGATGTTTGAATTTTGAGCTTCCAGTCAAACGTTTATCTTGTAAAGGAAATAACTTGTCAAATCTAAGGTTGTTTTATAATGTTTAGTTGACATTTTTGTTGCCAAATTATGTTTATGTTCCTTCGATTTATTTATCTCTTGGGGAGAAAGTAACAGAGTACTATTGGGATTATAATAATCCTGTGATTCTGGATACGTGGACATGCTGATACAACTTTTGACTTTGTGTTGGGCAATGTTCTGTGTTTACTTGAGGCCCAAATTTGTATGTTGAGTGAGGAACAAGCCTAGACCCACAAAAAATAAATAAATGTATTTTGAGTGTGTAGACAAATGAATAGTAAAATACAAAATAATAGATAACAGAAAGTTTCATTAGTACTTAGCAAGCAGAGATAGAAGCTGAAAAAAATACAATTCACAAGTGAAAACAGAACATTTAATTAACCTAGTTACTTGATTAACGAGACCTCTTCCAACATTGAGAAGAGAAGTAACACTAGACTAATTGAGATAGATGCTTGAAAACTAATGACCTAATTTGCCAGTTTTTGTTTTTCATTACAATGATAAGAAAACTTTGTCTGCCATCTGTTTACCTACTTCAGTCAACTTCAGTCATTTGTTACTCCTTTGTACTTCTTCTGGTGCTGTCTGATCCTGTAAATCATTCAAATAACCGCAAATATATCACATGGCACACATAGATCCAGCTTGTTCTGCCCTCTGCACAGCCAATGCCTTTGAAATCGGACTAAGTAGCGCCGATTCCACCCCAGCCGTCGGATGATAAGACTTCATGATGCAAAATCCAGAGTCAATGACATAATGAATACCAGTCAGAATTAACAATGAAGTTTCGGCTACGCTTGTTGCAAGCACAACCTTCCCGGCCCCTTGAGGTGTAGGCTCAAGAGCTTGTGCATGAATTATGGGACAGATAATCAGCTGGCCATGGCCGCAAGCTTTTGTTAATTGCCTCAACATTTGGTCGACGCCTTCAATTTCTTGTTGAACAGGCAAAAACACCAATATGTCACCAGGTTGTTGTGTGAGTCGTGACTGTGTCACATGAATTTCAAGTGTTCTCGCCACTGCTTGGTTCACCAAGCCTTCTTCCATCTTCTTCATGTGGCTTATCAGATTCCGCAGCCTTCTTCGGGGAATTTTGAAAACTGGGGCAGAATCAAAATAGCCACTCAATTTCTTGGCATCAGTTTCAGTTGAACATGAAATCAGCAGTTTAAAATCGCATTGCCTTGATAGAGCAATATCCTTAAGCTTTCCCAATAAAATATCAGTTGATAAAGTTCTCTCATTGGCCTCATCCACCATCACCACACCATATCCCTCCAAATCTGCCTCACCATCCAATATTTCACGCACCAAAATTCCATCTGTCTTGTATTTGATCAAAACATTACTAGTATGATCAGTTTTATTATCAGGGCTGGAATAGGCTAATATCCAAGCTGGGCCCCTGTTTTCGCAGGCCACTCTGGCAGTGACACTTGGCATAACCGTAGCAATCCCGCGTGTCAGTGTGATCCCAATCTTCTCTTTCTGGCCTTGTGTAGATATTGAGGTATCTGTGTGGTTTTCCCACATCCACTCTGTCCCCAACAATAACAAGAACCTGATGGCTTTCAATTGGTCGAAGCAAATACTGGTAGATGGGTAATCTTTTCTCTCTCCTCATCGAGCTTCTCCATTGAATTCAAGTTTGAATTCGCGCTAGAAGATGGTGCGGATGCCATGCCCACCACTGTTGATGAGATTAGAGGGCTTATTAAACCAAATTGTGCAAGTAATGTAATAGGATAACTTAGGACCCAAGCAAACGTACTGAACCAAATTGGGCTTTATTTGGTACCAAAAATAAAATACTCAAATTGGGCTCTTTAATTCCTCCTTTCAGTGCCTTCCAAGGAGCCAGTCCAAGAATAGGGCACATAAAATTGGGCCGTGTTTGTCACACTAGGAACTTAGTCAATTAAATTATATTTTTATAGGAGTTATTATCAGTGCAGAGTTATTATTGTAGAATCTCCCGATTTCTTTTGGCAGTCCAAAAATACTCATCATATATTAGGGTCATAATGGTGATGGAAAAATCAAATCTAGTTGACCCAATATTGATCCTTCTACTAATTCACACGTCAAACTGTACACCAAACAATTGAAAAAAAAAAAGTGGTTCAGGTTTTTGCCACACCCTAAAATCTAATATATTTCCCTTTGCTTTGCCTGATCCATTATAAATTTTGTAGTTTGGGTCTGGCTAGAATTTAATCTGGGTCTAGCTTTTTTTTTTTGAGTCGAAACACAATTGAAAAGGAAAGGTGACAAACCATACAGCGACCAAACACACTTTAATCTGGGTCTAGCTATAAAGAGCATTTCTAGCATGCTTTTCAAAAGTCCCCTCCATATATGGCAAGAGTTGGTGAAAACCAAGTCAATACGAAAAATCAAAATAAGTATTCCTTCTGAGTCGGTAGAAGAAAATAGATGTCCCTTTATTAAGTTTCAGTAAAACCGTAGCTAGCTAGCTCTATAATTAGTCTTTTACTTTTTTGGCTTGGTGTGATCAGAGATGCATATGGTCATTTGGAGTATACATGTTTAGCAATTTACTTGCCGTATGAAACTAAGTAATTGACTAAGCTCAAACCATAAGGTCATGAGGAGTACATTGAATTTTAACTTTTCTACGACACATTCACCTACTCAGTATTGACGCATGAAATATCATTTTTGTTGAGTCGTCATGACCTATTGAATGATACATTTAATATATTAAGTGGTGTAATGAAATAAACCGATTCCATGAACTAAAAATGCTTCAACCTACAAAACCTCTAGGTTCATGATGCTTCCAAATGACATGAGACATCACTTTGTCAAAGTTAACTTTGACAATGTGTTACTATATCATTATATGCAATGATGAAAAGGATCCAATCTATCTTCAAAATCAATTTATATACAATATATGATCAAAGCAAAACAGAAGTTTCCACAAAGTTTATCTTGTAACTCATTGATTAACAGAGTGAATACATCTCTTAAGAGTAAGCTATGCGTCCTGCTAAGAAAGGAAAAACAAAAATGATAGGGTGTCCATTTTCAATATTTCAGAAGGATGGATTCTTGGCTCACTACTAGTAACATCGATATTGTGCCCACTTAACCACTTTACATATTCGGCATTTGAAGACGTATATGGTGCGCTTAGAGATGTATATGGTCATTTGGAGTATACACGTTTAGCAGTTTACTTGCCGTATGAAACTAAGTAATTGACTAAGCTCACACCATAAGGTCATAGGAGGAATACATTGAATTTTAACTTTTCTACAACACACATTCACCTGCTTGGTATTGACGCATGAAAATATCACTTTGTTGAGTCGTCATGATCTATTGAATGATATATTTAGCACATTAAGTGGTGTAATGAAATAAACCGATTCCATGAACTAAAAATGCTTCAACCTACAAAACCAAAATTTTGACTAAAGAAGAAATACCAAAAAACCTCGAGGTTCATGATGCTTACAAATGACGTGAGACATCACTTCGTCAAAGTTAACTTTGACAGTGTGTTACTATATTGTTATATTTTTCTTGTAACTCATTGATTAACAGAGTGAATACGCCTCTTAAGAGTAAGCTATGCATCTTGCTAAGAAAGAAAAAACAAAAAGATAGGATGTCCATTGTTAAGATTTCAAAAGGATGGATTCTTGGCTCATTACTAGTAATATCGATATTGTGCCCACTTAACCACTTCAATATTCGGCAGGTATAGAGTTTTATCATAAAAGACATCGGTACTATTAACAATAGAATCATTCATTATATTTTATATTTTATTTGATCAAGTTTCCAACGTGGAACTTCATATTGTTGGACAGCCATCATCTATAAAAGATTTCGTTGCTTGCCATGAAGATCACATTGCTTCTCTGGAACAGAAAAATCGACATGAGCTGACATCATATCTGATTGGGTAAGATTTTCAAATATAAAATACCCAAAGAAGGGAAGGTGATATGAATTTTCTACAAGTGTCCAAAATATTCTTCCTTCAGAATTAATTCAACCCACAAACTGTCAAGCAAACAAATATTGGTAGCAGAAAACTAGAAGGAAATATTCAAATGCAAGCAAGTTAATGAAGAATTTAGACAGTAGAATAATGTTAGTATTGCACTTAGGTAGATCGGATAGAAAAAGGTGTATGCTCAATCTTCAAGGAAAGAAGGTGTATAGAAATGAAACTTGTGATCGTATATATCCCAATATTATCTTTGAAATATTAATGATTAAAATTAACAACAAGGCTTGAAACTAATGGGAATAATCTCATTCTTTGTATTTTAATTATTTATGTGGACAAAAATGTGCTAAAGGTCACAGTCTCACATATCAAATGTAAAAATAATAATAATCAGTCTCACATATCTCATGCCAAGGAGCACCAATGGCAATGTGTATCCAATCTTAGGGGACACCTTGTACGTCTCCCTTAATTATAGTATCAGATTTACGTACATCCATTAATGCTGAAATAGTGGCTTTATGCCAAACACAAATGATATAGATGAGATGGAGCTTACAGAAATAGAGATACAGAGAGGTAACGAAAGCACGGTACTGTCATTTTGGTAAATAAACAAAAAAGTGTTCTGTCGTGAACTATTCAAAGCCATTGGATTATTTGAGCGCTCGAAATGCAGGTAAATGCGGATGCTCTAAATGCAGAGGCTCGGGATCCTAATTATCACATGTTGAAAATGTAAAGATCTTTAAGATAAATTTGTCATCCATGTATTCCTATATTCGTCAATCATATAAGTTATAACAACAAATTACCATGAAAGACTCTTCATGGAGCTAAGGGTCTAGAGTAGAGTGCTCAATTATATCATCTAACTCTCAAACTTGTTTAGAATATTTGATTTTGTTTCATGGACAAAGAGTGTTAGATGTTGACCTGTGATTAGATTTTGATTTTGATTTTGATTTATGGCCACAATAAATATAAATATATTTCTTTTGTGACCTGCTGGGTACCACTGCCACCCCAAGTTGGATAATTTAATCATACTTTATATAATTATTTTGAGCATGTATTTCCTAAAGAGGAATCATGGGCCCCCACCTTCCCTAAAGGCCTAAGGTGCACGTACTTAGTCTCTAAAAGGCTGACATGAGTAGGCCCTCTCGAAGTGATATTTTTGTGGTGCGTGAGACACGTGATTGCTACTGAGAGAGACGAGAGTGAATATGTGATTCGGTTTGTTGTTTACCCGTTGTATATAATTATGTGTGAATTTCTGATTAGGTGTTTGGTTAGCTATATAAATACATTATTGCGGGATGAGCAAAATTATTATGTTTTATTTAAATAGAAGCACAAAACCATAAATTGCGTTAATATTAATCCATCTATTTAGAATAAAATAATAAATAAAGAATGCTGCTAAATGAACTGTAAAATTAACTGAGTACACTTTACCACTAAACTATTTATTGAATTACTAATTTACCATAATATAAAATGACCAAAAAGGATATATTGAATTGTGAAACAAATATAATTTTAATAAGTACACTCTACGCGCCATATTTAATTATAATCAAACGTAGATAAGTTTTTGTATTACTTGGTGCCAGTAAAAGAATTTTTCAGTCTGTTTCAACGAAGTGAGCATCATGGGGGTTATCTTGTTTCAAGTACCACCTAATAAGCTATATAGATTTTCTCATTGAATTCCGCCATTCAAGATGATTGGTGCTTAACAATGATGGCCTTCTATGTCCACCTCAAGAACGGTAACTGTATTTTGGTTTGAAAACTGACGCTAGCTTATTGGAGTCACTTCTTTGATTATGTTTCTCTGTAAATCAATTTGGGCCCTCTCTTCTTTTCACTGGTTGGAGTTGTAGCCCCATTTTCTTTCCAATTATTTACCTTGCCTTTCCATTTTGGTATCGGCTTATCATCATATGGATCTCTTTATTGGCTTGCTATCTTTTATGAAATCACATCTAGTTTCGACCAAAAACACAAAAAGATAAGATGACTGGTGATGAAAGATATGGTGTTTTGCTAAAAAGAGAAGTAAGATGATGAAGATTTGAATTGAATGAGCTAGTAAATCAACTCCTACAGCAGCTTACGAAATTAAAGATTTTGATACAAACCCAAAATTTGAAAAGATGTCACAAATTCATTTAAAAATAGAAATCTGGTTTAGGATTGGTAGTAGGGTGTTGTGTGATAGATTGTATTAGGGTGTACCAGAGGTATTTTTGGTAGTTAAATAGGATAAACTTAGTTAATTTTACATTTTGATTAAAATATTAGGGTGTTCTCAATTAATTTTAGAATTCGTTTGACAAAACTCTAAATAAATTAAGACGGGATGTATAGAATTTTATCTCAATAATGGAACATTGATATGGAAAAACCCATAGGGCATGCAAGATTGTCTAACATTTTGGTTTAATAAACCAATTTAGCTCATTGAATTTATCTTATTGATTGTTGACATTCAGAGTTTGGGTGAAAAAGACTAATTGGTTTAATAAACCATTGTTAACCTCTTGTTTTTATGGCATTAGTCATACTTGTTAAAAATAAAAAATAAAAATTGTGTCAGGCTCACGCACATGCTTATTTTTCTTTCAAACTTCAACTATTTTGTTTAGAACAAAGCTTGACTCTTCAAACTTTACTTGAGTTATGTTTGATTTATTTTGAATTTATCGTAATTAAGAAGAATGAAAAAGCTAAGTTTTTTTTTGGGTGGTGAAATAGGAGATTAACTCCTAAACACACAAAAACTAAATGACAAAGAAATCGAAGTCATTGTCATGATTTGAGATAAAGTATACATGTTTAAGTAGGTTCTCAACATTTTTCCAATATAATTAATTACACAAATTGGACCCCATAAATAAATGTTAAATATGTATTGAATGGTGAAAGGGCTGAATCTATCACCTCTTTTATGGTCAACATCGATGACTCTTACCAATTTTGTTGATTTCCTAATCAATCATAGGGGGGGTCCTCCACCCATTCACATGCATCAAAATCATTTGTTGTAATGCTTGCCTTTTCTCTTTTCCCTTCTTTTTATGGTACGTATTTTTAACACTGTAGATGTAGTTTAGGTCAATGATTAAAGTAGCGTTTGCTCCCCTATATTCAAGTTCGATTTCCGACCTCGTACGTTAGAATAATTTAGAATATTCTTTTATAAAAAGAGTTATACATTTACATCGATACCATTGCCTTCTCTTTTAGCGGAATTCAAAATTTGATTTCCATTTGTTAATTCTTAATAAATATTTATTAACTCTTGATTAAACTTAACGGTGAGGGAAAAGAAATAAAGATGATTGGCACTGTTAAAAAAAAACAAATCACAGCTGTCTGTGATAATTGACAGCAACAAATAACGATCATACAAATTTTAATCACAATTTGATCAAGTCCAAGTTGCAATAAAAAGTTATTGTTCCAATGCAGGACATATAAAATACACCTTGAAAGCATAATCCATGGATAAATAATGCACCTCAAAAAGCAACTTAAATATATTTTCTCCTGGAATAATATAAACGAGATAAAAGCACGACTGCGACTGCAACTGATAATAAATAAATAAATAAAATCTTATTTATATAATTAAGTGTCCTCCTCCACTCATTTAGTACAACTTAATTGGTTTGATTTTCTTTCTACGTAAGTGGCAAGAAAAATATAATTATTTTATTAATAATTATGGCAAATTATTCAACTACTCTCCAAGCCATTCTTCCCCTCCTTGATCCCCATGGAGAAAAGAAGTCAAGGAATGGAAATTAAGAACCAAATTTGGTTGAACTTGAACACAATCGTGGCTGCCACCATTCAAATGCTGCAACATTTCCTCTGAGAAAATTTGAGCTGGTTGGTCCACACAGTGTGACAAACTATTGGCACCATTTTGATCAACATCGTCACAATTAATCGCCGGAAAATCGGAATTCAGGAGAGTTGCTAGGCTAATCTCGTTCATGTCAAAATCCACTAGAAAATCCGAGGACGAATTTTCTTGATCAGCGATATTAGAGAAGGAGGAAAATGACGACGACCCATTGTTCGTGTGGTCATCCCCCGCATGCCTATCTAACATCAACCCTCCTCTGTTGTTTTCTTCACAATGTTGGTGGCCAAGTGGGAGTTTGGGAGGGTCTGGGTTGATGAAAACTTTGGTGCACTTAGCAGCTTTGGTTCTGACCACTGGGGACATCTTGGATGGTGATGGTGAGGTCATGTTGGGAGACATGTCCTCCATAGTCTTGGCCTTTTTGGAAACTTGTTCACCATTTTTGTTGTGGTGCTTGAGATTTGAAGCAGAGCCTTGCCGCTGTTGGTCTTGGATTTTTTTGCCTAAATTGGTGTTCCAGTAGTTTTTTATTTCATTGTCTGTTCGCCCTGGAAGCCTACCAGCTATTAGCGACCATCTGGAAAAAAGAAAGAAAAAAAATACAAAATCAAAATCAAAATCCCAATTGATCATGATGAACTTTTTTCTTTTCTTTTCCAATTACTAGAATTTCATAATTAATTATTTAAAGCAATGAAATGGCACAAATTACCTGTTCCCCAAGAGCTTGTGAAGCCTGATGATAAGCTCTTCTTCATCTGGTGATATGTTGCCTCTCTTAATGTCTGGCCTCAGATAATTCAACCACCTAAGCCTGCAGCTCTTCCCACATCTTTTCAAACCTGCATAAATTAAGCACCAACTAATCAGAACCATTGATTTGATTTTCAAGCACAATCAGATACAATGAGCTAAGCAGTGCACATTTCTCTTCTCTTTTTTTTACCTGCTTTTTTCGGGAGGTTTCTCCATCTGCCTTCACCATGGAGTTTGATGTATTCACTGAGAACTTTGTCTTCATGGGCAGTCCAAGCACCTTTGTTCAAGCCCTCCTTTGCACAACAAGCGCTTCTCCCCATTGTTTTGGTGCCTGCCTTCTCTGCTCACACCCAAAACTCTCCTTTTCACTATAGAAACTGTTTCTTCACTGCCTCTGGTTTTTTTTTTCTCCAAGTCGTGTGCTTGTTTGATTTGGTCTCCTGTGTGCTTGGATTCAGATACTTATAGCCGCACATTTTCCCCACGTTATTATTATTATTATTTATATTATCGTCCCTTTTTTTTTGTTTTTTTTTGCCTAGTGGTCATAAAAACTAGCTTATCTCATTAAAATCAATGGTGGCATACCATTTTCTTTTCAGAATATCGTCCTTATAAGAGAAAAAACAAATTTATTAATTTTTTCACTCGTCTCTTATCATCTGACTTATCACATGACTAACAATAGAAATAGACACGTAATTACATTAAAAAATTACGAGTAAAGCAACACCTCATTGCAAATGATTGATTGTTTAATGTGCACTTTGGTACCACTTTGATCATATAATTCTGTAATAATGTAAATGATCCAATATATATTGTGATTTACCGGTTTCCACCGCCCACACCCAATCAGTTAGGTTCGATGCTTCCACATTTGAGACTCAAATTCCCCAATTATAAGGCCCAAATGTTCATATTACAAAGCAGATCTTCTCATCTACTAGGCCTCCAAAAGGAGGTTTTTTTTTCTTTTTTCAAATGGAGAAAAAAAAATGCGATAAAATTTTATGAAAAGAATACAAAAAACACATACTGTAAAGAGAACCATTGTAATATATACAGAATTAGATGCGAAAGCAAATATTGCAAAAAAAGGGACTTATTTATTTGATGTACAGCTCTTTTATCACTCATCACTTAAAAGTTTAAGAATTAATTAGAAATTAAGTACTCTTTCTCCCAAAAATAAACAAGGAAACCCAACATTATTATAATGCCTTCATTAGCAGAGTTGGTGGATTGTTTGATGTTGTGTGAAGATGTTGTGCTGAAGAAATCTGGGACCGAAGAATCTTCCATACCATTACCATATATATTATATAAATTTAGAAATGACTCGTGAAACAAAAATATTATATAGTCGATCCAGTCTTTTTCATTATATTTTTATTACCAAAATGCTGAACACGACGTATATATATAATGCAGAAAGGGTGCTTTCTTTATTCTCAAACTTAGCAAATTATTATAATGGTTTATTGCAAAGGAAAAAAGAGTTTTCTAACACAATAATATTATACAATTTTCTAAGTCAAATTTGAATATGCCATGCTTTGCTTCTTTTACTCTCAAACTAACATTCCAAGAGACCCTTAGAAAGTTTGTTAGGCTGCCACCTCTCTCTCTCTCTCTCTCTCTCTCTCCTTCTCAAGTATGTACTATTGCCTGCGGTTGAGGTTCAGCATCTAGTTTCAATCGTCCCTGTCTCCATCACGCAAATCAATTGCAGTTTCTTTTTCTTTTAATTATTTAAGCACACCCATTACTTGGTATTCTAATTAAATTGATGATAAACGATCAAGCTAAGACCACAAAATAGCAGATAGGAAAAACGAGTAGAGTATTGTTAGTTGGTGGAGTTGTGTGGTACTCTCTCTTTTCTCGTAGGAATTTTTTAAGACAAAGTTTTAACGATGCCACCCTCAGACAGAGCACCTCGGTTTCTAATTGAAGTCCTTCTACTTCATCAAAAAAATAGTTCGATGATAAATGATCAAACACAAAAGAAGAACTACAGTAAGATTAGCCTTGATTTGATCCATGCTATTAATTATAATCACTCGTATAGTCTTTTCAGAAAGTACGTCTCCGCACACGATAATTATTGGTGTCATTGAAGTTGACGTGTCCTTGCTTCCACGCACTACAACATGTCAGTGTTGATTAGTTGTTCGTTCGTTGTACACGTTCCATGCAGCACAGCGGCCCAGAGCACTAGTTTGTAGACAAAATAACGAAAAAAAAACAAGGAAGACTTGGCTATCGATCCATTTTTCTTTGTGATCATACATTCAAGATCAAGATTTGGATTAATTAAAATCGTTTATTTTGTAGCACCACTCGCTGCAATTTTGGTTGCATGCAAGTATACACATTGGTTGCGCCAAATCTGGACCTTGAGACTGATGTGAGTTTAGGTTTAGAATATTGGTCCTTCGTTTTGTAGAAGAAATTCCTTTAAGTTGACCCAAAAAACAAAAAAAAACAGAAAAGATAAATCTATGGCGAGAGCTATTGATGTCAATTTGTCAAGAGGTTGTTGGTATTGGAGTAATAAATTAGGTAGTTGGTATTGCATTATGAAACTATGAAATTCTTAGAGCATTGACTTTAACTTTCACCTTGCACATGAGAAATAACTTCAAGCTTTTTGTTTCCTTCAGAAAAGGTAAACTTTGCTTTCTAAAGCCAATAATTGAGAAACCACACCCAACTTTCAACTCCTCTTGATATTAAATCAGTAATGGCCTCATCACTTTCTTCTCAGAAATGTCAACATGCAAAACATACTGTCATCATATGCTTTATTGAAAACCATGAAAGTATAGAAACTAATATAGGAAGACGTAATTGTGTTGCAAATATATCTTAATAAGGAATATTCTTATTTGCATACGTGAGTTAGAGCAATTTGGCATGACATTAAGTCCCGCTTCCTTACAACGAAGTTCGAATCCCCTTTTCATTTTCACTTAAGTTCAAATATTTCTTTTTATAAATTAGATTAAAGAGTAGTTCAGAGTTTGCATTGTTTTCAAAAAATACTTACTGTTTTTAATGATTGCCATGTTCCATGTGGTTGGTATATGTCAAAGTCGCTGAGCGAGTGACACAGTACTGGTGGATTATTAATTGCAAATTTGAATTATCATCAGATTGATAATTTTATTAAATGGTTGTGGTTGTAAAAGAATAGCAGGCAAAGAAATGGAGGATTATTATTTACACTATAAATACGAAAGAGATGGCAACACAAAATTCCAATTTGGGAAATTCAGGAAATTAGGCAAGTCGTTAATTCATGGTCATGTGTCCCTTAACGAGGTGCATCAGGTTGCAGGAATCTCAATTTCGGGATAAATCAAATCAGTCCTCGACAAATAGATGCCTAGCTATCAGCGGTGGGACAGTATATATTTTATTTTTAAAACTTAGATGTAACGGTATGTGTACTTTTGTGTGTTTGATCGTTTTCTCTATATGAGCTGTTTTTTTTTCACAATAAGATATACACTAATTGTAAGAGAGAGATTTTTCCACATTCCATTTCATAAACAGTTAAAATTTACGGCTCTGAAAAAAGTACGTATAATAATTATTTTAGAGTGACAATAACATCTCGCTTGAATTATTGTATTTTTGGTTAGTTGTTTGTGAAATTTAGTTGGTGTGTATTAGAGTTTGAATATCGGATAGGTTTAGTGATATGGTTCACACATTTCACTAAACAGATTAAACCCAAAAGTTGCTTTGCTTTGCTACATGCCAAATGACATGTGTATCATCCCGTAGCTCTCGTTTTCAAACCCGATGAAAGCACAATGATCTTCAAAGCTGCCCATTTTCGGCAATAATTCTGGGTCCACTTCAGTTTTGATATGTCTACCGTCGATGCAAAATGATGCACAATATGTATGTAGTCAATTGGCATGCATGCTAAATTCACAATGGATTTGATATTCTTGGCTTCATAATTTCTTGGTTTCATATCTAGCTAAATTAACAATTGTATTGCGGAAGTCCTTGTACTTTTTAAAAGTCGAGAACCACAATTATTGGGACCACTCCAATTTTGTAATCTATCGACAGGACCATTTAAATTAAATGGTTCTTGGAATTTTCTCTTAGGTTTTGTTCTTATTTTGGATCAAGTAATAATATGTACACACAACCAACTATTCATTTGGTATTGTTTTGGTTGGAGGAGGCCTTGTTGGAGTTGGCTCGCTTAAGGATGCAGAGGATGGTGGAAGAGCTGCTCAAAGGGGTTCTTCATTGTAACCAAAGAGATTCTTCTACACTAGTGAATTTCTCGGAGATCACCGAAGAGGACGTAGGCACAACGCTGAGTTTGATGTAGCCTTACTGTGGATGTTTGGCAAGTTGTAAACTGTATGGGCACAAGATACTCCTAACTAAATACTGTAGCTAACTTTAACGATCAAATCAAAACCACTTGTATTAAGTTATAAACATCAAACTTTCAACGACAGGATCAGTAGGTAATGAATCCGAACCTTATCATACGATCCATGCACATGAAGCATTTAAGGAAATTTAAACACGCTAGTGTCGCTTTACACAAATTGCTTTTGCAAGTTTAATTAAGCTTTGGTCGGTTTGATTGGCTCAAATTTATCCAAAAGTACAACTATTATCGTTAAACCAATGCCTCACTGACACACACAAATATAAATCTTGACAAAGATTACATTTTATCATCGAAATTCGAAAAACATGCATCTAATGTGTTGTTTATTGTATTGTATACGCGGGCAACCTGCATCGCATGTGAGATATATATTTATTTTATCCAAATTACTTTGCAGCTGTAGAAGTTGTTGAGCTAAGACGATCAAGCTTAATTATATTATAAATTATAAGTGGACCGATCCATTTTGATTTATTATATTAACACGTGAATTTTTTTTATAAGGTCTCTATGGGAAAATATGTTTTTTTTTTGGTTGGGTAAATAAAAGCATGTGGGATGGTGGAAGTAGATAATTGAGGGCTGACTGGATCAATCATACGAATTACTGCCAACCACTAGCTGGGAGGATGACAAGGTTTCAGGGTTACAGAGCTGCTGATTCAATCTTGCCATGCATGGCCCATCTCGGATGGTCTTTAAAATAACATAATAATTTATGACCTTCTATATTAAATATAAATATAATTCAGACAGGAAAAAAATAGCAGTAAATATAATAAATAAAAAAGAAAACTCCCTCAACCTACATTCTCGTGGTATTGAAAGTCGGATGGCTTTAGCTCTCTGGACCACATTTTATTAAGAAATTTCCAGAGTCTTGACTTTACGTACATCATCATCATCAGTCTGGAAGCTACCTTCCCACATATATGGGATTGGGATTGATATTGTCCTTTTCCATGGAAAAACAAAACAACAACAAAAAAGTTACACAAGTTTTTTTGCTGAATTTTCCCGCGTACATATACATATGCATGTACAAATTATTTGTATATATGCCACTAAATCTCTACAAACAAACAAATCCATGTGTATAATGCTACTAAATCTCTACAAACAAACAAATCCATGTGTATAATCATTCAATACAATTACAGGTTCATCGCAAATTAGTCCGTCAAAATTCTATTTTATAGTAAAAACACTTACAAACATCGTTTTCGAAGAAAAATGAAAAACTCATGGATCCATATTTAAAGGCTTAGTAAAGTACACGACAATAACCTTTCATACTTTTTGTCGATACTTTAATCATCTAAAATTTCACATTCACACTTGTAACGCACTGTATATAATATGCACAACACACATCAAGAATCTTCGAAAAACTTGCCTTTAATATATACTGAATTTTGTCATAGCAAAACAAAATATACTGAATTTTGTCATAGCAAAACACACATGTCTCCAAATTATTGACAAAAATGTTCAACTGCAAACTAACAAATTTCATCTTAGTAATGGAATGTTTTTATTCAGTACAACAGAGTTGGAAAGTTTTGCAAAGTGCAAAGCTAGAGGGGCTAGCTTGATTTTAACTAATGATCCACTGATCATCATCTACTGAATTCAGAAAAGATGAAAGTGCATTGAAGCCGTTCACATCTCCATGATCATCATCATTTGGTTGAAGTGGGTCACCTTGATCATCATCACCAGCTCTCCATTCTCCCAACCTTGCTTCACCCATCAATAAATCTTCAATCTTGGTAATTCCACACTCCAACATGTCCTGATCACAGTCGTTGGTTTGTGCTTGTTGGAAATCAGAACTCAGCGCATCCGGTATGAGCATGTCATTGATATCAAAATCCCTCAGAAAACCAAACGAAGAATCATGCTCCTGAGCCGCTGAAGAACACGGGCTTTCGCTGTCGGAACCAGGAGCCACGTTCGATCTTTCGAGCATTTGATCATGGCCATCCAAATGTGAGGGGATGGCAACCTTCCTGCACTTAAATGCTTTCGTACGGACCACTTGGACAGAAGACTTTGATGCCGGATTATTCGATTTTTTCGTGTCGTCTTTCGAACTAGTACTAGCACTCAGTTGATCCTGATGAGCCTTGTCACTTCCTTGCTCTGACCTCTTGCTCAAATTGGTGTTCCAGTAGTTCTTGATTTCATTGTCTGTTCGTCCCGGCAACCTTCCAGCAATGAGTGACCACCTAATACAAATTATACAAAATTAGAGACACCAATTTCGTCATAATAACTTGATACCAAGAAGAGATGTCAATCATCCATATATACATACCTGTTTCCAAGAAGCTTATGAAGTCTAACAATGAGCTCCTCTTCTTCGGGGGAAATGTTGCCTCTCTTAATATCAGGCCTAAGATAATTCAGCCAACGCAATCTGCAACTCTTCCCACAGCGGTTTAACCCTGCAGAAAAAAACACTGGTGTTTAGTTATGAGTACATTGTCCCAAAATGTAGAAGAAAAAAACATGAAAATTGTCACATATATATAATTGTTAATTTAAATAATGAACCGTACGTACCCGCTCTTTGAGGAAGGTCTCTCCATTTTCCTTCTCCGTGAGTGTTAATGTAGTTAGCAAGGGCTTTATCTTCCCAAGCAGACCATGCTCCCCTGTTCAGCCCTTCTTTATCACAGCATGGTTTTCGCCCCATCTGTCTCTCTCTGTTTGAGTTCAAGCAGAGAGTCTAGATTGGAGTGTTAAAAGCTCCACTCCACATGGCGATGTGGACATATTTATACATGTACGCATGTGAATGGCTGATGGGGTTTCAAAAGCTTAGCTCCTACTTTTGAAGGCCAAGCAATTAATGCTGGAGAAATTCAGCTTAACATTTTATCGCACCATAGTACAATAATAAATGAATGTGTATGTATTCGGAGTGAAGCTAACATGGTGGCCGATGCTCTTACAAATTTATGTCATAATTTTATTCAACTTGTGCTTCGTTTTTTAATATGTGTAAACATCTGTTTTGATCTCAGAAATATTTGGATCCCCAGATAGGGATCCTAATTTGTATTTTTTTAAAGTTATGCTGAACATGAGCGGGGGATAAGCTATTTGTCGAAACCGAGGAATGTAAAAATACACCGATACCATAGAAGAGCCTTCTATTTAAAAAATATTCTCTTATCAAACTTAGATTGAGAAATGAATATTTATGTCATTAAACTAGGATATAAACATCTTATATATATATTATCAAACAGTCAAACAAAAGATAGCATTTCCCTGGGAAAACCAATTGGGTGTATGACATTATTCGAAAATTACATGTTTCGGTGGAATATATATCGTGGCATCATGTGTGGAATATATAACAGTTCCAGTGCCGTAAATTATGAGCAGCATCTGAACGTTTGGTGTTATCTTTCCAGACTTCACTGCCCAACAGCATAATTCAACCCACGTTTCACCCACTACATGTACTCGGGACATGGGAAGAGCCATGAATCACGTGGCCTTCAAAATATTAACTTTAACCACCTTTTTCTTATTTTTCTTTTACTTTTGATCCAGGGTTTTTGTTTGTGAGTGTAATTTCGTTCGTAGCTGTGGATGCAATAAGAATCCAAGGGTACCACGACGCATGATGTACTTCAGTCCAGTCTTCTTCTTCGTCTTCTTCGTCTTCTTCGTCTTCTTCTTAACTTAACCTAACTGTAATAGTTTTGAACCTCATAGTTATCAGCAAGGCAAGGCACCCTGAAAATAAGAAACAAATGGTTGCTTTCATCCAGGCGTACATGTCAATTCAAAAAAATGACGAGACGAAGGGGACTTTTAATGAAAATTCCTTGATTTTAGGCATTGGTACTCTTAAATTTTGAATTTGACTTTTGAACGTTTATAGCTAAAAAAAAAATTAATAAGCATATACATCAAATAAATAAATCTATTTGAATCTTGATAGGAAGTTACATAACCCCTGCTCTAGGTACCGGCAAAAAGAAGGAGAACCACCACCGTTGACGCCTTGGTGTTGAAGGGGAACAGATTTGAATAATTGGGTGGTGTAGAGTTTAATAAATTTTTTTGTGGTATTTTAGGAGTTCTTTCTCTCTCCTCAGATTTAGGAGCTTTTAGAAGTCTCCTCATTTTAGGAGCGCTTATTATAACTTGGTCTAACATAATCACGTGGCCTTGAAATTATTAACTTTAACCACGTTCCTTTTTTTAAATTTTTTTATTATCGAGGGTTAATTATTTAATCAATCTTTACCCAAGATGACTGTGACGTGTGTTAAATTTTGCACATGTTGGTTTTTTTTATATGAATGCATTAGTCCACCAAGCCACTACGGGAATTCCACCACAAATTGCAAAGGGACCCCGACGCACGATACTCCTCCTACCTCTTCTCACCAAGGCACCCTCAAAACTGATCAGCTCATGCACCATGTTCTCCGGATGCCCAGAATGCCATGGCAGCAACCCCAAGGATCCAAGACACCAGCTTATGACAGCTCATGCACCATGTACAATTGCAATGATAGGCAATGACAGCGACCACTGTGAGGCTCACTTGTGTCTGTCAAATAGACAATCAGAACATACTATATACATTATACAGCGACCACTGTGAAGCTCACTTGTGTCTGTCAAATAGGCAATCAGAACATACTATACATTATACATTATACATATACATATATATATATATGGACCTATATGATCAGCCCTCTACATCTGAACAATACAAATTAGAACAAGAAGAAATTCAAAATCAGCAAAAGGTAGATTCCACAAGAAAACTGCAAACCAAACACGACTTGTGCATTAATTGCATTATTTTGAGACAACGTATTGTTTTAGGGTTTTCTTTTTATAAAAAAATAAAGTTAGGGAGAACGAAATTCAACTTGAGACATCTCATAAGAGAGCAGAGAAAGATATACTAACTAACTAACTATATATGTGATTTGAGTTGGTGAAGTACATCTCATTAAAGAGAAGATAATAACATAAGGGGCTTGTAGTGCTCAAGTGATTAAGAGCATTTATCTCTGCACCTGAGGTTCTAGGTTCGATTCCCCCCCTCCCCCAATCAGGGACGGATCCACAGAGGAGTAAGGGTGGTCAAGTGACCCCTGCAACTCTAGAATCTGCCATTAGAGGGGAGCAAATTGACCCCTGCAAACTGCTCGATGAAAGTCCTCAAAGAGTTGCTCTTCTGTTTTCTCCCCAGAGCTCAGCGCTGCTTGCGCCCTTGCGCTTCTTTTCTTTTTTTTCGTCGACGTCGTCCCACTAAACCTTTTTATTTTTTTTTAAGACCTGGCCAAAATGACGTAGTTTTGGCTCAGGTTTAAAATAAAATAAAATTATAGAACAGCCTCTATTAAACAGAGGCGCAAGAGCAGAGCAGCAAACAGTTTCCTCCCCTCCCCCAAAATAGTTTTAGCTCATTTCTTCATATGTCAAACCCTAAATCCCCAAATCCTACTAACCAACCTTCACCCAATCCTGCGCTGACGACATCCTCATAATGGTGGCAATAACAGCAAAATAAAAAGTCACCCCCAAATTTGATTTGATTTCAAAGGTAGATATTGTCCCTAAATTTGAAAGTATGTTACCCTAATTTCTAATCTATTTATGCTTTAATTTGAAAGATTTTATATGTTTTTGTTTCTCTTGATTAATTTTTTTGTTGGGTTTTATTTTGGTTAGTTAATATTAATAAATTAAGGGTTTTTATTAGGTTGTATATGCTTAGATTATATCTTGGTAAATTGGATTTGTTTTTGTGTTTGTTAATTAATGAAAAAAATTCTTATATATTTTTGTTTTATTAGTTGTTGGAATTTTATAATAGATTGTATTTGTTAGGTTGCATGCTTGTATCTTCTTGGCAAATTGGATTAATTTTTGTCCTTTCAACTGTTGGATTGGATTGGTTGTTCATGCTTTATTGATTATTTCTACCAATGCAGTTTATGGAACGATATTTTAATACAAAGTTCTCATCATCTACTTCTAATTCAGATAATGTGAGTAATTCGAGTTCGAAAGATGTTGTGGGTAGTTCAAAAGAAAGTGAGTTGCAAGATTTCTTGGCTAATCTTCCTACATACCCTGGACTTTGATTTCGGAATAAACTTAGACAAGCATATCTACAAAAGGGTCCATGTCAACCTAAAAATCACACATTTCTTCAAACTGATTTTTCAGAGAAATTTCCTTTTAGATGTTGAGCTGTGCAAGGAAAATTTCTGGATCCGTCTCTGCCCCCAATATCGCTTGTATCGAAACCTATTTTTGGTAAAATAGTGCAATTTGTAGTTGAACTGGTAGGTGGGTGGAGGAGAGGGAAGCATGCATGGTGACTTGAAAATTCTCAACCTACCCCATCCCATGATGTCATTGTGGTATTATAATCGTACGTAGTTGGTAATTTGCAAAACATTGTATTTATTGGCAGTATTATGTTATGTGACCAACCCCAGCCATATAATATAGTAAAATTCTGAACTAGTGTTATCCTCACCACAAAAATATTGCATGAGCTTTTCATGTTACATTGGCAGTGGAATCTTTTTTAAAATCTGCCATATGCAGAAGGGTAAGTGACTTTAGCCAAAGATATGACGCCTTACGTCTCATCATGCTTCATTGAAACTAAAAATTGGTTCTTCTTTATGATAAATCTTCAATCTTTGGTTTGGGATTGGTGGAAACCCTAAACCAGACGATATGAGTCCTGCTGATTCAGAGAGAGAGAGAGAGAGAGAGAGAGAGCTGGACGACAGGATTTCAGAATAATAGAATGTATGGGGGGCAATTGGGCCAGTAATTTCAAATGGTCGACCGTCAACATCAAATTCTGTGGAATAAAAATATAATTCATAACAAAAATAAACGAATCATACATTAGAATATTATTAAATCTCCCTCAACGTCCATTCTTGTATTGAAAGTTGGATGGCTTAGCTAGCCATGGACCAAAAAAGGAAGAGCCTCGAACCGAAAAAGAAATAGCTAGCCCTGGACCACGCACCTCTTACACTATTTGCAATCAATTTGGGAGCTACCTTCCTATATCTGTGGTGTCCTCCTTGTCCTTTTTCATGAAAAACAAAACGAAAAGGTAATGATTTTTGCTGAGTTTTTGTACGTACATATATATATGTATGTATACGTATGTTCACAATTTTTTATATATGTTAAGGTGCATCATATATTTTTCTTATAAAATGAGTAATATCAATTAGCATCATCAGGCACACGTTGAACATATCATTGGCTGTTTAGTAAGAGAATGTTGTTATTTCTTCATTGGAAAGGGTACATATGGAATATAATCCAGGAAAATTTAAAAAGAATTACCTATACAACACTAACGCAACACGGAAGCACAGGTAAAGGGATCTCAAGCGATCACCCCAAAGTAACAATGTCGGATTTCATTGATATAATATGAATAAACAGTTAAATACAATTTCCTGATTTGTCTTAAATATAAAACCAAGTCAGCTATCCCACACCTCATAAAATCACTAGCTAGCTCTTCACATCACCGCACCAATTAAACGTGGAAAAGATAATTTACCTGATTAATGCGCTCTTCCTGTACAATACAAGCATGTAATGTAAGACAATCGGTTATCGGTTAAATGAATAAAATATTGAACGACTAGCAAAATTTGGGATTCTTGAAATGCCGAAAATCAAGGAGAGTTATGAAAAAAGTGGCATGGTTCGTCAAATTTGCGGACATCTTTTATCCTACATGGAAGTCAATTAAAAAATAATTGAGTTTTACTTAAGCAAGTCAGCTACTTTACTTGAAGATAGCAACAAATATTATTGTTTTATTGATTGATCACATTGACCATTACAATCATTGATTGATAAAAATGACATTCTAAATTGTTCTAATATACAACAAGGAGGGACATCAAACTCAGGTGCAAGGAAGCAGGCACACTTCCATGACCAACTCGCTTAATATATATTATTATATAGGGTTCGCAACGTTGCCAAGCTATATTGTGGGGTTTGATTCTAACTAATGATCCACTGACCACCATCTTCTGAATTCAGAAAATATGAAAGTGCATTGAGGTCTACAGGTTCTTCATGATCACTTGGTTGAAATATTGGGTTATAATCATGATCATCGGTAGCCATTAAAAAATCTTCAATCTTGGACGTTCCATCCACCAAGTCTTGATCGCATCCGCTGCTTTGGGCTTGGTGGAAATCTAAGTTTAGCAGTTGGTCCGATATGAACAGGTCGTTGGTATCAAAATCCATTAGAAAACCAGGAGCCACATTATTTGATCTGTCAACCATTTGATCATCATCATGACCATTATCCAAATGTGATGGAAAGACAACGTTCTTGCACTTAAATGCTTTTGTTCGAATGACCTGGACCTGGTGAGACTCTGATTTTTTCGTGTCTTGTTTTGAGCAAGCTTGCTCTACTTTCTTGCTCAGATTGGTGTTCCAGTAGTTCTTGATTTCGTTGTCAGTTCGTCCCGGCAATCTTCCAGCGATGAGTGACCACCTTAAAATATATACACCACCATATAACATTTCAAATTAAGAGAAAAACAAATTCCAGTACTCAAATGAAGTGCTGACATACATATATATAGGTACCTGTTTCCAAGAAGCTTGTGTAGTCTGACAATGAGCTCTTCTTCTTCAGCCGAAATGTTACCTCTCTTAATATCCGGCCTAAGATAATTCAGCCATCGCAGTCTGCAACTCTTCCCACACCGCTTTAACCCTGCATCATATTAGTGTTTATCCCAAAGTTCAGAACAAATAAAAAATGAAAGCTGGCATACAAATTACAATTAAGGATTTAAAGTAATGGAGTAGTACCAGCTCTTCTAGGAAGGTCTCTCCATTTTCCTTCTCCATGTATTTCAATGTAATTGGTGAGAGTTTTGTCTTCCCAAGCAGACCATGCTCCCCTGTTTAGCCCTTCTTTATCACAGCATGGTTTTCTTCCCATCTCTCTCTCACTGTGCCTCTTTCTCTCTCCGAGTTACAGAGTGTAGCTTGATGCTGATTAGAGTCTTAGACTCCACATGTCGATGTGCAGGGAGATATATATATGTGTATGTGATCAATGCCTCAGCAGGGGACAAAAGCTTGGCTCCCACCTTGGAAGGCCAATCAATTAATGTTAGAATAATTCAACTAATAACATTTTACCGCACCACAATATATTTACTTACGGGTAATGTTCTCGAACCGGACTTATGCTAGATAAATATTTATATCATCTACCATGTATGATGATTATTAATATAGACGCATTTTGAACAAAATCAACGTGATATCAATACTTTGAATTAATAATATTGAAATATAAGCATCTTATATCGGCAAACAATTGTCAAAATAATATTCATTCTACATATGCAAAATATCAAAGATTGGAATATTTGCCCCCTGCCAAGCTGAATAGGAACGTTTGGCTTTATCTTGGCAGACTTCACTTGACAACAGCATAATTCAGGGACCGAGAGATCAATTTCATGAGCGTGCATTGTGGTCCAATATCGTTATAAACAGCTACTATATAATCAAATATTTAATTCATGTGGCCTTTAAAATATTTTTGAGTTTAACGGTACGAGTTTTTTTTGTCTGGAAAGTGTGTTTTGTGCGGTACGTAGCTAGCCATGAATAATGCAATAAGAAGATCCTACTTTTATTGCAATGAAAAGCTCACCGGAAAAAATTGTTAATTAAGGGCCGACCAACGATCCTTCAAGGGACCACGCACAGATTCTCCTCCTACTGGTGCTCCACTTCAATCTCCTCCTGCTCTTCTCTGCACCTAAGGGTACTAGTGTCATGTAAATAAAGATATTTCAGTATTTGAGACTCGAATAATGTATCTCTTTATTCATTGTCAACTGATTATATAGTGCAATAATACTCATATTTTCATGTGGGATGCTTTTAAAACTCTTGTAACAATTGGTTTTGAGTCAAGTTTGTCATGAATTAACTATCATCATAGAGTATTCATTGAGATAAACGTGCGTGTACTAATTCAGCACACGTATTATTCATCATCGATATAATTAAAAAGTAATTTGGAAAGTCCTTTGGAATTGCGTAGGATCCATATATTTAATACACGTAGAGGGTCTCTAGCTCGTTGGATATGCACTCGGATACTTTATTTTATGTTTTCCTTTTGTGTCGTATTTATCTTGTTAATTTGTAAATTTTAACTAGAAATTGTAATTCCGCGGGCAAAGAAATCAAGAAGAAGAAGAAAAAAAGCAGTGGCTCCATGTGAGGAGGTCGATCGAGTGCTTTTGAATTAGACAACATACCATAATATCTAATTCGAATGGAACCTCTGAAAAAGGTACAGGGTCCACAACACGGGGTATTCTCCAATAAGTTTAGAGTTTAGGATTTATGGTATCCTCATATTTTGACAAACGTGCATTATTTTGAGATAACATAATTAAAGGAAAAATAGAACAATATTATAGTTAGTAAGTGAGTGGTAGGTGGACGCACGATGATTTGGAAATTCTAAACCTACCTCATAACATAATTGTAGTATATAGCCGCTGCCTGCTCCTACTATAATGTCTGTCAAAACATGTAACATCACTTATGATATAGTATATATATTTGTAATTCCACGAGTGTTTCATGTTGCATGCTCATCGGGTCCTTTTCAAAAAAACTCATCCATGTGCACAAGAGTGAATTTAGCCGAAGACATGTCATGTCTTCTGTTCATAGGAAAACAACAAACTTACTTTCTTTCCACAAATGCATGGGTGTGTTGTCTCCCTCCGTCACGCATCTCAGTTTTCAAGATTGATTGGTAATAAGAATAACTATCAAAGACATGAGCTCCTACTGGGAATAAAAAATTCAATGGGGCCAATCATCAGTTATTTGAATTCTATCTACCCATTCTTTCTCACTGCATATTTATATATCTACTCTTTTTTTGTGAGAAAAGTCCCTTTGAGTTGACCAGCCTTTTACAAGAAATTGTATCATCTTTTTCTTTTTATCTTTTCATGTTAAAAGTAATTTAGGACGAACCTCTTTCAAGGCAGACATGTGCAGTTGCAAAGACCTAAAGAAGTAAAGATTATTGGACCCAAGCCCTAGTGCATGTTTATGGGAAAAAACAGAACCACTAGCCCACTTGGCTATAAATTATTGTATGTATGTCATTTGTGTTTTTTTCTTTTTTTAGAAAAGTTGATATAAATTCAAATTCTATTAATGAGTTGGGTTTAATCTTCGGATTCGGTGACTTTGATCGAAATCTTTTGACTTTTGTGCCACATAGAATTACATTTATTTTTAAATATTTTTTTATGTAATATTTTTATTATTTTATTTTTAAAATCAATTTTTATTCCAATGTTGGCCCTCATGGCTTGAATTAGGCAATAGTCATTTATGTCATATTGTCTATTGCCTATTGCATAGGTATATATATATATATATATGTTTTTTCATATTTTCGACAATGTGTAATAGTATTTTATGTACCTTTTCTATAGGTAACATACAATTTTATTTTGTCTACTCTTGTATCTGACTTAGGCCTAGTTTGGAATTGCTGTCACTTTAAAAAAAAGTTGTTTGTTGTGCTTTAAAAATAATTATCTGTAAAATAAAGCAGCTCAATGTTTAGTAAACAATATTTTTAAAGTGCTGTTAGTACAAAAAGTAGTGTCAAAACCGTTTGGTAAATTTTAATATAAAATTGTTGTAACTGTGAATAATGACTAAAATAGACATGATGTTGAAAGTGTTATGTACTAATCATGTGGCGGTAGTAGTGGTGATGGAGTGGAGGTGGTGGTGGTGGTTGTGGAGGTAGTGAATGTGGTGGTGCAAGTGATGGAGTTGGATGTGGAAGTGGAGGTGGTGTCATTTTTTAAAAGAATAATGGTATTAGGTTCAAATGGATCGACGACCATAGTGCTAGAGCTAGGGCTAGCGCTCCAATTTTCCCACTTTGGCTTCATTTAATTGTTAAGCTTCTCGATTCCTTCCACCATAGCCACTTCAAAGTCGTTGGTTTGAGCTTGGTGGAATTCCGTACTGTTTAGCAAAGTCCAATATGAACAAGTCATATATTCGCTGAAGAACACAGGCCACCGCTGTCACTGGCTAGTACTGTTGCAGATCGAACCGGGAACTGCACTAACAAATTTAACATTATTTGTTGTGTCGACCATGATTTGATCCTCTCGTCATCTTGAACATGCAATGGGATCGAGGAGCTTGTCAACTTTTGTGCACTTAAAATGTGGTATGCCTAACATTACTCTTATAAATTTGGGTATAAATTCATCATAAATGAAATATTTAGGAGTTTATGTTGGCGTTGAATCTGATGTTATTTTAGTCTTTCAGCCTTAGGGTTAGGGTAACATTTGAAAGTTATTATGTAACATTTGAAAGTGAACCAAATTCAAGTACTAAAAGCAAATACACAAACTTGCATTTTGGGCCGAACCCTAAACCACATTAATTTTTAACAATTCACTAATAGCCACAAATGTGATCTGGAAGACATACGATGTTGACCTACCCAGATTAAATTTCAATTTGGGGTCTTTTATAATATATATATATATAGTCACTTTCCCTTATTGCATGTCTAAGTGGTGCTTGTACAGTTGGCTAATTAATCCAATATTGATAATCTTCAATGTTCATAAAAGATGAAAGTGCATTGAACGCTACCTCTCCATCAATATTAGGTTCAAATGGATCGACATCAGCAATGATAGGGCTACCCCTCCAATAATTCTCCACCATAGCCACTTGCCATTCCTTCATTTGGGCTTGCTGGATTTCCGTACTGTTTAGCAAGTCTAATATGAACAGGTCATTGGATGAAGAACCAGCAGGAACTGATGAGCTAACAGAATTAATATTATTTGTTGTGTCAACCATGATTTGATGATCTTGGTCATCTTGAAGATGCGATGGGATGCCCACATCAACCTTTGTGCACTTGAAATGTTTTGGTCTAATCGCCTTAGCCTTGTGAGACTGATCTGATGGTATTAACCCTTTCTCATTATGTTGATTTTTCGGATTAATACTAGGTTTATGGTGTTCCAGTAGTTCTTGATCGGAGGATGATCTCTTGTTTAAATGGGTGTTCCAGTAATTCTTGATCTCATTGTCTGTCCGCCCCGGAATTCTTCCAGCGATCAAGGACCACCTAATTAATTTATGAATACTATTAAATACGCTCGATATCATACTCATACCAACAAATATAATCCATGTCTACTTTTGGTGTATGCTTAATTGAACATTGTTCAATTCATTAGTTTCCCATTGCAATTGGTAATTTGGTATGCTATTGCATGCATGCGGGTTTTTTGGCATGGACTGGAAAACTTTAATTGAACAAAGTAATATTGTATGTATAATCAAAGATATAGATAAAGTTTTAGGAAAACTTATATGGTCTGTGTAGATTAATATGTACCTGTTTCCGAGAAGTTTATGTAGTCTCACAATGAGATCTTCTTCATCCGCAGAAATGTTACCTCTCTAAATACCAGGCCTAAGATAGTTCACCCATCGCATCCTGCAACTCTTCCCACTACGTTTTAGCCCTACAATTCAATTTTTAATTTGTTTCACAAAGGAAAGAAGAAAAAAAATGGAAGCATACAACTAGACATATGACATTACGAAGTAGCTCATAGTCATGACAAGTATATCACTACTATAAAACTATTCTAAGGGCAAGTTTGGAAGTGATTCTAGTCCTCATGGGGAGAAGCATCTCCCACGTGCTTCTTCGTATAATCACTTTAGTATTTTTCAGCGATTCTAGGGGGAAGCATGTGCTTCTCCATAAAATCATTTTAAACCACTTAAAGTGATTATATGGAGAAATCCTCCATATAAGTGATTATTGGCATATTCAGAATCACTCACAAACGAGTCCTAAAAGACAAAGTTCAAATAGCATGTAAGAAGAGTCAAGCCTTTTTCAACCTCATTTAGCACAAAAATGTCTTAAAGGCTTCTTTACACAAAAGGCACAATAGATTTGTGGCTAGGACATCCACAAAAAGGATCTTTATATTAAGGTTAATGTGGATGGAGCTTGGAAAAAGGACTCTCTATAGGGTGGTGTGGGTTGCTGCTTGCGTGATTCTGGGGGCAGATTGTTGGCTGGTATGAGTAAGGCTACTCTCCGAAACTCTGCAGTTGAAGTGGAAGCGGAAGCTGTTTTGGAAGGGCTAATTCTTGCCAAAGAGAAAAATTGTCAAGAAATCATTCTTGAAAGTGATTCAATGGATGTTGTTTCTTGTATGAGGGACAAAAATCTGCGCGGCAACTGGAGAATCATCCCACTTATCTTGGAGATCAGGAGACTCTCTTCATGGTTCACCTCGGTCAAATGGGAATGGGTATCTCGCCAAGCAAATCATGCTGCTGCAACTCTGTCAAACATGAGGGTGCGATCTTTACGTTGGGCCTCACAGCCTCCTCCCTCTTTGGTTCGGGTATTGGCTAAGGACGGTTTGCCGTGGCCCCCTAGTAATTAGTTTTGGTTATAAGGTAAGTTTACTTGTTGTATTTCCAGTTTCTATCTCCTGGGAGGTATCTTTGGCCTCCCTGTGATTTGTTTGTATTGCTCTGGGGTTCTCCCCTGTCCCTGTATGCTTTTCTTGCAACTTCCTGTTTGGTGCTGCTGGAGCCTTCTCTGGCTTATTAATGAAGTATTATACAGACCAAAAAAAATTTGAGCACGAGCTTGTGCCCTATCAATATATATAAGCTTCTGTCTTGTCACCTCACTGTCAAATTCATATGTTTGATCTAAGCTGCCCCGTTGGTTTAGTTAATAAAGTTTTCCATTGTGCCCATTTATCAAATTTCTCTGAATTTCAATTTCTTGAGTGATATCTTTGAGAAGAAGAGAAAATAGGAACAAGAGAAGGGGAAGCAAAGATTCAAAGTAAAAGATCGAAGCCTTGGAAATTCGCCAATGGCCACAATGGCTTTTGATACATTGTTAACTAAGAAGAAGAAATATTATTTCATTCAATTGTAATAATGAACATTACAACAATGAGAGTTATATTCTCTCCAACAACACAACCAATTAGCTTACTAATATGCTCTTAACCACTTAAGCTACAAGATCTTTATTTTAAAAAAAATTGTTATATATACGTTACGTACCTGCTCTTTGAGGAAGGTCGCTCCATTTTCCTTTTCCATATGTGTTAATGTAATTAGAAAGGATTTCATCTTCCTGGGTAGTCCATGCTCCCCTGTTTATCCCTTCCTTTTCATAGCATGGTCTTCTCCCAATATATATACATATATATATATATATATATCTCTCTCTTAGGGTTTGGCTTTGAATTTAGCTTAGCTTATCAATTCCCTCATATTATAACAAGTATTGCATTGTGACCTTCACGCCCAGAAATTCTCACATTGACTCCTACATCAATGTAAAGCTTATTTATGTACATACCCCATGTACTTTCAAACTTGTCTCATATTACCACATGTATTTGCAAACGTCTCAAGTTACCCTCCAACCTTTTAAAAACCGTCTCGCGTTACCTGTTCCGTCAGTTTTTTTGACGTTCCATCACGAACGTTGGGCCCCACTTTTTTTTTCTCTCCTCCCCCCCCCCCCCCCACCCAAAAAAAATTCCAGAACAACAGCCCATCCCCTTTTTTACTGTTCATCCGACTAGTTTTTGGGCCGCCATCTCCTCCTCCGGACACCCCAAGTGACGACATGGGTATCAAAAGAACCAGCAAGTTGTCCTCTACCAACCTCACATCTCAGCCGCTGCCAATTGCAGTCTAGATCGCAAGAAAAAGCAAGAAATTGACCGATTTTTACCCAAAATCTTCATCGCTCATTCGGGCGTTTCTAAGCACCATTTGCTTCGATCTAGGTATGGTTTTTCAACCTCTCAAGCTATTCTTGCTGCTAGCTGTGTTGGTTATGAGAAATTTCTGAGTTTTGGAGGGTAAATAAGCGATGAACAATAACAAAAGGGAGGGGCTGCTGTTTTGGAATGAGGGGGGAAGAAGGATAAAAAAAGAAGAAAAAAGGAAGTGGGGCCCAACATTCGTAACAGAACGTCAAAAAAACTGACAGAATGGGTAACGTGAGACGGTTTTTAAAATGTTGGGAGGTACTTTGAGACGTTTGCAAACACATGTGATAATCTGAGATAAGTTTAAAAGCACATGTAGCATGTACATAAATAAGCCTAAATGTAAATGCATCGGTGCTAGTATACTAACCATGAATCCTTTACTTGTAAATGTCTTTACTATTTCCTAACTTTTAATCCATATGGTCCATTCAAAATCAAATAATTAAAGGGCTCAATAATAAAGCTTAAGAATGTGTTTTAGTTTGAGCCCTTTGATTTCTGATCGATCATTTAAAATTAAAAAAAGTCAAGGATGAGAGCAATGAGAAGATCTAGATTTTTGATCAGCCAACTCTCCAATGGATGGTTTTTGAATTTACTTTTTTGAGTAGGATACCAAACATGACCTTAATTTCTTGTCCTTACTTTTCCTTGACCATCCATGTATGCGTACGGATTCTATCCAACAAAAAGGATAACGATAAGATTGTGATGTGTACTAAATTTAGCCATGAGCAAAAACCTAGACCCTCATGTTCATATAAAAACATTAGATTGTATCGTCATCTTACCATATATATGTCAACACTAAACTAGTAGATATGAAATACACTTATCCTTACTTTGAAAGACATCAACTAGGCCTTTGTTTTAAGTTTTTGTTTTATTTGTATGATATGAATCTGATATGCTTTTGGTTAAGCTTGCACACAACTAGCAATGGTTTTAAATGAACCACACTAGAAACCTCATCCAATCAACTGAAATAACTGTATAGATGAAGCATCTGGGCTACCTAACTTGCTAGGACTATGGATTTAACATGCGCCTAACCAATTTGGGTTTGGAGCATTGGACTTACAATTTCACCTTGGGCCTTCATATTGCTTTCACCTAAGGACAACATAAGTTTGGAAAATGCTCTCAAATCATCTAAACACGCCATAACACCATCTCCACGAGAGTTTCCAAATTTTAGCATAAATCAGATTCACATGTGACACGATCTTAAACCTTGATGATTTTGAATCCCACCCTCATCTAAGATGCAAGTTTGGTTTGGACGACGACGCAACCCCAAAAGTATTCAAGTTTGGCTTGGACAACGACGCAACCCCAAAAGTTTGCAACCCCAAAAGGATGCAAGTTTGGCTTGGACAAGACAGAACCCCAAAAGTCGGTCCGACGCTCGTGGCTGGTGACGAATCTGTCACTCATTCATCGCCGTGATAGCATCACAGGCCACGGGTTTCGTTCCGGTCACTAGCACTGCTCTGTAAATTTGGGAATAAATTCATCAACATTTAGAGCATCTCCACCCACAAGGGCTAAGTCTAGGGCAAGGGCAAGCAAGGGCTGCCACTATTCACGTGAATAGTGTCAGCCTTTGCATTTGTGGTTCCACCCATGAGGGCAAAGTCTAGGGCAAGTCTAAGGCAATTACTATTCATTGTACTTTATTTCCTATTTTTTTATACTTTAAACCATTAATTTTGATAAGCTTTTTAGATTATATTTTCGGTTGTCACGTATCACTATTTATATTTTGGATGAAGATTTGGTGTGGAAAGTGAATAAAATTGTTAGGTATTTATAGGGAAAACATCCAGAATTTTTTGGTATTTTTTTAAAAAAAATTTGAATTTTTTTGCAATTTTTTATGCCATTTGTTTTTTTTTATACAAATGGAAAGTAGTAGAAAAATGTGAGGGAAAAAATAAAATGGTTATGTATTTATAGGGAAAAAATACAGAATTTTTTGGTATTTTTTTAAAAAAAATTCAGATTTTTTTCAATTTTTTTTGCAATTTTTTTAGCCAAAAAAACGAGGACTGTCGGATTGTTGGAAAAAAAAAGGATCGAAGAATCAGGGTTGCGACACGTGGCACAGTACCGTGCGATGATGTCACTCTGACGTCATCGAACTCGGGCTGAAGCCCAGTGGAAACTTGCCCTTGGGCTTGCCCGGGCTGGTGGGACCCAGGGCTTGCCCGGGCTGGAAGTGCAGCGCTGGAGCTGTTTTGGGCTATCTGGGGGGGCCTTTTGCCCGACTCTGTGCCTGCGGTGGAGGTGCCCTTAGGGGTTCATGTAATGGTTCAAGTCTTTCATCTTTAGGGTAACATTTGAATTTGAAACGGGGCATTATGCCCAGAAAGTTAGTTATTGTGTAACACTTAAAACTGAACCACACTCAGGACATAACCCAAACTTGCATTTTTTTCATATTCAATTCAATTTGATAATACCATACATCCAATAACATTTCGTCGGCCAGCTTATTTAGATATTAATCAAAGTACAGCACACAGGCCACAAAATCTTCAGAGACTTGCAGATTGAGGCGACGCCACCACATAATCCAAAACGATGACGCTTTCGAGGTGCTCCCTAACTTTGTCCTTCTCCACATTCGCCAGCTCCTGCTTCGAATCCAAACCTTCCAACTCACTCACCCCCGGAAGCACCGCCAGCGACGCGATCGAATACCCTTTCGCTCTCGCCGGAGAGAAGTTCTCGCCTGTGCTAATCTGATTAATCTCCGCAAACTTCCCCTTAATCCCTTTAATCACACCCAAAATCTCAGATTTCGATTCTTCCCCCAAATTTTCCTTCAATTTCAAAAACGACACGCGGATTGCGGACCCCGGCGGTGGGGCCACTGGGCCCTGAACGTCTTCGGCGACCCAGTCAACGGCCATGACGTCGTCGCAGATTGGGAGGACCGAGTCTTTGACCAGGCTGAGGTGGTTCGGGTGCACAGTATAGGAGCTCAGGTCGTCTTTGGTGCTGTAGCGGCTGTGGAGGAGATGGGTGAAGGCGATGGGCGAAGATCGGGTGCGGTAGAGTGGGCCAGCTGTGAGGTGGAGCGTCAGGTTGAGAGAGGCGAGGCCGTTGAGGCCGTTGACCATCGCGTTGACCTTGGACGGGTCTGTGTCGTCTTTGACCTTGAAGAGCACCACGTGCTCCACGATGGGTTTGGCGGCGGCGGAGGCGGAGGCGGAGGAGGACATGTTGATTTTGGGGGTGAAGCGCGAGGGCGAGGGTTTGGAGAAACTTAGGAGGGTGAGTTTGGGAGCTGAGAAAGTGCGAGAAAATTGAGGGGAGAAAAGTGTGCCGCTTGCCCTCACAGTCAGGCTCATATTCTCAAAAGAATCCAAAGAGTGTTGGGGGTGGGTGAGACGAGAGAAGGTGAATGGTTGGTTTCTGATGTGCGATGGTGATGTTTAGTTTCGAATAAAAAGAAAGAAATAGTGATGGTTGGTTGCTACTTAAAACAATTGGGCCAAACAGAACTGGACTTACAAATTTGTGATGGCCCATTTGAAATTGGAAATTGAACATACAAACACTTGGGAAATTGTAATGGTATGAAAAATTCAAAAGCCGAGAGTCCGAAATTAATGAAACGTTACAGAATCTCTAAACTACGAAGGGAGGGAGATTTCTCACACATATTACCACTGATCAAGGTCCTTTTCAATTAAACTAGACCTCGCCTCGGCGGCCAACTTTAGACTGTGAGAAATATAGAGACTCCATAGTGATTTCATGTTGAAGATAAATAATAATAATAATAATACAACTACTATTGAAATTTGAAACAAACATAATATAATGTTATGAGTGTGTTCAACTTAAACATGTTGATTTAAACATTAGAAATGAAGACTGAATTTGAAATACTTGGAGTTGGGAAATTTGTTTGGGCATACATCATAGGTGAACAAATGTTGAAAGGTTTGATTTATGTGGTGGAAGCTGCTCCTTCAACTTGTTGCAACTGCTTCACCTTTGCAATGTATTCAGTCATTGCTTCTTCTTTGCTCTTCCCTGATTAACGTACATACAATTATGGTTAGGAAATAATTATGGTATTAATTTTGTTAATTAGTAGCTATTAAAATTTAATTAATAAATACCTTCAACTGCTTTCCATGCATCCCATTTGGCCCTCTCTGTTGGGCTGAAAAACCCAGGTCGATCTGCATATTATGTATATTAATTGTTTATATATGTATTAATTAATTTAGACAAGAGTTGTTGAGTGAAATTAAATTGTAATTAACATTTAAATTAAAGAAGTTAATTGATGAAAGAACTCACTGGTATTAACCGACCCGACAGTTGCCTGCTTGTAAAGGCCATACAGTATTAGTTTGTCTGCATCCTTTGTTGCTGGGGGCAAAGACTTGGCCTTCTCTGCATATTCTTTGAATTCCTCCTCCTTCCATTCATACTCTTCAACAATTAGATGCTATAATTTCCATGCAGTATCTCAAATTCTAATTCAAATCACAGTGTAAACTATATCTATAGATGATGGAATATACTTGAGAGAGAGAGAGAGAGAGAGAGAGAGAGAGAGAACCTGCAGAGCCATTACAGTATGCAAATGGAAATTGCTAAGCAGAGCCTTTGTTGTGGGTCTTCTTCTTCTACATGGTGGTGGAGTGCATGGACGAGATTCACAAAGAACATATTCTTGTACATACTTACGAACATCGTAGATGATTACAATGAATGAATTACATACATGGGCTCCATTCACTTACTACATCATATTTTCCCACATTAACAGTTTCTTGTAACGGTTTATACCCCTTCTTTTGGCCCAACTATAAATTTTTACAGGGATGGACTGAAGCCTAGGCAGGATCAGCCTTTGGGCTTGCCCGGGCTGCTGGTTGTGCGTTGGAGGTCCAAACCCTTCAAAAGGGACCTCCTGCCTTGGCAAAAGGCCCTGCGCTAAAGGTGCTCTTAATGAGATTAGATTTCGACCAAAAAATAAAAATCTATTTAACCAAACCTTGCACTAGGCTAGAGCCCACCCTAATCGTAGTGTAGTTTCGCCTAAGACTCATATATTTATAGAGTTTTATCTCAAAAAGTATAACAGTTTAATTTTAAGAAGATTTACCACTTAATTAACCCTTTTTATAAACAATTAATTTTTCGACGTGAAACAATTATATTTGATACATAATTCATAATAAAAAGTGAGAGAGTTTTGGTTATAGACAAGGCCAAAGTGACGCTATTAGATTACGGAGAGAGAAAAATCTAAAAGTGAACAAGTACCACATATATGGCAGGATTTATATTTGGGAGAAGTCACTCACTCGTTCACTTCATCTATACCCCAAATGCAATTCTCCCTCCTCTTGTCCATGTGCCTGCTTTCATATGGGACTTTTCGTCATCCTCCACATATTCCTTGTACAAACTCCAAACACCTTTTTCGACCGAAAAAACAAAAACTCCAAACACCTTTCTTCTCATAATGTGTCCCACGTGCTTCAGGATGAATAGTATTTAGGATAAACACCCCTTTAATTTTAGGTATGTAACAACTTGACCCTTTATCTTTTAAAAGTTAGTAAATACAACCCTTAAAGTTGTCAATTGTCAAGCAATTCGTACCGTCATCCGTCTAACTACAAAATTTATTTAATGTGGCACTCGGTGAACCTAAACTTTTAAATGTTAACTTCACAAATTGATAGACGAGTCAAATTGTATAAGAATTCGTAATTTTTTGATTATTTACATGCCCGTTTGATAACCATTTCAATTTTAATTTTTAGTTTTTTAGTTTTTTATTTTTTTATTTTTTGTGCTAAGAGTGTGGAAGAAAATGAGATTGAGAATGAGAGTGAGGATGAGAGGGGAGGATGAAACGGAAGAGTAACAAAAGAGAAAATAAAAACTTGAAAGTGAAAACAATTTCAAATATATTTTAGTTTTTAGTTTTAGTTTTCACTTTTATTACTTTTCTCTCACATTCTCGTTTCTCATCTTCCCTCTTAATCTCATCTCCGCTATCACTTTCATTCTCTCTCTAAAATTGAAATGGTTATGAAACGGGTCCTACAGTATTCTTAACACAAAACTGAAAAATGTTATAGTACATATTCAAAAATTAAAAAATAAATATGTGACTGTCCAATATAAAAAGCCCGCGTGTTTAGTGGAAGGCAGAAACACTTGCCTTGCCTTTGAGATGGTCTCCTATTTAGAAAACCAATCGTGGAGATTGCAGATAATCATTGAAATCATTGGGACCTTTAAATAGTGATTAAATAATTAAGCAAAGCCCTAAATAACAAGAAGAAGAACAAGAAGAAGAGAAAATCTGAATACGAGTGTGTGCGTATGGTGCACGGATTGGTACTCAAAAAAACTCAAACATCTTCTCTATCTATCCATCGAATCTATTATTTTATCAAAAAAATCACCGAAACAAAAATTTTCAAAGGCAAAGACAAACGCAAAAGCAAGGCTAAATGGGGCTTTGCTTAGTTGTTTTATGTTCAACTTGTGAAAACGACCATGCCCAATAATGTAGTGTACTTGAATTAGTGCTCCTAGATTAGTATCAATCATTGTTTAATTGGCGTGGCCATGTGGTTTTTGGTTGTATTATCTATGTAATTATTTAAGGAAGCCAGTAGGTAAGTAAGTATCAAACCATAATATATATGAATGAATGAGAATCTTGTTGGCAATTGGATTAGATTAGTTATCCTTTCGTTAACTTTTTCCCTACTATATTACAAAATATAATGTCGTCATTAACGTCATTTCAACTTGGGATCTTATCTGATTCCTAACTCTCAAACTATTCTTCATGCAACACTAATTTATTATTTAATTATTGATATTAAGTGCGTATATAAATACAATCTTACATTAAACAGTTAAAACGAGTAGGCGATTGATCGTAGCATTCTTCCAGATACATTTTAGTTATTTTTTCAGATAAGGGAAGTAAAAGGGTGTGTAGGTTCCATTCCATCACACATGAGGAAGAAACAAAACAACAATGTTGAATAGTGTGTCCACCTGAGATACACATACACACTCCTCTTTTTTTCTTTTATTTATTTTTTGGGTCTGAGGAAATTTAGAAATTATATTATTTACAATGTGGAAGCTTGACAGAGAGTGGGTCCAGTTTGAATGAATTGTAGCTCAGCAGGAGGAGCAAATGAGCAGGTTTGGGAAGCTGTGGATAGGTTTGGAACCAATCTGGCAGATCTCCCGAGCCTTACAGTCTCACAGAACATGTGTCTCTACATCATTGGCAGGATTATAGATATGACTCTATCTAGACCATATTCACCGCTAAAAAATCTTTATGACGTTTGATTAAGAAAGATATTTTTCGAGCGCGCGCGAAGATACTAGTTTATGCATACAAACAAAATAGTTCTTACAATTAAAATTTTCAAAGTCATAGGTTTTTCTTTCTTAGAAAAAATAAAGAGACAAAAATTGATGTCATAAGCCGTGATTCAACTTTTCTTTGGGTACATAATTAAAGGAAAATTCAGCCCTTTCCGCTGACCTTTAAGATTTTTTTATTTTCATTTAAAGGTATTAAGTGCAGTAATGCACCAAGTTGATGGATATGACATATCAAACGTCTCTTCCTTCAGTGCCACTGCCCTTGAATTGAACCCAAAGAGAGGCGTGAAGGTGAAAAGCAATCTTTGTTGACTTTAATTTTCTTAAAGTAATGCCATGCCAAACCTGAATTTTATTCTTATTTTTTGTTTTTCATTATGTGAAAACGGAAAATTATAAGCAAAAATCACGGGAGCACGCATGTCCAAACATATCAAAGTAAAAATGAAGAGAGCAACTTAAGAGGAACCCCTCTCCCACAATTTGGAGGGATCAAGCCCATAGCCCAAGGATCCACAAAAATAAGAATGAAGATATTGTATTGATTTAAAAACACTTCTTTGGTTGGAAGGAAATTAATTTGAGTTGTAAAATCAAGGATCCCACAAAAATTGTTGATTTGGTTTCATACACCAACCTCTTTCAAGCCAAATAGAAAGAGTTCGGTTTTGTCTGGTAAGCAAACACACTTGATTAAGAGTGTTTCGGTTTAGGGTAATCGCAACTACACTTGATTAATGTTGCTCTAGACAAAGTAGATTCTTAAATTCGAACCATTTAATCATTAATGGATAGACCAATCTATTAGAGATAAATATCTTGCATGAATTACACATGCTTAACGATTAAGATCTTCATTTTACATGTACTTAAAACAAGACAAGAAGCGAGTTTTATTAATCGAACATAACTCAACAACAATAGCTTTACATGAAATTTTACCATCTGTTTGGATGAAGAAAAATGACTCGGGATTTAGCTAAAAATCGGGAATTGAAGAAGTGAAATTGATATTTCCATTGGTTGGCAACTTAAACATGGAATTTACTAAATGATGCGGAAAAAAATCGTGGAAATTGGGGATCAAGATTTCCGAGTTTAATTTCCACTAAAAGAGGAGTCATTTCGCAATTTATATTGAGCATAAATTCATTTTTCATTGTAATTTATGTCATTTACAAAATTCGACATCCATAAATCTAAACACTAAAATTATTAATTGTCATAAATTTAAACGATGGAGATATAAATTCCGTCATTTAAGAATTATATGCAATTTTTAATTTCTTCATCCAAACAAAGGGTGAAAAATTATGTATTATTAGTAGAAAAATGTGATTTCCCGTAATGGATAGTTGAGGTAAACTTAATGCAAGACTACGACAAGTGTATGTTATTGTTATGTCTATTTCTATCTTCACGTGCTGAGAGTGATACATATAAGAGTGTTATTTTAAAGTTACACGGAACTAGCAGAGATGTGGTTCGTAATATGGTCAAAGCGGCGAATAACTTTATCTAGGGCAGTAATCGCAGATTGCATCATCAATCACTACCAACGTGGCTAATAAATAGACCAATGGACAACCCATAATTGGGGGTATGAGGAAACACACAACCAAATCCCAACTGAATAATAAATAAATAAATAAAATAGGAAATAACAGGTAGATATGGATTTTATACTATTATACGACAACAATATATTAAGAGGGCTAAAATATTTGGACACACTGAGAAGGGGGGTCCGAGCGTGACTGTCAAATCTACATATTCTTTCTTTCTCTCTCTAAATTTTTTTTCAGAATTCAGAGGTGTTGTGGTCTGTTCTCCTCTCCTCTCTTTCTGTTCTCTTCTGTTCCGGAGATTCGATTCAATCGCCGATCTTTTGCAGCGTTTTTCGGATTCCGTCGTCTTCCTCTTTCATTCAATCTCTGTCTTAGCGCAGAATATAATGTTCCAGATTTTCAAGGTACGAACATATTAATTATTTAATTATATGTATTTGGAGAAACAGGGTTGAATATAAAAACAAAAAAGATATCTCTTTTGTGGTTGGATTTTTATTTTTATTTTTCTCATCACCAGTTTCTGTGTCTGCTCAATTTTCTTCTGCTTGCACATTGACCGTATCGGCTTCTTGTTTTTCATATAAAATTCTCATTTTTGCTGTGGGTTTTGAGAGTTTTTCTTCAAAGATATTTTGATGTTATGTAAATTTGGATTCTGAAGATATTTGCATTTTTTTTTATAGTACGGCCATTATTCTTTTCTTAGTTTACTCAGTATTGTTTTCTACTCCAGCAGTTTTGTTCTTCTGCAACTGCAAATTTTCATGTACGGTTTCAACGCTTGAATTCCCAATTGGTCCTCCTTGTTTCTGCTGTTTTTGAATTTCATGTAAAAACCCAATTTGGAATTCTTCTTTTTTGGGTTCATATATAAACTCAATTTGGGTTATTTAATTATATTTTTGATATTTTAATTCATTAGTTATTATATATCTTTCTTTATTAATCTGTGTATTTTGGGATGTAAAGATCAATAATGCTGTTTCTGCAGTAGTACTCTCATGGCCTCATCTTCTCTGCATCATTGACTGGCTTCTGTTTTTTTTTGGGGGGGTCTTTGAGATTCTTCTTTGGGAACTCTGAGCTTTAGGTGGGTATTTTCTTAGTACATTAAAAAAGGTTCCCTTTTATGGAAATGGGATCTGCTTTTTCTCCCATATCATCATAAATAACAACAACAATAATAAAAATAATAATAGCAGCAATAATAATAATAATAGTAATAATAGTAACTCATGGCTTTAATCTAATTCTCCTGTGAAAAGAAGAACTCATGGAGGTGATGATTTCTTCGAGATAACTTGTCTCATGTACACCACCAATGTCTTCAACAGATGTTTTCTTTTTCTTTTTCCCATGGGTGGTTTGGTTAGTGCAAGCATGTACAGATAAGTAGCTATGATTATGAGTGTTTGTAAAAAGATAAGAACTTTATATTTTATTGCATAAAGAATGTGTCCCTTTCTTTTGGGTTCTTTCTGCTCATCATCATTTTCTTCTTTCTGTTCTTGATGATGCAGGACTGGTTCTGATCTGATCGAATTCTGACTCGAAAATAAAAATGGAGGGTGACACATTTTCAGGGCTTGGCAATGGTACCCAAATTGATGGCAAGGTTTTGCAGACATTTCAGAAGAGCTTTGTTCAAGTCCAGAATATCTTGGACCAGAACAGGCTGCTCATAAATGAGATAAATCACAACCATGAGTCTAAGATCCCTGACAACCTCAGCAGAAATGTGGGTCTGATCAGAGAGCTCAACAATAATATCAGGAGGGTGGTTGACCTGTATGCTGATCTTTCAAGTTCCTTCACCAAATCCATGGATACTTCTTCTGAGGGAGACTCCAGTGGTGCTTTGAAATCTGATGCAAAAGCTGGGCACAAGCGGATTAGGCCTGCATAGAGATCATAATTGTCTTCCTGATTCTTTTGCATGGTGGGAAGAAAAGAGATTCACAATTCTGTTGAGATGGTAGAAAAAAAAATTGATTAGATTCTGTAACTCTACTGTATCTGTGAACTATCCCTAGATTTTCACTCACTTTCTCCTTACATTTGTTAGATAATAATTTCCCAGAATTCCTATTTCATTGTAAGTCTGTGTAACTGTGGAATATGAAAAAAGAAAAAAAAAAAAAAAAAAAGATAAGCTTGTTTATGTCATTTCATTTCTACTTTTTTTTTCCTGTTCCTGTTAATTGCTAAAAAAAAGTTTATATATATATATATTATATATATATATTTCTTTTGTTTATTAAATTACCATTCTCCCTTGTGTTTTCCCCTCTTCAATTTGTCAAGTTCTTTGATTTGCTCAGGGAATTTAAAGAGAGCTGATATATTCCTTTATGCCAATTAAAAAGAGAAAGGGAGAGATATTTGAGATTGATAGGGCACAGCTTTATTCAACTTTTACTGTTTGTGAAAGGAGACTAAAATTTGATGTGTGGAAGTATATGAATCTCCTTTTCATCAAGGATCAACATTAACTTTTGATGCAAATTCTTCCACAAAAACAAAAACCCTTTATTCCCCCTTTTTCCCAAGCTTTGCACTAAAGCAAGTTTCCCCCAGAGTTTTAACTGAGAACTGAAGTGAAGAGGTAGCAGACTTGTTCTCAGTAATCTCCCATGAAGCCAAAACTCCTTTTTTCCACACTTGTTTCTGCTGTTGGTGTTGCTGAGCAATTTGCTGTTTATGATTATTTTTCCTTTCTGTGTTATTGTGGGAGTGTGGAGAAGTGTACATAAAAACAGGCATACATCTCTGTGAAGATGCTCTGAAATAATTGGAAAGAAAGCAGCTTTTTAGATTAGTCTTTTTGGTTCCCAATCACACACCACCACATGAACAGAATCTCAGATAAGAGATGATGAGCTTTTTTGACCCTTTTTTTTATATAAAAAAATTATTTATATTTGTTGTGACCAATGGCAGTCCTTTTGATGGTACTGGTAGAGAAAATAAAGTATTCCATAGGTAGTTTAAAACAAAGCACTATAGTTCCAAGAGACAGACAGATATGTATAAACAGTGACCCCCAACAACATGACAAGGGACCCAAATGCTCTCTCTCTCTCTCTCTCTCTCTCTCTGGGGATGAAACTCAACTTCTCCATGCTTATGCTTATCCCCTTCCATCTACTTTAGGCTTTTTTTTTCTTTTCTCATTTAACTTTTCCCTTTATTTATTTAGTTTTTGCAATTTTTTAATTTCCTTTAGGCAATAAATGACCTTTATGTATGACTATCTTCAAGTTGATGACTTCTCAGCACAGATATATATATCTCTCTCTCTCTTTCTCTGATTGAGTATATGTCTCTGTTGATGGACCCCTTCATGTTGCAACCTAATTTCCTGATCTTTGGAGTGGAGGCCCACATGACTGATTGCTGGAAATAGCTTTGGATTTTGAATATTCGTAAGAGAGAGAGAGAGTGATGTCTTACACACTTCATATGCAAAATTGGTCTCATTCGACCACCCATTTATTTATATGTTAAAAGTAGTATGCCTACGGTCACCTGATTGGTGTAGTGGTGTAAAATATACCGTATTGGTATAAATTAGGTTTAATCATACTTCGTGTTGTACTCGGTGTAGAATAAGATTGCTTAACACATCCATCTTGGCACGACCTAATGTCTTGTTAGGCCGCATTCATTTGAATAATTTAATTTGCTACTGTTATTGGAGATGCTCTAATATTGTATTATATCCGATTAATTGTGAGGAATGGACTCATATCGTGTTTGTGACACCTCTTCATTGAAATACTCATATAAAATCGAGTATTAAAAACCCTTGTAAACAGAAGAAGGTATCTCTCAAACCTAATTAACAATGACAATAACAGCTGCACAAGCAACAACATTATAGTGAAACCATGTTATTAAAATTAGTGGTAATCTTGATCACACCGTCAACAGCAATACAAGCCTGCCAACAATGCAAATAAAAAAGAGTCCAGGTTTAATCCACTGGATCAAGTTAATATAAACTAAACTAAACACACAACCTGCAAGATCATGATCCTAATTAAAAACTGGATTAATGCTTTCTTTATTGCGAAATTAATTAAGGTAATCATAAAGGGCTAGAAAGATCAGATGATTGGGTCCCTAAACCAGGCCAGACAAATTAAACATTGCTATAACTTAACATGTGCAATCCTGCAGTGGGAATCTACTTTTAGCCCATTCTTGCCTTTCTGTTGTTCCTTACATTTCCAGCAAAATGCAGGTTGGAAAGGACCCCAAAATGTCCATTTTGCCCCTTGAATTCGACCCCAATTTATTACAGTAGACAATAAGACTCTGTGTCTGTTCCTAGAGGGTTTTGTAAATCATTATTAATTGGACCTAATTAGGTAATCAGGCTATAATAATCCACGCCCATACTTGAAAAGACCTATTATGCCCTAATAACAATAACAATGTCAATAATGATGACGATAGTCCATTAGCTCCCCCTACTTTCTTTATTTCTTTCTTCCTAAGGAATGAGCTCTATGTGGTGGGTGGACAAATAATTTGGAAATCTACAAACTCATGTGAACATCCCCAATATTCTAATTATAGGATAAACACTTTGTATTTTTAGAATTTCTCGTGTGTTTTTAGCATATTGTGTTCGTAATATAAAATACGTGAAAGTCACTGTATATGGTAAGATTCAACATTTTTATATAAGAATTACAATTTCATACTTTTGTGACACAATATTTCATCCAATGCCATTTTTAAATGGTAATCGTAAGCAATCATTTGCAATAAGTTGGTTGAACCAACTACTTAAGCAAGTTATTAAGTTGTGATTGAGAGAAACATGTGGTTCCACCTTGCACATTGTAATGGAAAAAGAGAAATTTCACATCATTACACATAATATAACCCCAAACACATCAAGATCTTACAAGATCTCAATATGTGTTGAGAGTAATTTTATGAATTAACTTTAAGTATCGTTTATTTTTTGTGGCATCTAAGTAATTTTATTACCTAACAAAAAAAAAAAAGTTATTTTATTACTAACAAATAAGTAATTGAACTTACTAATTAGGTATTTGTTTAGTAGTATTTTTCTTCTCAATGTTATAATCGGTTTCAAATTTGATCCAAAAAACAAATTAATTAGACAAAATTCTATAGCAAGGGTACCATATATGGACTTCTCATGTGGACCTTCATATTAACCATATGATCTATATATGACACCCTCACCATAAAACGACTCACTAGATGGAACCAAGATATTTGCCTTAAACTTTTTACAGATTATCTAAGAGCATAATGAAACAATTTGGGCCGAAGTTAAACAGTACAGCCCAACCCAAGTTTAATGGACGAAGACCTATTTTGGGCTAATTTCTGGGCCTTTGGGCCATCGTTTTTTTTAAAGCCTTGTACTCGGCTAAAATTGCCAAACAAAAAAGAAAAAAAAGAAAAAATCTCTAAAAAAAAGAAGAAAATATATGAGCAAATATCATCCGTTCATCAAACTGACAACATATCGACCGTGCGATTATCTCCACCTGTACTTATAAACCCCTCATTTCCTTAACCCCAAACCGGGTGTCAACAAAGCTAGGGTTTGCAGAGGTCCCGCCACCACATTTCAGATCTCACATCTGCAACTTCCACATTCGCGACAATGGCGACCCAAATGAGCAAGAAGCGAAAGGTCAGTCCTTCTACCCTGTTTGTTTCCAAGAGAAAACACAATAAAATTCGATCTCAGGTTCAACTAAAGCTCTTGTCTTTATGTTTGGTTACAGTTCGTCGCCGACGGAGTGTTCTTCGCCGAGCTGAATGAAGTTCTCACGAGAGAGCTCGCCGAAGATGGCTACTCTGGCGTTGAAGTTAGGGTCACACCGATGCGTACCGAGATCATAATCAGAGCCACTCGTACCCAGAACGTGCTCGGTCGGTTTATCATTTTTATTGAAAAAATTTATTTTTGTGACCTTTTTAATTTAGGCATGTATTTTGATGATTTATTGATTGTTCGTGTGCATTTTATAATAACTATAGGAGAGAAGGGGAGGAGGATTAGGGAGCTAACCTCAGTGGTACAGAAGAGGTTTAAGTTTCCAGAAAACAGTGTTGAGCTTTATGCTGAGAAGGTTAACAATAGAGGGCTTTGCGCTATTGCCCAAGCTGAGTCTCTCCGTTACAAGCTTCTTGGAGGCCTCGCTGTCCGCAGGTATATGATTTTATCTTTATTTTTTTATTTCTATTAGTGATCTAATGATGAACAATTGTAATAAAGGCCTCTCATTTTTTTTTCCTCATAGCTTTTGATTTTGTTGGTGAGCTATATTGTCAATCTGATACAGTGTTTCGGTTTAAAATTATGAATCTATTCTTTTGTATTGAAGTGTTATTTTCAATTCTACAATGTGCTGTTGAGACAGATTAGGGATGAGCTTATTTAGTGTTTGGGTTGTTTATTATTTGTTCTGTATCTGGATAATGCGCTGTTTTGCAAATTTGGTTTTTGTCATCTACAAAGCATATTGGTGTTCTCGTACCAACTTTGTGTCGGAAGATGACGAAATTGATATATATATATATATATATACTCCATGCCATCATCCTCATGAAATGCCATTGTCTTCATGCAGTAACCGTGAGGAGGGTACATTTTTATACATGGCTTCCTGTATACTTTCTTGTTAACAACCGTGTTTTAGCCTGGGTTTCTAATAGACCAGCCTCTGTTCATCACTGAGCCATTTATAGAGCAAATGGAGTTTGTTTGTATTGGTTTAGGTCTACAGGTTTTATATATAATTCAATAGTTTCTGTTCAAACTTCTGGCTGGGGCTTGAACATTTTCTTGGTAGTAGAATTTTTTGTTCATTTGAGATATATGATGTATAGTTTTGCCTATTTGTTAGTTGTTGTTTTCTGTCATCTACAAAGCATATTGGTGTTTTTGTACCAAATTTGTGTCGGAAGTTGACAAAATTGATTGACATCCTCCATGAGATAATCTTCATGAAATGCTTTTGTTTTCATGTTGCAATCTTAGGGAGGGCAAATCTTTCTATTGGACCGTTACTGTTAGTCTGGCCTGGTGTTTCTGACTTGCATTTTGTATTTGAAATATAAGCTGTATTGTTTTGCCAATTTGTGAGATGGTAGTTTTATGTCATCTACAAAGCATGTTGGTGTTTTCGTACCAAATTTGTGTCGGAAGATGACGAAATTTATTTACTTCCTCTTTGAGATAATACTCATGAGATGCTCTGGTTTTCATGTTGTAACCTTAGGGAGGGTACATTTTGGATCGTTACTGTTATTTAGGCCTTGGGTTTCAGACACTCATCTAGTGTTACATACATAATCTTGGGTATTGGTTTTTCCCAGTTTTTCTACATAATGCAATTGCCAATGATGATGATAAATTGTGATTCATGGATGGACCCCATTTATGTGCAATTTTGTATACTGAATATATGCTTAATGTCTAATCTACCATGAACTGTTCCTTTCAGGGCCTGCTATGGTGTTTTGAGATTTGTCATGGAAAGTGGGGCCAAGGGATGCGAGGTTGGTCATTGGCAGTTTTTGATACTGGTTTTCCTATCCCGTTTTGAATTTGATGTTATATGTTATTGTTACATTATTAACAGGTGATATGTTATTGGTACAGGTGATTGTTAGTGGAAAGCTAAGAGCACAGAGAGCCAAGTCCATGAAGTTCAAAGATGGGTACATGATTTCTTCTGGTCAGCCAGTTAATGAATATATCGATTCTGCTGTGAGGCATGTTCTCCTCAGACAGGTTTGTCCAGGTCACCTGTTTCTTCCTTCCGTAGTGCTTCATGAGTTGGTTTGTTCTGTACAAATGGTTCTCTGTTATAAATGGTCTAATCACTTTATGTATTTGCATACAGGGTGTACTTGGTATTAAGGTCAAGATTATGCTTGATTGGGATCCCAAGGGCAAGCAAGGCCCCATGACCCCCTTACCTGACCTTGTTACAATCCACCAACCGAAGGAGGAGGAGTATTTCAGGCCTGCAGTAGCAGCAGCGGCAGCAGCGGCAGCACCTGTTCTGGGCGCAACTGATATTGATGTCCCGCTGGTTGTGGCTTAAGTCCTTAACATATGTTCTGAGATAGTCATCCATTTTTTGTAACTTCAATCTCGAGTATTTTAATTTTATTGTTTTCTTATGAAAAATTTTGCGTACAAAAAGATGGGACAGAGCATTTCTCAAATTGTGTCGCACTCAGACAATTTTGTTTAATATTTCCTTATTTTCAGAGTTGTTTATGTTCCTTCCCTCTCTCTGTCCCCCGTTGTCTTTCTTTTTATCAAAGACTAGGCTTCATCCACGTTCTTCCATGAATGTTAAATAAGTAAGCAAAAGTCGTGTGCAGCACCTTATGCATGGTAATATGGTGATTTACTCATCTATTTTAGTTTCTAAGTTCGATTTTCTCTTATTTTAATATTGCTTGTATAAAAAATAAAAAAAAATTCATGGCAGTGTTTGGTTTCGTGCATTGCAAGTCTTACACGTTACAAAAGTGATCTTTAAAAAATAGGAAAAGAAAAGCTTCAACACATGTGTAAGTGTGTGTATGGAAGAAACACTGTTTGCATGTAAGGAGCGAAGTATTTGATTGAAGGGGTTGACGCGTTCCACGCGAGCTTCCACCTAGGCAGTGGTGCTTACATTTCTCAGTCATGCAAAACGGGCTCAGTGCTTCATCACGGTTTACCAAATGGGCAGGCAAGACCAAGCTCAGGTGAAGCAAAGGTGGGATCCACATGCACATCTTAGAAAGAACAAAAAAGAAGGTAAGACCAAACTCAGAAAACCTTATCCTGCAAGTAATAAAACAACAAAGCTGCCTTTAATGCAGCACTTACACTTGGAAATTGGTCCTCTCTGTCACATTTTTCTTGCAGCACATACTCAGAAATTGGTCCTCTCCTCTCTTCTCTGTGTTGTAACTTGTGTTCTTCAATGTTGTCATTTCTGTGTGCTGCTCTCATGGTTCTCTATGTTCCTTTGCCTCCAGAGGACCACTTCTCTGAGTTTGAAATAATCCCTGCGGAGGATAATTATCAGAACCCCCCAACTGGAAATGATCAGCAGCAACATGCTGAATGGTTTGAGGAGCAGTTGGAAGATGATCTCAAATGGTCTTTTGCTTTGAATGGGTACGCCTTCAAGTATTCAAACATGAAAAAAAAATTAAAAAAACCAATTCTTCTAACTGGGTTTACATTTTGATGAATCTTTTGGAATTTCTGCTGCAAGGTGAATCAAATTCAAATCAATTCCGAGAGAAATCACATCATGCAAATTAAATCATCAGTTCATTTTGTACAATATTAGTACTGGTTTAGATTCTCTCTCTCTCTCTCTCTCTCAGTGTGTTGCATGCAGCAACAAGCGAGTTCCAAGACATAGTTCTTTTGGACACAAAGCGATTTGGAAAGGTTGGCTAGCTATCACAATAAGGACTCTAAATCACACACACATATCAATTAATTGGTCACTTTTATTTATTTATTTTTTGTGTGTTGGTATATTTAGGCTCTGGTGATCGATGGGAAGTTGCAGAGTGCTGAAAGAGATGAGTTTATTTACCATGAATGCTTGGTTCATCCTGCTCTTTTACTACATGACAAGTATATATGCGAATATATTTTTAGCTTAGCTTAATCCTTTTTTCTTTTTCCCTTTTGTGTCTTATTTCTGTGTAATTGGTTTCAGCCCAAAAACAATATTTATAATGGGAGGTGGCGAAGGGTCAACAGCAAGAGAGTCACTAAAGCACAAAGATGTAGAGAAAGTTATCATGTGTGACATTGACAGGGTGTGATGCTTCTCAAAACACACATATATATATATACATATATATATATATATACATATATATATATATATATATATATGAGATTTACCATTTAAGTGAAAGCGAAATGATCTTCCATCTTGCTGTTTGGGGTTTGACACCCCCCCCCCTTTAGCATGGCATCTGAAGGTGTTGCTTAACATGAATATTGCAGATGGTTGTCGATTTTTGCCGAGAACATCTGACAGAAAATCAGGAGGCGTTTCGTGACGATAAGCTCCACATTGTTTTCAATGATGCAAAGTAAGTAGCTAGTTTGTCTTTCTTTGCTTTAATTTGTTGTTTAATCTCTCAATCGCAAGTGAAAGCCTTTAGGACAGATATTATGAGCAGAAGATATTGGTTTTCGGTTGTTAAGCAAGCCTTGATGTATGCCAGAAACAATCTTGGTCTGATAATGAACTGATATGTAAGAGTAATTAATGTGATTGAAGGGATGAGCTAGAGAAAACTGAAGAAAAGTTTGATGTGATTGTGGGAGACCTACCAGATCCAATAGAGGGAGGGCCTTGCAATGACCTTTACACCAAACCCTTCTATGAGCAAGTCCTAAAACCCCACCTCAAAGACAATGGCATCTTTGTCACTCAAGTAAATACAGTAAACTAGTATGAATCAGGTAGCTTTGGTTCATTTCTTGAAACTTTTCCAAGTTGTGTCTTTATCTTGCTCTACGCTATCGATGAACAGGCTGGTCTGGCAGGAATTCTTTCCCATAAGGATATCTTCACTTCAATATACAACACTATAAAACATGTGTTCAAATGTAAGCATTTCCTTTCATTTTCGGTTAACTTCGTGTACCTTGTTTCTCTGTTGCATGACAAAGGTTGCTTTTCTGCAGATGTGATTGCATACACAGCTCATGTGCCATCTTATGCAGATTCATGTGGATGGGTTTTGGTAAGTACTAATTAAGTAATTAACCACCATGAAATTAGAATTAACTGAGGAGGAATTTTCTATCGAAACACATTGATTCTGTTCCATTTGATGCCTAACTACTAACATCTGCACACAGGCTTCAGATGAACCACTCAAATTGGACGTTGAACAACTCAACAGCAGAATCCAGGAAAGAATTAGAGGAGATCTCCTCTATTTAGATGGTGCTTCCATTGTATCATCCACTGTAGTAAACAAGATGATCTGCACATCGTAAGTTGGAATGCTACAATTTCCATAACGAATTAAGAAGAATTACGTGACATATCAGTCCATATAGCCTGGAATTTGACAATCTTTTCTGCATGAACTCTCTATGAATAATGGATCATCCCTACCTATACTAAAGTAAATTTTTTGTTGCAATGCAGGCTTCTGAAAGAAACTCAAGTCTTGACTGGAGAAAACGTAAGGTTCGTCTATGGGCATGGGCTTGCAAAGAATGCAGAAGAATAGGGGGTCTAATGTGCTATTGAAAGGAAAACCAATGATAAAGAATAAAAGTATCTGGGCATGTAGACTCACAACTAATAATTGAAGGTTTTTTTGACAAAACCATTGGCTCAAATTCCGGATTTTAGGAAATAATCAACTACCATTGCTTTACCATTATGTCACTGGATTAAGTCCCCACCTTTTGGTACCCCAGAAGCAAACAAATGTTTGTTAGAGCAAACCCCATATCAACTCTACCAAAATCATCTAACTTCGACTTACTATTAAGTATTTTAGGTCAGACTTTGCCAAATTTAATGTAAAGCTGGATTTGATCAAACAATTTGCAACACATAGATGGGCATGGATTGTACAAGAGGAGAAAAAATCCTTTGGATTTTTCTACAGTTAGTCGAACATATGCATATAGGCGAAATTTGACCATTAATATGAATATATGCATATAGGCGAAATCTGATCATTAGTACATTACTAAATTTAAATGAAGCTAGGTTTGATCAAACAATTTGCAAGTTGCATTTGATACACACATGAGCTTGGTTTGTACCATAAAGAGCAGAAAAACCCTACACATTTTGTTAGCGTTAGTCTTTTAAAAGTATAGAGTAAAATCTGACCGTTGATGCATTGTGAGTTCCATGTACGTAAATTATTGCGTGAGATGGTGATATAGTTATCATACTAGTATGTCTTATCAATCAAAGATTGTTACAGATTAAAATCGTAAAGCAGAAGTGAAATTTAATTACGAACTCTAGAGCAAATAATCTACTTTGTACGAAGAGCATGAGAGAAGTTTTTTTCTTTTGGGGGTCAGTTGTTTGAAGGCTAAGGAAGGGCGGTGACATAACTGTAATTTCAAAAGTTCGAGCGTCCTATATAAAACCCGTAAACCGATTCGAAAATCAAAATCCCTTTTCTCTCTCGGTCGGTTATTTCCTGCAACACCCCGCCACCTGCAACACCCCGCCAATTACACTCCCTCTCATTCCGTCAACAATCTCTCGTTAATTCCAAATCTACCCTTCGTTCTATCCCGTGACTAAGTCACTAGCCTCACCGTCTTCCTCCTCAAATTGACATACGCCTAGGGTTCCTCAGAATGCCGGTGCACCTGACGCCGAACGCGATCGCGGCGATCTCAGCCGGCGACTTGAACTCGAAGCCATTGGTGCAGGTAATCGATATTAAGCTCCTCGGCAAGCAGGAGCGGTACCGTTTCATAGTCTCCGATGCCGTTTCGTGTCAGCACGCCATGGTCGCTACGCAGCTCAACGACCGAATCAAGACCAGCCAAGTCAAGAAAGGTTCCATCATCCAGCTCACCGATTACATTTCCAACTACTTCCAGACCCGCAAGTCCGTCTCTCTCTCTCTCTCTCTCTCTCTCTCATTTCCGATTTTTGGTTAATTAAGATTGATTTTGGTTTTGATATGAGATAATTGCTTGTGGTTAGAAAAAGCTAGAAATGTGTCTGATGATTTTAGGACTTAGCTGAATTTAAGTTATGGAATCGAAACGAGTGCTATATAGTCTTAATCAAAGTTGAATATTATTGTGGTTGTTTGAGCAGTGATCAGAGGCAATTTGCGTTTCAAGGAATTGACGTTTCAAATTTTGATTAAATCAGTTTATGAGCTAACATTAAGTATCAGAAGTAAAAGTTTCACTCTATGTAACCATATGTTCAGGTTTTTTGGGGTGTCGGTTTGCATCTTGTCTCTAATAATTCAGTATTTTATATTGATCTTGTGGGTATGTCAAAGTTAGCAATGGTACGCAATTATGCGCTTGATGTTCATCTATCTTGAGAAACGAAGAATATAATCTGTGCAATAAAGCTAGGATTTTCTTTTTTGGGGGTTGAATCACAAGCTATGATGAGGTAAATTTGTATTGAAAAAAAGAGAACTTAAAAACTAATGTAACTAGAGAGCTTAAAAGCAGTGAGTTTTGACTTTCCGCTCTTTGTACAGGATTATTGTAGTGCTGAACATGGAAACTATCATACTGGACTCTGAGATTATTGGGGATCCAAAACCATATGTTGAATCTGGTTCAACTGCTCAAAAGGCATTGCCTAATAACAATTTTGAGCACTCAGTCGGGGATAGCAATAACTATATGATTTCTCAAGAATCTGTACGCAATGTGCAGAGTCTCAGACCTACTTCTCATTCAGGGACCTCTCTTAACCGTGGGCCGAATCTCAGACCTACTTTTCATTCTGAAAACTCTGTTCACAATGTGCCAAATTTCCGACCTACTGTCCAACCTCCTTACCAGCCACCCCCACAGTACAAAAATCATGGCTCAATCGTAAAGAACGAGGCACCGGCACGGATCATTCCTATTAATGCTCTGAATCCTTATCAGGGAAGGTGGGCTATCAAGGCAAGGGTCACAGCAAAAGGGGATCCCCGTCGGTATAATAATGCTCGAGGAGATGGTAAGGTTTTCTCTTTCGATCTCCTTGACTCTGAAGGAGGGGAAATACGAGTGACCTGCTTCAATGCTGTTCTTGACCGCTTCTACGATACTATTGAGGTTGGTAGAGTTTACTTGATTTCAAAGGGTAGCTTGAAACCTGCCCAGAAGAACTTCAACCATCTGAAAAACGACTGGGAGATAACTTTGGATGCAAGTTCAACTGTGGAGCTCTGCCCTGACGAAGATGGTTCTATACCAGAGCAGAAGTTTTCCTTCAGGCATATTAGTGAAATTGAGAATGTTGATAGTAATTCTATCGTTGACATTATTGGTATTGTGATATCTGTCAACCCTTCTGTTCCTATTATGAGGAAGAATGGTATGGAAACTCAGAGAAGAATTGTGAATCTAAGGGATTGGTCAGGCAAGAGCGTTGAGCTAACCCTTTGGGGAGATGTCTGCAACAGGGAAGGTCAAAGGCTTGAAGATATGTTGGCTTCTGGGTTATTTCCAGTTTTAGCTGTCAAAGCTGGGAAGATTAATGATTTTAGTGGGAAGTCCGTAGGAACAATTCATTCTACACAGCTGTTCATAAACCCAGATATCCCTGACTCTCATAGCTTGAGAGAGTGGTTTGATCGAGGGGGCAAGGATACTGCTTCTGTGTCAATTTCTAAAGACATTGTTCCAGGAGGAAGTAAGAATGAGATACGCAAAACTGTTTCTCAGATCAAGGATGAAGGTCTTGGAAGATCAGATAAGCCGGATTGGGTCACTGTGAAGGCCACGATATCTTTCATTAAAACAGATTCTTTCTGTTACACAGCTTGCCCATTGATGATTGGAGATAGGCAGTGTAACAAAAAAGTGTCAAGGTCAGGAAACAGAGGATGGCAGTGTGACAGGTGCGATCAAGAATTTGAGGAGTGTGATTATAGATATCTGCTTCAAGCCCAAATTCAAGACAATACTGGTTTGACTTGGGCAACGGCTTTCCAGGAATCTGGGGAAGAGATCTTGGGTTGCTCAGCAAAGGACTTGTACTTGTTGAAAGAGCAGGATGATGCAAGATTCGGAGACATAGTTCGGAGCAGTATCTTTAACCAATTCCTTTTCAAGCTTAAAATCAAAGAGGAGACGTATGGTGATGAGCAGAAGGTGAAGATCACGGTCGTTAAGGCAGATAAGGTGAACTATTCTTCAGAGAGCAAGTACATGCTCGACATGATTTTGAAGTTTACTAGGTAATGAACATGATCAAGTTCGATTTAACAGTTTTAGTTAGATGCAGCAGATTGCGCTCTGTGGAGATTATTTACACTTAGTATTGGACAAGCTCGCACAGAAATTGTTGTTCTGTGAATTGATGCCAGCATATCGGCATTTAACTTCATTTATATATAGGCCTTGTAAAACGTAGGCGTAGCCACGGGAAACTATAAATTTCTGAATTGAGTTCATGGCGTTTTTATTTTCCTTTGCCCTCTATTATTTTCTTCTATGAAAAATGGAAAATGGAAAATTGCAATGAAAAATGAAGCTTATATAATTCACAGTTGTCGGCCAAAGTACGAGTTGAAGAAGAAGAGTAGTCACATATTACACGATTACAAAGGAAACATAAACCATTGCTTAACAGATACAATAAGATGAAAAATCATCAACAGTAAGTCTGCATCAGAATTCTCAGCCTCTCTTGACAGGATCGAAATTGGACACGCCAACTACGGCACCGACGATCACGACCAGTACAACACCGCCGGCAGCAATGCTGAGCAAGAAGTTCTTGAGAGAGGGAGAGACTCCGGAAGCGGCTTCGGCCACCTCCGGGATCACCATTGAGGCCGTGAGCGCGGCTGCGGTCAGGCCGGTAACCGCCTTCTCCTTGAGGGAAGCCCTGACTTCAAGTCTCCCACTTGATCTTGATGCTGCTGCTGGTGTTAAAGCCCTTGAGACCCTCACTGGCAGTGGCTTGAAGAAGGTCTCTGAGGAGGATTGGATCCTCTTTTGGCTTGCATTGGGCAATGGCATAGCCATTGTAACTGCAGTGGTTGATGCCATTTTGCTCTTCCAAAACCAACTGCTTTTCTCTGTGAATTTTGTGTGGTCAGGTTGAGGTCTTGTTGCTGTTGTTGGTGGTGTGGGAGATTTTGGGAGAGAGGGCTAGATGGTCATGGAGGTGGTGGAAAGAAGAGCAACCTTAATGAGAGGTGGAAACCCTGTCATTTATCTTTGTCCTACGTGGCAGCCTCCCAATTGTGATTGGTGGATAAGGTTATCTTATTGGCCCAATCACCATCCAGACTGAAATTTGTAGACATCCTTCACATTCGAATTGTCTAATAAGTGCATCAAAGCCTACAAAAGGTGGGGTCTTTTTTTAATATTTATAGATTGTAATTTAAATTATTATTTTTTCCACATTGGAAATTTATGTTTGTGTGTTTAATTGGGCCATCGCAAAGTTTTGCCCATTATAATCTAATTTAGACAATTTAATTGATCCATTTCTAACGGGCTTTTTAGTTCAGACTCATCTAACTACAGGGTCGATACGTCACCGTTTCTGGCATTCAATGCAATTGAAACTCGATTTTGAGGCAAGTGCTCAATGTACATATTAGACATAGGAGGAAAAAATAAATTATAAGAGTATATGTATTTAAACAATCAATTTTGCAATGAACATGAATTCACTCAAAATTTGTATAAACAGTTTCTGAAAAGACAACATCGTGGTTTCCACCTCTCTCACAAATCTCAATATCAGAGTGTTGAGGCTTTTCCTCCTTCCACTGGGCATTCTTCATGCAACGAATTCGGCAGAAGTGTATTTCAAAAAACTTTCTCCAGATGAATCGCAACACTTCCTAACATTTTCCTTTTGGTTCCAATCAGATTTGTAGAGTCTTCTTCGTTAGCGCTGAGCCCTAGCAAATGCGATGAAAATTTCAAGTTGATGACATGATACTTCATCATTTTATAATAATTATGCAAAGAAAGTAGAGGCCGGATAATCAATGCGACCATGTAGACAAAGAACTACAAGAGCATAGAAAGGTATGCTTCTCATTGCCTTTGCTAATCAAACATACAGAGTTATATTAGCTCAACAGCCATTGCTGGATTTTTTATGTGTGTTTCCAATTGGTCTTTATTATTTGAGCTAAGGTTAAAAGGCTAGTGTTGGTGCCTTTTGAATCCTAGCTTTTTGCACATTCACATGAAATTGATGTTAAGCAGTTTGCATTTATGAAAGCTTTCTTATTTTAGGTGTTTGATCATCAATTGTATAATCTTTGTCCTCAGTCATGAAAACGAAGATTGAACTGGAAGCATGGATGAGTCATTAGCATAAAAGAAGAAAGGAACGTACTTGCAGCAGAGAAAATTCTTGCACAAAGAAAAGATCACCGCCATGTCGGTGGAAGTTCTGAAGTAGGTGGCCCAACGTAGCGGAGGTGAACTTCTTGAGGCAGGAGGTGATATTTTATACCAAGATCTTCAAATATTTTCTTCAGCTCTAAGACTAATTCTGATCTCCTGCTGCTCTTGTCTCCATAGTTCTGAAAGTTTATGGTATGCGTAACGTAAAGTGCCATTTTCATCTTGTTCACATCCTCAATATCCTTAACCACCACGCTATGGGTGGGACGCCAGTGCTGAGTCTTGCCATCCAAGTACCTGAAATTTTCACTTTCTTTTTCAGCAACTCGTGTGTACAAATTAGAGGTGTGCATGTGCCAGTGGATGTTTTGTATAAAGAGAACGTAAGATAGGAAACTGAAGTATTAACAGCAATGCATGATCACATCACAAGTAAATCATTTCCCATACCAAAAGAGGAGAGAGAACAAAAGAAAAAAAGAAAAGAAAGAGGAGCTAGCTACCAAAAGATACAAAATAGATTAATAAAACTGCACATCTGTGCTTGTTTTGATAAACTCTTGTTAGGAATATGTCAGTCAAAGAAACAACTCTTCTTTAGTAGGATAGCAGAATCACCCAAACATAACCTCTTTTATTGATGATTCCTTGCGAAAAATGTAGTTTGTAGCTTTTAAGTTCATTGCAAGAACCTATCTGTTTCCAAGGATTCTAAACTCTAATCTTGTATGTCATGAAAATGTGAGCAATAGCACCACCAGTTTCAAATAAATTCCGACAGCTGCTATAAGTATAAATCTATCTATAATTCTATAAAATGATGCTACATGCTTAATAATAAGTTGGTTTTACAAAACTGAGAGTACCTTTAGACTGTGAAATTCAATTCCAATAAATAATTGAGAAGCAGAGTAATTTGGAGTCAACATACGATTTTATTCTGCCTTTTAGAGAATTGATAGTGTCAACCGTCGTAGAAGCATCAACAGCAAATTCAACAGAATCACCCATCTCCGGGCTCCTATAAAAGTTGCTGATGGGTTTAGAAGCCAGTACTGAATTTGGATAGTATATTTTCTCATTGTCAAATCTCAAGAAGATCGTTGTCAATATGTTCATCTCTTCAACAATCATCTGTCAGGTTTCAATGCGTCAAGTGAAGTTGTTTTAGTAGCAGTAAAGTTATTTGAAAAATGAGGATTGCGGAGTTACCTGTACTCCATCAACAACACAACGGTCGCCTACATCAAATGGGTGCATCACAAAGACGAATATGATGGCTTCAAACACAGTTTTCGCAGTATTACCAAACACAAACACCACCAGTAAAAGCTGTGATGATATAAAGACCAGTATGTTGGTTGTCAAAAATCCCATCAGAAGTAACCACACAATAAGGATCACAAGAAGCAAAAGTCCTGAGGCAAGCCTATTCAGCTCCTCTATAGCTGTTTTAGTGTCATTTAAAGAATGTGCCAGTGATTTGCGTTCAAGGTAGACATTCACCTGAAAACAAGAAGAATGTTAAGAGTCATGAATTAAAATTCTATGTTGTTGACCAACAGAAGAATAGAAATTCACCGTCCACAACATATAGAATTAAGATCCTATGGAAGGGTAGCTTCAAATACTTATAATTTTGTGTGCCAACTGGATATCACAAGAAGCTCATAAAATGTTAGTTCTGGAAGTATAATAAAGCAAAGTTTCAGACCAAAAAAGAAAATAAAAAAACCAAATAAAGAAGTTACCAGCCAGTTCTTCAAAGCTTTTCTCTTGATCTTTCCACTTTCTGCTGCTCCTTCAAACAGAGGAAGTACAAGGTCGACCTCCTCCTTCTTCATGAAGCGCAAGAGATCATCTTCCTCAATGTGCCTAGTCCATTTAATATAAAAAAATAGTGAGAAAATAAAGTTCAAACTGCAAGTTGTCAAAATGTTGGAGGAATTTTTTGGAAAAAGATAGAAATTCTCACTTGCTGCCGCGCTTGGCTACATTAAGGAAAATATCATAAGCCACAGCCTTTGCTTCCCACTCACTAGTAATCTCTTTATTTGTCTGCTCGCCCTCCTCCTCATCAATGCTCTCAAGTGTGTTGGAGATGGTAGATAACCCAGAACTCCTTACAACATTAATCAACCCTTTCATGGTCCAAGCAGAAACTTTGTCTTGCTTCATCTTCTTGAGCTTTTCTACATCAATCACCTCTTGTTTGGCCCCTTCCTTCCCCTTATTTGCCGCGTCCTTCATATTTTTGAAACTCAACTGGCCAGTACTTGGTGTCCTTCCTACTTTTTCTGCCATCTCCATCAATGGAGGCCCTGAAAGGGTGCGGAGAACATACTGATGAAAGATTGATTCTTGAATCCGATCAAAGAATCTCGAGCATTGGAAAGAAGAAGCTACTAATTTCACAAACAAATTCTTCGCCAGCCATATGGCTGATCCAATTAGACAAGAAGCCAGGCCCCTTGTAACATAACCTAGAATCCTAGAGGTTTTCCTTGACCTCTTCACCCCGTGGCCGTCGAACAAAAAAGCCCATGCCAGAAGAATCAAACCCAACCAAATAAAAATCTGCACACTTCTCTTCAATCCATAAACAAAGTACAGAACTTTCTTCTTAAGCAGGAAGTTCATTTCAATCAAGAAAACTAGAACATTAATCAACCATTCTGTGACCAATCTGCCACATAAGACAACCACCACCAAAACACACCATTTCCATAGTTCCAAACTCCAAATCTTCTTGTGCTCCAACTTAGTAACAGTCAAGCAAGCAATTAAAAACCCAACAACGCACACAAATACAATCAACTCAATCAAGACCAACTTTTTCAACTTCTTCTTACCGGACTTCTCACGCACCTTAAGATTGGCAGTCTTATACACCTCATCATCATCGTCTTCCTCGCCACCCGGTTCGATCAACGGTGTTCGTGGGGTTACGGGGGCTGATCTTAGAGTGTCTCTTGGAGTTGTGGCTGTGGCTTTTGAGCTTGGTGATGCCACATTAGGCGAATTAGCAGTTGACTTCAACTGTGTATTTTCATCAGTCACCTTCATTTCACCAGGAGGAACTGGCTCAACAAATCTCGACTTGGGTTTTGAGAACGCAGACCTCGAAAACGAAGCTCGTCGAGAAGCGGGTTCGGTTGGGACTTTCGGAGGCTTACCGGGTGTGAGACTTTGCCCTGAAATCTCTGGAGAAGGAGAAGCAGAACCTGACACTCTGAGGCTCTGAAGCTCCGTTAGCTCAAGATTCGAGTCTCGGGTTTCATTATTCAAACCAGTCTGTCCTTCGGTGACCGAAATCTGCAAAACGACTTCGTTTCTTCCTTTCTTCTCCTCCATGTCCTTTCCACCGTCCATGGCCACTTTCCACTGCTACTGTAGCGGAAGATTAGCGCTTCAGATACCCATTTAAATAGCGAATAAGATACCCTTTGAGTTTGAACCTTTTTTTTTCTTCTTTGCCGGGAAAGTAATTAACTTTCCGGAGAATCTTTGTTCTGTTGTCCCCAGAGAGACAAAGCATGAAGCAATTTTCTAGCCAACTGCTGTATAATGTGAACTTTGTGAGAGAGCAAAGTCTGAGAAAACCAGGAAGCTAAATTCAGAACACAAATTTCAATGTATTTAGTTAATATATAACCTTCTTTTGGAGCTGGAAATGGTTGACTGACTGGTAGAGCCGCGAAATTTAAGAACAAGTTGTACTTTGAAAACAAATCCAACAGCAACCCAACAAGACAAAAGAAACTATATTTGAAAAGGCAAAACAAAAAGAAAAAAATGATTAACATTTCTGTCCTGTTAAATATATTAACAGTTCTTTTGTTATTGTTAGTGCTCTGCAACTTGTTGCGACCAAATTAAATCTGGAACTTTTAAATTATGAGTAAATTATGGCACTTTTGTGGCAGAGCTTTCTAATGGAGGGTAGTGGTGCAAGTACATATCCTGTAATTGGAGATACTAATTATGGCATTTTATAGCCCATGCATGTATGTTGTGTTGTCCTTCACTTCAACTTTACTATAAAGTTTGGAACTCATCATCGTTCATGGATCTTGAGCCTCTACATTTAACATCAATATATTTACACGTATTTAAAAAAAATGCTAATTATTAAATTGATCTAATGAATTTTAATGATCCACATAGCCTCCACCTTATCTCTCTCTGCGCCATTCATAGCCCTATCGTGATCTTTGACATGGAACGATTGTCTCAACAATTTAAAATTAAACATGCAAATTCATAAATGAAAGTTAATTACTTGACATGTGTCATTTTCCATGCACTTAAAACAATGTCATTAAATGTGCCTTCCAACTAGTGAGGAAGGTTCGTGTGTGAGAGAGTGAGGAAAAGAGAGTGAGGGGTAGCGAAATTGGCTAGCAATATGGGGTGGGTCGGAGAGGGGGGTGGTTGATGCGATGAGATTTTTTTTTCATTATTTTTATAGGTATTGAATGCATATAAGAAGGTGCAAATTGTGAGTTTTAGTAATAATACAATTATGCTGACATGGGCTTATTAATGTTCATTAAATCAATTTAATGTTTAGCATTCTTTTAAATACATGTAAATGCACCGATGCTAATACAGAGACTCGGGATCCCATCATTCATACATATGAGAAATTTTATGTTCAATTTACGGTGTTTTTTTCTTGATTCGATGTCATGTTAGTTGAATTCAAGACATGTTGAACTTTAATTATATTTATTTTGTCTTATCTTCCAATTCCTTAATCAACGTTAAATTTTAGTGTCATCTTGACTTATTGTGTAATCCTATACTAATTTGTGTAGGGATGGACCATTGGCCCATTACTAGTAATATCGATATTGTTCCCAACTTAACCATCTATTTAGTAGGTGTTGGGTTATATACAAAAGGCTTCAATGATATTAGTAATTGAAATATTCATTATATATTGTATTTTGTTTAGTCAAGTTTTTTATGTGGATTTATATTCTTCAAAAAAATATAAACCCAACATGTTTGACATGTGAGAAATTTTTCATAGGTTGGTAGGGGATGGCGCAGCCTGTTTCCTATGCAGTTAAGGTCTTCGATCTAATTACGATACATTAAATATGTTTTTAGTGCAAACCAAATATCTCACGTGTGTAAAACGTGCAAATTAAAAACTAGTGTAGCTTCACACGTTTCCCTTTTTCTATGAATTGATTTAAAAAGATGAAAAAAAAATATAGAAGGAAATAAATCCAAGAGGAATGAAGGAGTAAAATTACTTTCCTTTTCAATTCTAAATTGTCATGTAGATTTGCAAGTCTTTGATTTTTTTGTTTTTCCAAGTCAGATGTGTTTGATGAATTATTTTGTTGAATCAATGAATTGATCACAGAAGTTGACAATGGCTCCCTCCTACATCAAGCCTCCAGTCAATGTAGGCTGTAGGGTTCGCAAGTTGGCAATATCATGGAGGGCAATTCTTTATACAACACAGCCACTTGATTTGAAGGAGTAAATCAAAACAGAAGAAATTAATTAATTAGCCAAAATCTCAAACCCTTTTAATTATAATAAATCATGCATTTCTTTTAATTTTAACGAAAGTGTACAATTTAATTATAAACCTAAAAGAAAGCGCACAAAATAACAAAAGAAACTAAATCCAAACAGAAAGAAGATGAAGCTAAAATCTCGCCATCTCCATGGACCCCTCAAATTAACTATCTCAAAATCAGACTGCAGCTTGAAAATTTCATCGGGGTTACGCTTTAGCTTGACTACTTTGTTACTTGAACTTCCGTCGAATTTGTAAAAAATTACTTCGTTCCACGCTTCCATTAGTGCAATATCACTGTTGTAATATGCTTCAGGGGAAGGATAACGCCCCACCAGTTGTTTAAGCCCATCAAGACTAATCAGTTTGTGTCTCCTCCATACTTTTTTCTCATGATCTTCCATGACCCATAGCTCCATCAACCCTCCTTCAGAGTAAATCAAGGCAAGACGACCTTGGTACTCTACGAGTTTGGTGTACATGGCACAGTACTCACTATCACTCCTCGGCTCTGGTGAATCAAAAATTTCCCAACTCTCTTTATCGTCTTCGTAATAAAAAGCAAGCACTTGGTTGTTCGTCAGATGCCAATAACACGCACCACCTGATGTTACACAAGGCCGCCGGGGGAGTTTCAACCACACAGAATAGGGGAAACTAACATGTTTCAACTCCTTCCATGCCCAGGTGTTTGAATCAAACACTTCGCACCTTATAAGGGTTTGGTGTGGTTGATACTTGACTGGAGATTCGGGATCCGAAAACCGGATAATCTTGTACCTTAAAGGTTTCCAACTCAACACGACTATGGCGTTACTTTGGGTGTAGTACCTAGTCTTTGGATTGGGTAAAGTTTCCCATTGTAGAGTGGTAGGCTTGCACACAAAATATTCGGGTACTCTACAATGGTTTTGGTTCACACAAAATACTAGGCCACCTTGGCTACTCACAGCTTCAACTTTGACAGGGGCAGGCAAGAAGTTCAGTATTGAGAGCTTCAAAGTCTTGTTGGCCTTGTTATCGACAGACACAAACGTTGATGAGTGTTTGTGACGGTGGAAATTCTGAAATAAAAACCCAGACACTGTGTCACTTCTCTTGCAAAACAATTGCCAGAACCTTGACTCGAATGTGATGTGATTCCAGTCCTTTGAAACCACCCTACACAACCCTAGGCTGTCGAGTGATTTAACTCGCGTTAGAATATGATCAAACCATATTTCCGAAGGAAGAGATGGTGGAGTGGCCATTGGAGCAAGTAAAGAAAGACGTCGAACGAAATTATAGGATTCTGATCCTCTGCTAATCTATGTATTATGTAGGTGTTTTTGTTTTCACATATGATGTCCAAAGTTTGAACTAGCACGATGGAATAGATATAAGCTTGGAGACAAAGAAAGAGGCTGGACTGACGAACTCTATATAGAGCACATCAATCATCAATCGTTTTGGGAATTCTTTTCCTACAAGCTTTTGGATTTCTTTTTCCTATACAACTTCTATTTGATGTAGGAAACTTGGGACCAAAGAAACTGGTTGAACAAGTCCCTAGGTTAGGTAAATGGGAAATTAGTAAGAGAGAGAATTTGTTTCCAAGTTGGGTCAGGAGAACCAAGAAAAATTAAACTAAAAACGAGAACCTTGAAAAATTACAGTCCTTTTCAGAAATAATCCTCATCTCACAGCTGTCTTTCAATTTTTTGTTTTTCCAAAGTCACAGCTGTTTTGTTCAGTTTGTGTTCGATATACTATACGAATAGAATATTTTAAAGGTATAGCCGGACGGCCATACTATATAAATATAATATTTTAAAGCAAGAGATAGCTGCGCTATGAATAGAATATTATAAACCGTATAGCCGCGCGGCTGTACCTTTTAAATAGCATAATCTAGATTTCTCTTTTTTAATTACTTTAATTAGTTGTTATGTTTTAATTATTATTTACTTAGTGAATAATTAATATTTAAATATTTTGTTAAATAAATTTTTTTAAAAAAATAATTACTATTTATCAAGTAATATAATTTATGAAGTTAATTAAAATATTTAATATTAATTATTCACTAAAAAAAATAATTAAAACATAATTACTAATGAAAGTAAATAAATAAGGCTAAGATATTATTTAATTACTAAAATAAAATTTTATTAACATAAAGATACTAAGTTTGCATTTATTTAAAAAAAAACTTCTCCCGATGACATGTCGTTGGCGCAGGTAGATTTCGTCAGGAGAGGTCTAATCCGACAAACATTTGCCAACGAAATTTCGTCAGGAGAGGTTTTCTTGTATTTTTTTTTTTAAAAAAAAAATTTATAAAATTTATAAATATATAAAACTAGTTTCTTTGCTATATACTATAAATAGAATATTTTGGATGTATAGCCGCTCGGCTATACTCCATAAATAGAATATTTTAACTTGCCATTAGTTTTACGAAATGATTGCATGAAGGAGAAACTTAGATACATGTTGTTTACGGTGTTCTTTACACCAAGAAGTTCTTTACATTTTGTTTTTTTTTACTTGTCTTGGATCTTTCAAAATATTAAGTAACTAACGGCAGACTACCCGAGGATAGAGGATGAAGCGAAATTAACGGCAGAAGAACCGGGAATAAGTTATCTCTGGAATGAAACGACGTTAAGGGATGCCACCGAGGAAGATGAGAAGTGGATTCAGCAAGCTCTGGATGGTGAGGAAGCCATTGGGGGGAATGGGGACTGGGCTGTAAATTTGGGGATCAATCTCTTGTACAGTGCTAGCCTTAGCCGTTCTCATCTTTACAGTAAGCAGATGGCATACAATTCTGTTATATACAATGCATTTGGTCGTAGTTCTCCAGCTAGCTCGCCCACAAGAATTGATGTCAATGGGAGGAGATCTGGCAAGCAGAAAAAGGTAGTGGCAGGGAAATGTTGCGGTAAAGTCTGGATGTCGAATCATGTTCATCCCTATCTAGCAAAAAAGGACCCTGAAGAAGAAGAACATAGGAGCTTCCATGCTTGGGCAATGCCAGATGAGAAGCTTGAGGGACAACATAGAAATTTTACAGGTATCGCCGCGCGGCTATATTCCATAAGTAGACATTTTAACGGTATAGCCGAGCGGCTATATTTCATAAATAGAAATTTTAACGGTATAGCCGATCGGCTATAATTTATAGATAGAAATTTCAAGGTATAGCTGGGCGGCTATACTCCATAATAGAATATTTGAACAGTATAGCCGCCCGGCTATACACTATAAATAGAAATTTAATTATCAATTTTAAAAGCATAGTCGCGTAGTATTACTCTATAAATACAAATTTTAAGAGTAGAGCCGAGCGGCGTTACTCTGCTCTCTGTGTTGTCAATGTGTTCATAAATGTTGTCATTTCTGTGTGCTGCTCTCATGGTTCTTTATGTTCCTTTGCCTCCAAAGGACCAGTTCTCTGTGTTTGAATTAATCCCTGAGGATAATTATCAGAACCCCCCAATTGGAATTGATCAGCAGCAGCATGCTGAACGGTTTGAGGAGCAGCTGGAAGCTGATCTCAAATGGTCTTTTGCTTTGAATGGGTACGCCTTCAAGTATTCAAACATGAAAAAAAAATTTGAAAAAACCAATTCTTCTAACCGGGTTTACATTTTGATGCATCTTTTGGAATTTCTGCTGCAAGGTGAATCAAATTCAAATAAATTCCGAGAGAAATCACATCATGCAAATTAAATCATCAGTTCATTTTGTACAATATTAGTACTGGTTCTGATTCTCTCTCTCTCTCTCTCTCTGTGTTGCATGCAGGAACAAGCGAGTTCCAAGACAGTTCTTTTGGACACAAAGCGATTTGGAAAGGTTGGTTAGCTATCACAATAAGGACTCTAAATCACACACACATATCAATTAATTAGTCACTTTTATTATTATTATTATTTTTTTTTTGTGTGTTGGTATTTAGGCTCTGGTGATCGATGGGAAGTTGCAGAGTGCTGAAAGAGATGAGTTTATTTACCATGAATGCTTGGTTCATCCTGCTCTTTTACTACATGACAAGTATATATGCGAATATATTTTTAGCTTAGCTGAATCCTTTTTTCTTTTTCCCTTTTGTGTCTTATTTCTGTATGAGATTTACCATTTAAGTGAAACCTAAATGATCTTCCATCTTGCTTTCATCCAAATCTGTAAGGTGTTGCTTAACATGAATATTGCAGATGATCTTCCATCTTGCTTTCATCCAAACAGAAATTTTAAACGTATTGCCTAGTGGCTATACTCCATAAATAGAAATTTTAAACGTATAGCCGCCCGGCTATACGATTTGTTTTTCTTTCCTGTTTTACGCCTGTGTCAATCACTCTACGAAAACAAAATTCCAAAAGATCCCAGAAGCTCATCTCCCCACCTCCAACGGAAGAAAGAAAACCAAAGTTTTAATTTATTTTCTCTCTGCACTATCTAAAACCAAAGCTTTACTGCTTCTCTCTTAATTTGTTCCCTTTTTTTTTGGGGGTTATTTTCTTACAAACTGGAAATTACACCGACTCTGACCGGAAAAGTTTAGAAACCTAAGAAGTAACAAGACAAAGAACAAAACAAACCAAATGCAAACAAGAACAAGATGAAACTAAAATCTTGCCATCTCCATTGACCCCTCAGATTGACTCTCGCAGAATCCGATTGCAGCTTCGAAACTTGATGGGGCTGATTCCCAAGACTAACCACATTAGCACTAGAATCTTCAAAATTGTAAAATATGAGTTTTTCGTCGTGCCCTTTTATAAGTGCAATATCAGTTGTAAAGTGCTGCAAGAGGAGGAACATAGCCCTCCACTTGTTTAAACACTTTAGTGCTCAATGTCCATGTCTTCCACTTGCTCCATAACTTTTTCCCATGATTTTCCATAACCCACAAGTCCATGACCTCTCTTTCGCAGATGATCAATGCAAGCCTACCTTGGTACTCCACAAGTTTTTTGTAATTGAAACGGCCACGACTCTCCTCCATCGGAGGTGGTAAATCGAAAATCTCCCAACTCTCTTTATCATCTCCGTAATAAAAAGCAAACACTTGGTTGCTCCTCGCAAGCCGAACAAGCCAGTAGAACGCGCCGCATGATGTTACATAAGGCTGGTCGATGCTCAATAAAACACAATAGGGTAAACTAACATTCTTCAACCGCTTCCATGCCCAAGTGTTTGAATCAAACACCTCACATGTCATGTTATAGTACTGTCTTGACTTGAACTTGGAGAAAGGATACTTGTGGCTCGAGAACCGAATAATCTTGTACCTTAAAGGCTTCGAACTCAACACAGCCATGGCAGTCATTGAAGTCAAGAACCTAGTCTTTGGATTTGGTAACTTCTCCCATTGTAGAGTGGTAGGTTTGCATATAAAATAATCACGAACCACGCTGACATTTTGGTTCACACAAAACACTAGGCCTTGACTCACAGCTTCAATTTTGACAGGGACAGGCAAGAAGTCGAGAATAGCGTGTGAAAAATTCTTGTTGGCCTTGTTATCTACAGACACAAACGTTTGTATGTGCTTCCTGTCGATCTGGCTCTGGCTCTGAATTAAAAACCCCGATATGGTGTCGCTTCTCTTGCAAAAAGATTTCCAGAACCTTGAGTCATATGTGACGTGGTTCCAGTCCTTTGAAACCAGCCTGCACCGGCCTAGGCTTTCGAGCGATGTTCGTGTTAGAATGTGATCAAAAAATATTTCTGAAGGAAGAGATGGTAGTGGTGAGGCCATTGGATCGACTGACTTGGATTCGAATTCTCTACTGATTTTTTTGGTGTTGATCATGTTCTTATCATGCTCTTATAAGGATTTCTTTTACTACAAGCTTTTTCAGTTTTACTTTGTATTAGATTACCAAATTTTATTGATTTAAGTGTTTGATTTGATGTTGGAAACTTGGTTTTAGGAAATTAATGAGAGTAAGATAGGATATGTTTCCCATTTTGGTTTAGGAGAAGAAAAATAAATTAAGCAAGAATACGGTACGATAGCTGGGTTTGTTTGGTTGCGGAAATTAGGCAACACCATGAGGAGGAAAACCGAGAAACTACGGGAAAATTGGAGAGATATTTTTTATTTTTTATTTAATTTATAAATTACATTAGACATACACGTGTCCAATATAATTACATTATCCTATTTGAGTATATAATGGATGGCTATTTGACTCATAAACTAGCATTATATATATGTAAATTCAATAACTTTTATGTACATGTAAATAAAATAACAATTTAGATTGATTTATTCATATCCTAACCATTTATTAATTGTAATCCATAACCATTTATTAATTGTAAGCCATCGTTTACCAATTGAAAGTACAATTAATACAAGATTTGTTAATAAAACAATCGCCGGGATGAATAATTATATCTTTAGTGCGGTTTTTGTCCGCGTTAGTTTTATTTTTAGCAAGTTAGTTTGTTGCCTTCTTGGGATTTGTATTTTAGATGTTTTGTTGATGTCTTTGATTCTATTGTTGAAGTTTATCTAATGAATTTTTTATTCAAAAAAAAAAAAAAAAAAAAAAAATTCAGTCCCTCTCATCCAACCTTGCTTGGTTTTCTAATGATTGTTGCATTTCCTTGTCTTCATTCACTTATTCTTTACCCCATAGATTATAAACAAGTGTATTATTTCTACAACTACATAACCACCACGGCTTTTCGATTAACGACTTGTCATTAGTTTAATTAAGTTTAATTAACACAAATAGATTAGAGAATCTTTCTTGATTATGCAAATACAAGTTGTAGCTACTACTTTTAAAGCCCCTCTCCTCTCTAAAACTCCTCTTGCTTCTACTTTCTTCACAAAACCCGAACATGTGTTACAAGGCTTACACAATACAAAGCCCTTTCTCACAGCCACCGCAGCCTCCTCCTCCACCAAAAACCAACTTGGCCATGTTGTATTATGGCCTCATAGTTGTTGGAACAGCTGCTATAGTGTTTGCCATGTACAACCTTGTCTTCATCAAATGGACACCAAACCGCCACGGTGGCCAATCACCACCGTCGAGATCATCAAACACTTTGATGGATGCCAACAGAACAAGGAGTAGCAGGAGCTTTGAGAATTTGGACAGCTTCAAGTACAAGAAAAAAGAGGGATCGGTGACACAACAAGATGGGGTTGAGAACTACGTTGAATGTGCGGTTTGCTTGTCAGCGTTTGAGGATGGAGAAGAGGTAAGGAAGCTGCCTACATGCAAGCACTCCTTTCATGCTCCTTGCATAGACATGTGGCTCTACTCTCACTCTGACTGCCCCCTCTGCCGGGCTCCGGTGCTGGTGAGCTCGTGGTGTCATCGACAGCTAACGACTACGCCGGAGGACAATTCCAGAGAAGTCTTGCTGGTTTGAAGTTTTGTTTTCATTTTCAGATAGAAGAAGAAAGAGATGAAATTGTCCATTTCTTAGTCTTGGGTTTTTGGTGTTTGTTGGGTTGTGAAGTAGGACGGGGATAACAAGAAATTTGCATGGTAGAAAACAAGGATTAGGTGGACAGAGTGTAAATTTTTTTGCCTTTCATTTGGATCCAATTGAACTGGCAATGTCTGCCCACTGTTGTATGTGATACTGAATTTTTTTGTTCTTGGCTATATTAGCTGTAAGTTGCAGACCACACACTCTACTTCTTTCATCTGAATATTCGAAAATGCCCAAAAATAAAAAATAAATTTTTTTGTCAACTTGATCAGTTCGAGGTGAACATTTGAAGTCATGACTTTTGTCAGATGCTCACATTTACAAAGATCTTGTGATTTCTGCAAAGAAAATTCTGTATCATAGACTTGTAATTGTATCAAATGGAAAAAAAAATTCTATTATTTGGGCCTTTTTAAGTCACTCCACAAAATAAAATTCTAGCTCCGTCATTGTGTTCACAACGCTCAACAATACTAGACATCGCCAAAGACAAAACATGTGCATATAAAATGCAACCTTTGCCGCAGCTCAAGCTTACTTACCAAGCAAACATAGGCTGATTAAGAACTCTCGCGAAAGCAGCCGTACATCCACTTTCTTGCTCGCAAGCACTTTCTAAAGCACTTTTTTTAGGCTTATAACATAGAAAGAGCTTCTCCCAACCAACCTAGGTTCCACACTTCCCTTCATTGTAGAGAAAGGCCAAATGCTTGCTGGGTGGGAGAAGGGCAGTAGACATAAATGGGTTTGTTATACCCCATATTCTTACATGTTTGTTGTGTACAAATTTATCAAATATAATTTTATTAATCTCTGTCTGGAGTCCTGATTCGATAAATTCACAGATATTACAAGGCCCAAAATAAATCTCACCTTTCACACTATGCCAATCATATACATGGATTCTACATCTTTCTTAAATTGTCTAGCCTTGCCTGTAACTCACTATCTATCCCAGTGTCATCAGTTGCAGCTGCTTCCACTTGTGGAACCTTGTTCTTTGCAGATGGTGCAGCAACAGCAGCTGATGGCGCATTAACGAGCTGCAGAAGATTAGTGAACAAAAGATTGTTATCACTGATATACAAAAAAATTTAATTCTTGGTCAATCACAGTGGAGAGGGAAGATGTACAAGTTCAGATTGATATAAGTACCTCTTGGTTAATGTCTATTCCAATCTCATCAAGAACTTGGCTCACTAGTTCATCGGTTTCCTCCTCTTCCTCATCTCCTTCCAAAGCATCATCAATCGCATCACCCATCACTTCAGTTACCAATTCCATCTTCTCATTCTGCCTCTCAAATTCTTGCATAATTTTCTGCAGTGATGGCAAGTTCATCTGTCTGTTCATCTGTCCCATTGCCTTTGTCACTCCTTTCATTGCCTCTCCCATAGCTTGTGTCGATTTCAATGTCTGAAAAAACAAATTTATTCTAAGAATGCAACTCATCCAATAGAATAACCACAAAGTCTTAATGACTGTGTCAAGTTAACTTATTCTGATCAGCCTGGGCTTTTAATTAATGTATTTATTTTCCTCATCTTAAGGACAATTATGTTGCAGGTCATATCAACACACCATCCATACAATAAAATACGATGGTGTTACAGAATATGAAAGAGTGCTCCATTCATATGAATTAAAGGGAGTAAATAACAGGAAGTAGGATATACCTGGATTCTAAGAGATACACCCTGGAGTTGGGATTTGAGCTTGTAAAACTTTTCAATCTGATGTCGTGTTCGAACAAGGTCTTTTGCCATAACTTTTACAGCCCCCTGAAACAGAGTTTGACGAATGAAACACCATGGTTGGGAAATATGACCATCAAATCAAAGTCTACATGCTAAAAGGTAAATGAGTAAAATGTTCAAAGCATGCATAACATCAACTGCACAAGCCAATGGAATTTAGGCTCAGCCAAACATACAAACAGAGGAAGATACTGAAATTGGCCTTCCATAAAATAAAGAAAAAAAGCAACAAGCAGCGAGAAAATAACACACCATCTGGCCTTGCTTGGCACTTTTCTTAATCTCCATAATTAGTTTCTTCTCTTGGCCTTGGAGGGCTTGCCTCTCCCTCTCTATTTCCCTAATAGATTTGTCCAACATCCTCTTGTTTTCCCGCAGAAGCTCTGAAATCCACAAAGATACACCCGCATTAAATTTTCAGCTTATAAATTATATAATCTAAACAAAACACTGATGCTAATAACAAAATCGAGTTGTATACCCACGCAACAAGAAATAAATCAAGCCTCCTGACAGATGCACACCATCACATAACAAACAAAGTATACAAATTTTATTTTAAGAACCAAATAACCCAATTACCATACGAGTAATCAGATTCAGATATCGATGTGCAAATAATGGTGTATAATGCCAAACCAAACATTCAAGTACTAAGATTTTCTTCGTTGTGTATATACATATCCCAATTGAAAGTTACACATTACACCACTACGGGTTGAACTTATTTATTTTAATTGATTAAAAACCTAATCTGCACCCAAATTTAGCTACAAAAAATTCAACAATTAGAGAAACTCACTCGCAGAACACTTAAAAAATCATTTATTTTATTTACAATTTAACTTATCAAAATTTCTCGGTGTTCCTCCAACCACTCTCTCCGATGACCAAACCTATTCCTCAAGCAGCCAACAATATATACAATATTATCAAGAGCGTCATAAAATTCACAGAACTTTAACAAATTGAAACACTAAGAAAACACTGAGATACAAAAACAGAAAACAAAAGCATATTGAACAAACTGTGCATCAATCTAAAACAAACCTGCGGGCGTCTTCCGCTTGCCAAATAGGAAACTCATGGCGCTCAATCAAACGGTAAGCAAACAACCGGAGCTTCTCTGATTCGGATCGGATCGGATCGGATCGTCTCGTCTCTGCCTGCGTTCAATTAGGACTTACTCAGAAGATTGAGTTCCAAGGCTTTTGAAGCTTTTCCTCTACGCGGTGTGTGTAGTTGCTAAGGAATTGGCATCAAATCAAAAGAATCGTCGACGACGACGCACCTCACACGCGGCAACTCTCCATTGGTGGGCCCCGCGTGATCGTTATTTTTCCCACGCTTTTAATTTCTTTTTCTCGAAAGCCCAATGATATCTAAAATAACATTTTAGGCCCGTACTGATTTGTGGGCTTTAGGTAAAGGCCTAACTTCGGCTTCGTCGGCTTTTTGTCAGAAAATTGGGCTTCCCAATTACAGATTTACCGCACGCGGGAAAAGACGTCTGAGATTTTCACTTTATTTTTTACCGCAAGAGGCAGAGGTAGAGGCAGATAAATTGTGAAAGCTGACAGCAACAGAGCACAGGAGCGCACGTGGGGAGCAATTGCTTTTTAAGAGCCCCGAAAGAGACAGACAGGCCCAGTGAGTCACGTGCGGGTTGGTCTCCCTCCATTCGCCGTACGTGAGAGCCCACTATTCTAAGCCCTCGTAGCACGTGCGGAACCCACAGGCTCGCAGCAGTCCTTCCTTGGTTTCTAGGGTATCAATATCATCCCCATTTATATATTAATTTGTATGAATTTTAAATGTTCTTGAATTTTGAGTGTTCTTTAATATCAATACATATATAGCAATAGATGAAGAGCTAGTAATTAATATTTTTTATTTGAGGAATTTGTATATTGATATTGTAGTTTATGGAAAATACACATCTAATAATTTTCCAACAACATAAATCTTAAGTTTTCAAGCTTAAACAATAGATGGTTGTCTCAACGGGTTTAACCCAATGAAAAATAGCCGAATGATTTCAGTTTCGGGTTTGAATTATCATAGCCCCTTGAAAGTGTTGGTAGTGTGTGTATGTGAAAAACTTCCATCTTCCTTATAATTTGGTATACGTAACCTTTTTTTAACCAATTCTCAACATAATTCCAAGCAGTAGAACTAAATGGGAGGTTCCTATACAATACATAGATAATATTATTGTATAATGTATTTTGGACTCACGTATATCATGGATGATGCATAATAATGCACGCAATGTATCTGGCAGTGGCAGTTTGCAGAGTACCAAACCAAATTGTAAGCATGCAGCAGCTGCAGTGAATCAAATTAAGATCCAGACGAATGTGGAAAGGATCCAACCCAGAGATAGCTGGTACGTGGTCCTATCCTAAGTACGTATTTCCTCCACATGCATTTGTTTAAATCCTCCTATTATTCATTAGTTTCCCGGGTATATTATGCATGGTTGTTGAGAAACATTACGTGCCCATTAAGCCATTAACCCTAATTAAATACAACACATATATATTGGATTTGGTTGGTCGCAGTTTTTCTAATTTTTATAATTTACGACAGTTTATAGCTATTAACGTCCCAGAAATTCTCTTATGCGGACGTCCGGATAAGATAATAACCGATTAATTTTGTTGGTTAGTTGTCTTCCTTGTTTGGCTAAAAATCTTCCAGTTATTTCAATTTTGATTTTGTTACTTTTGAGAAAAGCAATTGAGAGGTGTTGTACTGAAAGTCAATGATAGGGGCCAATGGTGCCCCATGCCATACCAAGAATATATAGCTTTGATCTGCAACTTTTTATTTTCTCCTATAGGGTGTAAAAGTTTGTTGGGATATATGCTATAATGTCTGATCCTGCAATGTATTGACTTCTTAGATTCCTTTAGGGTGGCCCCCTCCTTGTCTCCCAAGCCTCAAGACCTGTTCAAAATTTTCAATCCTCTCATCTCATTTTTCTGCAACATTAAGATCATTCTTAAGATTTGGCCTTGTCTTCCTGTTCATGCATATGGCAATGAGTTCAATGACCAACTCAATAATGAGTTGGCTTTACTAAAAATATAAAAAATAAAAAATAAAAAAAGGAACCAGCAAAAGCTATGAATATTTCTTCTGTTGCAGACAATAATTAAATGGCCAAAAAGCTCTGAGTTCTTAATCATTTCTAACCCTTTGAGTTTAAAGCGGGTGTAATTTTACCTGTGGACACACACGCATAGGTTTGTTGAGGCCATGTGCCAACCCAGTGGAAAAGCACCAGCTTTCACTTTCTCTGTTCTCTAGCAGAGAAGATTATTGGTGTTTTACTTTTTTCACACTCTCTCTTCTCTTTTTAATCTGCTTTTTTAGCACGTACTTATAGTTTAAGGGTGTGAATGTGACAATTAACAGAGAAAAGTGCTCCCAAAGTCTTGCGCACAAGACAGTAGTTTGGTTACACATTTGGATTTGGATTTGGATATCATGTCATTTCTTGTCTAATAATTCTTCCATTGCTGTCAAACTAGTCTTTTCTTTACTTACAGATAAAAAACTAAAAAAAACACTTAACTTTAGAGATTAACAGATAACACAAACAATCACTTCTTGAAGACACTTTGCTCATAATTTTTTGTTGACTGATAAAAAAGAAAAAAAATTAAGAAAATTACAAAATCAAGCCTTGGGCAATAGCTTGATTAGTTCTGAAATTAGTAGTTTCATACACTGGAAGTTCTTCCCTGTACCTTCCAATCCCAACTGGGTGATCAAGCTCAAAAAGATCAGAACTTGAATAGCTCTCAGCATCATGATCACTTTCTTCATCATCACCATCATCACAAAACCCTCTAGCAAAATTTTGACCTACTGTGGTCAAGTCTTCCTTCAACAAAGAAGCTCTTGCAAATTTTTGATACGAGGGTTTTGGCATTAAACTCGGGTCTTCTTCATAAACACATTTGTGGTGGCTTGAAGGTTGGGAATCCTCCTCACCAAGAATCACACTCACTGGGTAAAACCTCACAGACCTTTTGGTGCCATTGCTTAGTTTTTTGGCTCTTGAAGATGGCTTGCTCAAGCAAGACCTTGAGAAAGTGGAAGCAGAAGAAGAAGAGCAAGAAACAGACTTTGAAACATGTTCTGAGGTCGTCACATCCTCCACAGCTCCAACGTAACACATCTTGGCCTTCTTGACGTTCCCAGAATTGAAAATTGAGTTGATGAAGGTGGCAATTCGACCTCCTGGAGAAATGGGTTGCTTCACCTTCTTCAACTCGCCATAGATTTTCAAAGCCCTGAGCTTTGTCTTTGTAAACCCACCACCTCCGCCATTCTCATGCTTTGGCTTCTCCTGAAATTGCATGTACTTCTCGGAGTGAGCAGAGGCCGCTACCGGCTTCGGCTTTGTTCTTGGCTTGTAGCTTGAATCTGTTTCAGAGGACGAAAATGCAGCACCTGAGCTCGACTCTGAGGAGCTCGAAGCCGAAGTCGAGAGCATGGAGCTTTGAACAGTCTGCTTCTCAACCCAATTCTCAATCATGATAGCTCGACGAAGATTGGTTCTGTCGCTGCCTCCCTTAGCAGAACTGCTCTGTTTCTTCATGACGGTTGATTCTCTGACATAACCCGGATCTCCATCTCCACCGTTCGATTCATCGATCGAGCGGTAAATGGAGTCGAGAAGAGAAGAAGAGAAAGATGGGTTTCTTCTTCTCCTTGGAAATGTGTCTTCCTTGAGCGACTTCTCCCTCATATACATCTTTCTTTTTTGGTTGCAGAAAACACAAAATCTACAGAGCAAAAACAGAGTATTTATAGGGAGAAAAACAGAGAGGGAACAGAGGACAGTGAGATATAGTTTAAGAGTGGGAAAGAGGGTGTGGAGCTGTAGTGTCTGCTTAGAGAATGTCAAAAGCTGCAACGAGACATTAATAGAATGCAAGTAGATCATGTGAAAGAACAAACAAAGTGAAGAGGGAAAAAAAAACAGGCAGAGATTACAAGTTTCCCTCTGTTCTTTCTTTTTTCTTTCTTTTTTTGGGTTTTGTTTTTCACATGGGTTTTGGTTTTGTAGTAAGATTTGTGTACAACAAAGAACAACAATGAGATTGGAAAGTGAGAGTGGGAAGAAGGATAGAGACACAGGGAAAGTGGGGGATTTGAGAATAATTTAAAACAAGGGCCGTGCGTGCGGGTGAATTATGGTTTTTGTAGGTCTTCCAGGTTGGCGTTTTTTTTCTTTTCTGGTTTTACACGTTACTGTAAAATCTTTTTTTTTAGAAGAATTTTTGTGTGTTTGGTGGCAACTTGCTAGTGGTAACTTTATTGATTCTTTCTTTTGTATGGTAATGACCAATGAGTGGAATACTGGTTTTCCCTTTTTTTTTCTTTTTTTTTTCGCGGTCTGGAAGATTGGTCTCACGGCCCAATCTGAAATTACATTAATTATGGACAATTATATACAACTACATGTAAGGTTTTTTTTTATCATAATAAAATTAACAAATATTGAGGGAATGACACTCTCTTTTAGAGAAGTACGATAATTATATTCATAAATCACGCACAAAGATCATTAGTCACTAAGGCCATAACAAATACATATATTACCCACACTGTTAATTCAAATAAAGAAGAAGACACCGGCAACAAGCGCACAAGGTGTATCTCCACTAATATCCACATAAGACTAGATAAATTTCGGCATAAAATCTAGTAGATTGAACAACTCAAGAAACTGAAAGTAAATAAAAGTCACTCAACCACCTAATTATCACTAAGACAAATAAGAGTATCGAAAGAGAATAGATCCATGCAAAACATTGTTGTAGATATGCTACATGAACTCCGATCTTAAAAATATACAACCAAAGCAAAATAGCAACCACCGAATGAGAGGGGAGGGGATATGGAAGTGGAAAGAGAGGGAGGAAGGATAGTGACCTTCCCTCCCCAAGGATGACATCGGTAGCTAGAGTTCTCTCTCTAACTTAGGAAATGACACTCTTAACAATATCCACTCTTACAAACCTACGCCTCCCTTCTTTCACCAATATTAACAATGATCACAAATTCGGCTTTTGATAAATGATCAACATAATACCAATAATGATTGTAAATTTTAAGTAAGCATAATGCCACATTAATAGATTAACACAAAACGATTGTAAGTATTATTTTTCATTAATGAGAAACTAAAATAGAAAAATCATATTTGTTATTATGAAATTTGTATTGTCATTTCCTAGACTCTAGCATAAGTAGAAAATTAGCGTGTGAAGAATTGTTACTAGACATTTTGGCACAACTCATTCAACCCTATACTTCCGAGGCATGACCTGACCATATGAGAAACTTGACAACAGGTAAATCATGACATAATCATGCATTCATTATAGGATTCTTAGTTGGAATTATTTTCACTCAAGTATTTTTATGCTAATTCTATTTTTAATAGGATTATATTTTATCTCTTGAGATTACTTTCCTAGTTGGACTCTATTTTGATTTAGATCAAAATATTATGTTTTCATTATCTTGGACTTGGAAAGGATGTTTTAATTAATATCCTATTTGGTTTCGTGTTTACATCTTGATATATATTGTTTAATTGGATAAACAATTGATTGTAGTGCAATGGAGAATATGACGAAATCATATAGGATTCTAAGACTATCATATTGAATGCATGGCAAGATATTGTGTTGTGATTGTGGGCCTTCACGTGGATTGTGGAGAATAAGTTTTGTATAAATCTTTGTGTGCATCTCTTTAGTTTTAAAGAGTTTTGATATAGTTGGTTTGAGCATCTAAACTTCCAAGAAAGCTGTTGTGCATATATTTGAGATAAATCATCAAGTGTTCTATGTTTACTTGGTGATTTATCAAACACTTTAATCATTCATATTGCATTCATTTGCATTGATCGGTGACTCATACGGTTGAGGGCATCAAGACCGTGGTGGCGGTTTTCCTCCGGCGAGCTTGAAGCAATCGTGACCAGTATTGCGTTCAATATAAGGAATGTCGAAGATCATCCCGTGACAGAAGTTGAGTTACGAAGAAGTCGGTAAACATTATCTAGAATGTGTCTAGGATAAGTGTGTGAGTACTTCTTGTAATTATCGTTCTATAGTGGATTTGTGTTGGACTGAGGAGTCCCGTGGATTTTCCCCAGAAGTGGGATTTTACCACGTAAAATAATTCTCTGCGTATTCTTTTACTTTAAACTCTGCACATCCTAGGATTGATAACTCATATCAATCCTGCTTCAAAAGTTAATTGTTGTTTATTGCAAAATATTCAAATTAGCCTGTTTAACCTTCTCTAGGCATATATAGACATCCTACAGGTATTTTCAATATTAATTTACCTCACTCTACAAAACACAAGATGTTCTCTCACTCTATAAAAAACACAAATAAATGTTGTGAGGAGATATTTTAGGGTGACCTCAGAAAAACACTTAGCAATAGAATAAGTAGAGTTTGTATAAATTAACACACTAATTTTACATTTCCTAATTCAAGATTTTTGTTTTGATGTATTTGTTGTAGCTCCGATGCACAGCCAAGTTATTTTGAATGAAGGCATTACTTTTTCATCATTTCTAAACTCGATGAGCAGTTATTTCAGATAAAAAATTTATTTCAAAGCTATTTAGTTCTCACCAATATCTCAAGATTATTTAGGTAGTAAACAATTTAAGAAGGAAGGTTCATTTTAGGAAAGATGGTAGTAGTGTGAAAAGCTTGCCAAATTATCTACCTTCTATATAAGCTACCTCCTCACATAGTTCACATGATATGTCACGTTGTTTGAGTGACACAAACACACACATATCCATAAGAATTTGGGGTATTCATTTACAGTTAGAAAATCATGGTTAGAGTATTCATTTTTACTACCTTGTTGCATTAATACCATAAATTGCTTTTGATCTACGTAATTATAGTGCTTTGTTTGAGAAATTCAGATGCTTTAACCAGTTTCATTTAACTCCAGTCTTTTTACTATCGCAGAAAAAAGAAAAAGAAAAGCTGGTTGGCATTTTTATCTATATATATAAAACAAAAGGCAGAGAATGGTGAAACATTCAAAATACCAAAAAATGCCCTTGATTAATGCAAACATTAAGAATTGAAATTATTAATTAAATAAGGATAATATGGTAAATTCACTTTTTCCAATTTTTTTTAATTTAAAAATTTAGATAATTGATCCTATTTTTATGGAACACAACTACCCATTATCTTTTTTATTCTAAAATAAATTTAATTTTTTCGCAAGCGCGAAAGCGCGTGCGGAGAGGCTAGTTATTATTATTTATGTTTCTTTTTTGGTTTTACAAGTTACTGTCTCTTTTAAATTCTTTTTTCAGAAGAATTTTTGTGTGTTTGTTGGGTGATAAGGGGTAACTTTGTTGATTCTTTCTTCTGGATTGTAACGCACGACTAATGGGTGGAATTTTGGTTTCTCTTTAAAATGTGATTTAAGTGTAATTAAAATATTTTAAAATATTTTTTAATTTTTTTAATGAAAACACAGATGATGAAGATGTGAATAAATCTTATTAGGCTTTAATAATACTTGATGATGTCATTAAAGTTCCTAATAACATAATAGAAATGTTACATTCTTAATATAACAAAAATGTCAGCTGATAATTGGAATACACTAATTTCATCATTGATTTCAATACTTTCTTTGTTTGGACGCAAGTTAGAAAATCTAGATACAAACAAACCCTCTATTTTTTAAAGTCAAAAGGAATAGCCTCATTAAAATTGGAAACCGAAAAACATACCCCCAGAATAACTGGCTCCAATATATGCATCAATATGGGCTCGTTAAATATAAACCAAGATCGAACAAAATAACAATGAAAAATGAAATCTCATTAGTGCCTTTTGAATTTATTTAGTTCTCACCAATATCTCAAAATCTCACACTCTTGCCCAAATAATCTCACTAGTATTTAATAAGCCATTCAAGAAAGAAGTTACTTGCAGTAAACCTAAAAAATAATATGAGGATGATCAAGGGGCTTGTAGCTTAAGTTATTAACAATATTTACCGTTTTATTTTAGGTTATAGGTTCGATATCCTCTTCCCCCAATATCGCTTGTATAAAAAAATAGTATGAAAAATTGTCATCTAGTCTCCATTTTATATATGCTACATCCTCATATAATTAACATGATATGACACAGCTTCTTTGAGTGACACTAGACCCACAATACGTATAACCGTATGAAATTTGCTTGTTCATTTTAGTATTAGAAATTTGGCACATTGCTGCTTTAACCAATTTACTTTGAACTCCAACATTTTCACAGTATATAAGAAAAATGAACCGGGCAGAAAAAGCTTTGCAAAATCCTTCCGGTTACGAAAAAACCCTTCATTTACTTGCAATGCTTTGCCTTTGGAGAGTGGCAGGCACAGCAAAGGATAGAAGAGAACATATCCTTCATCTGGTATTGACATACACATCTTTTAATTTCGATTTCGCATGAACTGAAATTCAGATACAACTGATGCTCTTCATCCACCAATAAACATAGTAAATAACAAAAATTAAGACTATAACCCCCACCCCCCCAACCAATCCCATACGAATTCTTTTGGATCATGAACATAGGAAACTTTGTGCTCATTCATCCCTCTGAACATCAAGAGGTGCCGGCAGTGGCACACCCATTCAGATATCTATAGACAAGGGCTTTACCAGTATGGAAAAACCAGAAAGGAAAACAATCCAAGAAAGCAACACCTCCAGACTCTGGAAAGCAACAGTGGCCGCCCAAATTTTTTTCGATCACAAGTACTGTTCATGTATCCTGGCCCGATTCTCTTCCCACCACAATCTGGCATGCATCTCCCCAAATTTTTCTCGGCTGCACCAAATGCATTTGGAAATAAGCCAAGGTTCATGCCAAGTCGATATAATTGCAAATCATGACAATAAGCAAACGAGAGAGAAAATTTCATTTCCAGAGTCAAAAAGATTAGACATATACCACCAAACATCAAAAGAATTAGTGGAAGCAAAATAATTGCAGTAATATTGATGTCACAAAGTTGATTATATTACTGGCAGTTGAAGTCATAATTTTCAACAAGTTGAACGAACCGCAAGTGTGCTATTATTCCATGTAGGACCCACTGCAACAGTCAGTCAACTTGACAAATGAAAATCAATCACTCATATGGCCTAGCGTTTTCATAAAGACTCCTGTTATGAAGAATTAGCATGAGGTCAACAATCAGCAGCAGGATGTTCACTTGATAGGCCACAATAATGGTACCCAAATTTTGAGAGGCCCAGTTCAAATCAAATAAACAATCCAATTTTGATGCAACTACAAGGATCCATTGGTCGGATTATGGTCATTATTGGGGTAAAAAAACTGATCAAACAGTCCTATGGAAGAGTCACTGTTTAGACAAACAAAGTTGCTAGGCTAGGCCCTCTCTAACCATTCTGACTCTTTTAGGTAGCTGCAATATAATCTAACAATAATACGACTCAATTTCTCACTCCAAGTTGTGAATTTAAGTAAGCCATGTGAGAGTAGATCTACTAAAATCATGTTTGTCTGAAAGATTAAAGAACCTTAGCCAAGCCAGACCAAAAAATAAAAAGAACGGTAGCCACATATATGCAGCACTTCTTGTTCAGAACATTACCTGAATCTGACTCGTCTAAGCTCCCGTTTGCCCCCTGGTAGTGCTCTAATTGTGATGTAAACCCCTGGCTCATCCTGTTCAACCCATTCAGTCTCTAGATCGCTAGCGTTGCTGATAGATAGCTCTCCTGAGCGATCTGCCTCCCTTGATGAACTACTTCTGATAGAAGCATCCATGGATGATGTCTCAGTCTTGGTCCCACTTATGCTGGAGAGTTTTGGCGTGGAATTGATACCACCTGAATCATAGTAATGGCGGGACTGCATTGGGTGATGATCAAGTGAATCTGAGGATGAGTAGCTCATAGCCATCCCCGTTGGACGGTACAGGTTGCGAGGTAGGCGTTCTCTAGTTAGTGGTGGAGTTACAGGGCTGGCTTCCGCAGATTCCATCTTTGAACTCTGTAACAGGAGAGGAAAATGACATCAATCACATCAAAGAATAAATGAAGAAAACAACACAACTTACATATTGTACTCGTTAGTCATAATACTCTATTAAGTATTAGGCCTCAAGATGGTGATTGCATTAAAGGTTTTTCTGAAATATCATTTACCAAAGCTGAATTCGAATTGGCATCACTACGATCAGTTACAGAAAAATTGAGATCAGCAACCTACATGAGTGTATTGCCATCAGATGCGAATAGAACAACGCAGAATCGCCAATGCAATTGAATTTCTATAAGCCAGCTTGGGGCTTACCTCATCTTCAGATCTTGGTGGGGTTGGAAGCGGGAAAGCTTGCCGGTTAAACCTTTGAACATTGTAAAGTTCCATGACCCTATCATAGTTCTCAGCCCACCACCTTTGAGCTTGCCATTTGTTAAAAATCTCTCGACTAGTCAAAGAAAATAAAAACATGAATTAAGAATCCCTGATGTCACCAAGTTACTGCATAAGGAATGAGAACAACAGGGCATGAAGCAAGCACACAGAACAGTTGTAGTAAACATTGTGTTTTGCAGAAATTGCAATGTGTCATGATTCATGGTTTAGGCAATAATTAACATTTTAGTATATTGTTAGATACGTTAGGCCACTTTGAATTGGGCGCGCAACACCTTTTGACAAAGTGGGATCCTTGTGCAAAAAGAAAGCAAAACTAGCATTCGGTGCAAGGAATAAATTAAAGTGGTCGTGAAAAAAAGGTGGCCTAACTGGCTTTATTAGCATTCAATCAGCAGTGCCTAACCCATCAAACCTAAGTGCCTTTTTTTTTTATCAGCCGATCAAAAGTAGGTGGTGGGTTCATAATAAAGAAATCAATTCATAGACCAACCAAAACATCAGTTTTTGGTTCAAATCAATCCATTTTGTTTTTTGTCTCGTAGAAAACAAGAAGGCCACTGTGAGTCACTGTATAAAAACCATATGTCCTTGTTCACATTTTGTCATGTACGTAGTTTTGGATTGACAGTATTTTCTGGCGCAACTAGAAGGTTTAGGGAGACAAAGAAATAGATTATAAGAAGACAAAGCCACGGAGAATCAGGCAGGCGTGATAGAATTTTGAAAAAAGAAATACAAAGGCCTTCTCCGACACGACGACAACACTCAGTGAAAAAGCTTCCTAACACAATCAAACGTGGCCCACCACCACTTAAATTGTCACCATTTGCACCTTTGTTTGCTTGCTTTTCATCAGGAAGCGTGATTTTTACTGGGATTAGTAGGCCCCTCCCCTGGCCCACCTAAATTCTTCATATTGAAACCAAAGACAGGTATCTAAGGTCATGTTTGGATGCTACATTTATGATATTAATTAATTGCCAGAGGAAATTCTCAAAATAATATTCATCCCAGAAAATTTTATTTTTTTCATTTTTAAAAATGAAGATTGTGTGCAAATTTCAACAATAAAAAGTATTTTTGATCAAAAAAATAAACAACATTTTTAGTAAAAAGCCAATCATCCAAACATCACCTAACTTACCCAAACATAACAAATATTTTAATATCCCACTGGGACCGACAGCCATCGTTGGATCAAAATGCAAAGACTAAATCAGACCGTTGACTAACAAGGGAGCTTACCTGAACCGAATGCGCTTGAGATCGTTCCCGCCACGTGGCAGGGAGACGAACGTGATGAGAACTCCGGGCTCCACCTGGGCCACCCACTCCTTGGGCTCGCGCTCTTCGACGAACACGACCGGGTCGACTCGGCGACCGCTTGCCGAGTTGGGGGTGCCTTCGCCGCTGGAGATCCCTTTGAGCCTCGCCTCCATCTCCTTCCCCCAAGTCCTCGGCGTCGTGGAGCTTGAGCTGCCGGTACGCCGGTACGACCACCTGAACCGGTCCGAATCGGCGTCCGACTCGCCGGTCCCCTTGAGCCGACTCTGAGTCACCGGGCCGGTGCAAGGGGCGCAGTGCCTGTAAGCTCCCGAGGCCTTCAATGCCATGTCCTTGAGCTGCAAAATTCAAATTCCCCCTTGAGGCTACGACAATTCATGCAAATATATATGTATAATATGTATGAATAGGTCAGGGCTTCTGGAGTTTTTGAGCTGAGACAGAACCTGGAAAGTGAGGGATTTAATGGCGGCTTGTTGCTTGTTGTTGGAGGAGGCGGGGGTGTTGGTGGAGTCGGAGACTTCGGGTTGACTCAGTGAGTCGTCGCCGAGTTTCTTAGGCCGAGCTATGCACGTCAACATTGTGCTCTCTTCTCTTGTTTAGCGAAATTCGGAGAAAGAGTTGAACGGAATGTGGATAGAGTGATGGCGAAACGATGTCGCTTCTGGTTCCGTACGGCTGGAATTCGGAGATTAGGGCCGGGATTGAGGAAGAGGAAGGGTGGAATGGAAGGATGCGTAGAGAGCGGGGCGCGAGGTACGAGTTGCTGCAACTGTCGCTGCTCTGAGCTCTCTCAGACACGCACCTTAAATGAGACCTTAAATTACGCTACCAGAAAAGAGATTCTCTGAGAAAATTAAAAAAGAAACAACTTCATGAATAATAATCATAAATCCAAAAATTGTTTTATATAAAAAGAATGGGAATTAAATTAATGAAGAAATAGTTAGATTATAATATATATATATATTTTTTTTTAAATAGAAGTAACCAATACCAGAGACTCAGTATGATCGGAGTTAATGGCGAATTGGTGATGTCGTAATGACGAGTGAGTAGTGAGAGAGACAGAGAGAGACAGAAAGACAAAGAGTGAGTGTGTGTGTTTTTTGGCTCGCGGCTCGCTGATTGGCTATAACGGCAACGGGATATGCTTTGCTTCGTTTTTTTTGGGTTACCGGGTACCGGGTGTTTACCGGGTTGCGTTTTCGGGTAAGGTTGATGGGTAGTCCGGGTCCACATACCGAGCGTTTCCAGGGTCTTGTCTTTTACCTTTGTGGGCCCCATTTTTCATGGTGTATGGACTTCTCGAAAGAAAAGGCCTGTTTATGATGTTGCGTAATAAGATGTCCAAGACGACCCAAAAGGGTACGAATTTGAGAAAAGCCCGGGCTAAGAGCCTGAAAGCCTCAAATCAAAATTTTGTTTTCTGGGCTATTTATTATTGTTTGACGTTTGCAACTAAGCTTTTGCTTTCGTTGTTTTTTTTTTTTTCTTTTTTTTTTTTTTTTTTTTTTGTGTGTGTGTGGTGAAATCTGATGTCATTGAACAACCCAAACGGGAAGGAGCAAAACAGAGACAAAAGCAAAGGAACACAAACAGAGTTGGATCAAGAAACGGCCAGGACTCAACGCAAGCCTAGAACACAGCTCCTAACCTATACAAAAATGAACCTATCAGAGACGGAGGTGGTTGGTTGAACCAACTTCTCAAAAACCCACAAAGATTTTGTGGGTTCGGAGAGAGACATCTTGAGTATTTGAAATTTGCTTCGGCTTTAATTGGGAATTGCCATCGCCATAGCTGGACAAGGACAAGGCTTTCATGTTTGATTGTTGAGTTTTGACCAAGATAAACAACCTAACAGTTTGAGTGGAATTGTTTAGGGCGTTACATCAGCGTAGTGGACCATAACAGGATTCATCTTCATTTATCAATCTATGTATTATTACATGAGTTTCTATTCATCAGAGGAATGTTAATAATTGAACTATTTCCCTTTATACTCACGAGAGAATTGGTGCAAAAGACTCATTAATGTAGTGATTTTGAGTATTTACTTCTTCAGATAAGGTCCTAGGTTCGAATTCTAGTATTCTGTAGTGTGTGTGAGTTTAGTATGCTATCGGCCCTCTCAATAGAAAATGTCCTAAAAAAATAAATAAATAAAATTTAGGGCATAATGGTGCAACACAATACCTAATTGAGTGACCTCTATAACTATTTTTGGAGTTAAGTGGCCAAAATGTAACTCCCAAGTATAACTGAGGAATCATTGCTACCAAAAAAACAAGACACCTTACGAGAATTGGTAAAAATGAAACCCTATATTAACTTTTAGGATCACAAATGACATTAAAAAAGAAAAAGAACGTAATTTGATGGTTTTGTTTGTGATAAAAAGCCTACATTGATTAACCTATCTTTCACTTTCCCATATTAGAGGATTGAATCTCATGCAAATGTCACCTCATATGAAAGAGATGTGGAGTATTGGAACACATGACAATTTTCCTTAATAAAACAACATAACAATAAAGATACTACAAAGGTCAATTCTTTCTTAATCTCTCAATCTCTTCCACATGCTCGAGTCTTGCACAAACCATGAGATATTAGGGGTTCAAAGTCTTTTGAACAAATGCTTGGAGTCCAAAGGCTGCACAGAATCTCACCCTCTGCAACATTGTTTGTGACAGGAAAAATTCCCCTGTGCTCTTTAAACACCAAATTAAACCAAATTAATATGAAATTAATGCATATGATATAACATTTAAAGCGTTGTGTCGGTCTATGCAGCCGGTAAATATATAGACCCACCTACCCAAACATATGGGTCCATATTTTTATATGGAATTTTCCATGGTGGTCTCGAAATCTATCTAAGAGAGCCTCGAGCAACCTAAATATTACTAAAATAAGAAACCAATTATATATTATCTATACTAGCCTCTCCACATGCGCTTCCGCGCATGCAAGAGGTTTTTTATTTATTTTATTTTAAATTTGTGTTAGAATTAAAAAAGGTAATGGGTTGTTGTGTTCCATAAAAATAGGATCCATTATCTAATTTGTCTTTTAAATTTAATTTTTTTAATATGAAAAAGTGTGAATTTACCATATTATCCTCATTCAATTAATAATTTCAATTATTAATGTTTGCATTAACCAAGGACATTTTCTGGTATTTTGAGTGTTTCACTATTTTCTGTCTTTTGCTTTATATATATAGATATAGAGCAAAATGCAGAGAATGGTAAAATATTCAAAATACCAGAAAATACCATTGATTAGTGCAAATATTAAAAATTGAAATTATTAATTAAATGAGGATAATATGGTAAATTCACATTTTTTATATTTTAAAAAATTAAAATTAAAAGAAAAATCAAATAATAAATCATATTTTTATGAAACACAACTACTCATTATCTTTTTTAATTCTAAAATAAATGTAAATTTTTTTTCAAAAAGCCTTTCGTAGACACAGAAGCACATGCGAAGAGACTAGTATAATTATAATGGAGACTCGAAAAGCTTGGTCTTGATGTTTTTTGCTTTCGCCCAATAAAAAAATTAATTTTGTGCTGAACAGGTCAAAATTTTTAATAATTTTATTTTCCTTTTCATGCAACTCGGACACAAACGTGATCCCAACTACACCGCCGTTTATCACATTCATCAGCTCTCACGGCCTTTCGCCACGTGTCGTACTAGATCAACCGTGGGACCAACGCCGGTTCTGGAACTACCCAGCTCCCTCCAGTTTTCTAAACGCGACCAAAACTTGTACACAACCAGGTTGAGCAGTCAATCAGAAGCCTCCACCTCCCACTTGCCGGCAACAACCTCTTCCGGCCGGTGGCTTTGTATAAATTAATAGCCGTGTTTCTAGGAGCTTCGGGTTTCGATCAGCTGCTTCGCTGAGCACCGAGACCAGTAACTCAGAGGAAAGCATTTAAATTAAAGACTTCCACTTTTTTATCTAGTTCTCTCTCTCCGACCATCTCTTTTTTTTATTGGAACGATGTCGTTTCTCAGACGCAGAAAGGGAAAAGCTTCGGACTCAGAGCCGGCTCCGATTGAAGACGAGAGTGAAAAAGAACAGGAAAACCAGAAGCACAAGCAAAAGCAAAAGCTTCCCAGTAAAGATGGAGGGAAGCCACAAAAGTGGTCCTGCGTCGATAGCTGTTGTTGGTTCATTGGGTTCATATGCTCGATCTGGTGGTTCTTGCTCTTCTTGTACAACGCAATGCCCGCTTCTTTTCCTCAGTTCGTGACCGAAGCGATAACGGGTCCCTTGTCTGACCCGCCTGGCGTGAAATTGAGGAAGGAGGGGCTCATGGCAAAGCACCCTGTGGTCTTTGTGCCTGGGATTGTGACCGGCGGGCTTGAATTGTGGGAAGGGCATCAGTGTGCTGATGGGTTGTTTAGGAAGAGGCTATGGGGTGGCACATTTGGTGAATTGTACAAAAGGTAAGTGCTTTATGTCCTTTTCCTTATAAAGCAGTATTCATTTTGGATTAATTTGATGCGGGTTTTGCCCTGCTTGTTTGATTGTTTAGTTACTTTGGTGTTTTGGGTTTTGTGGATTATGGAGTAGTTTAGAAAGAAGTGTGTTTTATACTTGAAAAGGGTGATTTTGCCTTAAACCAATGCTGCTTTTGTTACGTGTTTCCTGCGCTGAGGTTGCTTAAACTGGTAAAGTGTCAAGCAGTTTAACAAGTGAACCCATGAGTTGATTATTTGGGTGTTGTCTTGAACATATAGTGCTAGCCAGTTCAACTGTATGCCATGTGTAAATGTACACTGAGAAACCTTTTGAATTGTAAATGTGAAGAAAATCTTATTAGGGTGCTTGTTAGAATGTGGAAATCTCATTCATAAGAAAAAAATGTGGGTGGTTATGCGAAAGTTCCTGACCTTGGTTACATATGTTAGTTTGACTAGTTATTTGATGCTCTAACTATTAATCATTGGGGTGTTTTGATTTTCCAAATTTCCTCCATCTCTTAATCTTCCTCAAAGTAAACATCCTGTGTGTTTTAATCTTCTGTGGTGTTAACCATGTTTCCTTTCATTTTTCACAGACCGTTATGCTGGGTTGAGCACATGTCTCTGGATAATGAAACGGGACTAGACCCTTCGGGTATAAGGGTCAGGCCTGTATCTGGCCTTGTGGCAGCTGATTATTTTGCACCAGGTTATTTTGTCTGGGCAGTTTTAATTGCTAATTTGGCTCGCATTGGATATGAAGAGAAAACCATGTATATGGCTTCGTATGATTGGAGATTATCGTTTCAAAATACCGAGGTGTTGTTATCTGACCAATTAATCTTCCTCTGATGGAAATTCATATGGTTTCTTTGTTAGTTAATAGTAGCATGATATATTTAAGAATGAGAAGTGACTTTTATTGTATTTTATCTCCTTGATTGCCTTTGTCAGGTTAGGGACCAAACGTTAAGTAGGATAAAGAGTAATATAGAGCTTATGGTTGCTACAAATGGTGGTAACAAGGTGGTGGTTATTCCGCACTCAATGGGTGTTCTGTACTTTCTGCATTTTATGAAGTGGGTTGAGGCACCAGCACCAATGGGTGGTGGTGGTGGGTCAGATTGGTGTGCTAAGCATATTAAAGCTGTGCTGAACATCGGTGGACCCTTTCTAGGGGTTCCAAAAGCCGTTGCGGGACTTTTCTCTGTTGAAGCCAGAGATATTGCTGTTGCCAGGTTTTTTTATCATTTACTTACACATCAGATTAGTTCGCTAGAAACATTTATGCATTTTTGTTCCCTGCTTTGGGCTGCTGATGAAATTCTAATCCTCATTACAGGGCTTTCGCACCAGGTGTTTTGGATAAGGACGTTTTTGGGCTCCAAACATTACAACATATGATGCGAATGACCCGTACATGGGATTCAACTATGTCAATGATACCGAAAGGCGGGGACACTATATGGGGTGGCCTTGATTGGTCCCCTGAAGGATACTGCAATTGTAGTGCAAAGAAGGTGAAGAATAATGATACCAATACTGCAGCTGAAAACAGAGTAAATTATGGGAGGATTATATCATTTGGGAAAGATGTAGCGGAGACACATTCCTCCAAGATTGAGATGATTGATTTTAGGGTAATTTTCTGTGTTTCAAATATGATCACTATTATATAAAGTAACTCTACTTCCATTATAATTATATAGATTCTCTCTCTCTCTCTCTCTCTCTCTCTCTCTCTCTCTGTGAAATACAATCTACAGATGGAATTGCACATACTTTCAATCTCGTACTGTATCATGCGCTGTTTAGTAGTTTACCTAGCATCTCAACTTAATTATTTGATTTTCAAGATGGAATTATTCATAAAAAGGTGAAGGGTGGGCTTGCAATTGTGGCTTATGTTGATTCCAATTACAAAACCTTTGCGTGTAAAATGATATGTTAGGTCATATTTCCTTACATTTATGTGGAGACTAATGACTTTCCATGTTTTATGTATATTGCTAAAATGCTCATTTTCCATGTGAGAGTGACTGCTGCTATTTAAACCATTACTTCAAATTTCTTTGATTAGAGCCAAGCCTGAGGTTTTTATCATGCCTCAAAGACACTGAAATGATCACAATATGAAGTTTGCCTGATTTGTCTTTGTCTCCCAAGATGTGTACTGTCTTTTCTTTTGTTAGAATCCCAATATGCATACTATCATGAGATATTTTGTACAGAAGCTATAAATTCTTAACTGCTTAACTTGTATCACTTTGACTTGTACTTGATTGGCAGGACGCTGTAAAGGGTAATAACCTTGCGAACGCTACCCATTGTGATGTATGGACAGAGTACCATGAAATGGGTGTTGGGGGTGTCAAAGCTGTTGCAGATTACAAAGTGTACACAACTGAATCAGTTTTGGATCTGTTTCGTTTTGTTGCCCCCAAGTTGATGACACGTGGGGATGCTCATTTTTCATATGGGATTGCTGACAATTTGGATGACCCGGAATATGAACACTACAAGTATTGGTCGAACCCCCTAGAAACAAAGTGAGTTTTCAACTTGTTCTGTTGTTCTAAGCTTTCCCACCGAGTGAATCATGAATTGAACTTAATCTGGTTATTTTCCCTCTTTTGGTGATCCTTAATTGAGTGTAACAAGTATTAATGCTTTTAATTGTTTCAGCATGCATATTCTCCAATGCCTGTATATGTATATGCTCAGAAATAAAATCATTAAGTAGGAAATTCCCCACTGTGCCTAGGTAGTAAAGATATTCACTGAGGTGGTTTTGGGGACTGGTTTCTATCATTTAACTGCCTGGCCAATGCTTACCCAAAGCATGAAAAGTCGTAGTCCAAACATGTCCTGTATGTGTTGATCCAGTTTTCCATTGTGGGTCCGAAAAGGTTATACATTTGTTGATTATGTTAATGATTTGGTTCTTCCCTTTTGGTTCAGCTCTTATTATTGTACAAATAAATGCTCGTTTGTCCTTGTATTGCTTATTTAAGTATTCTTTTGGAGCTTGCGTACATTGTTTAAGCAAATGTTCTATTAGGAATGCTTGCTTGAACTTCTGACCTGTTTGTGCAGATTACCAAATGCTCCAGATATGGAGATCTATTCTTTGTATGGAGTTGGAATCCCGACTGAAAGAGCATATGTATACAAGTTAACTCCGACTGCTGAATGCTACATTCCCTTTCAGATAGATGCCTCAGCAGAAGGTGGAAGTGAGAACCCCTGTTTAAAAGGTGGAGTTTTCTCCTCTGATGGGGATGAAACTGTTCCGGTTTTAAGTGCAGGCTTCATGTGTGCTAAAGGTTGGAGGGGTAAGACCCGATTCAATCCTTCAGGCATCCCTACTTACATAAGGGAGTACGACCATGCCCCTCCAGCTAATCTTCTAGAGGGTCGGGGCACCCAGAGTGGTGCTCATGTTGACATAATGGGGAACTTTGCATTAATTGAGGATGTTTTAAGAGTGGCAGCAGGTGCCAAGGGAGAGGATTTGGGTGGAGATAAAGTGCACTCTGATATTTTCAAATGGTCTGAAAACATCGACTTAGATCTCTGATTTATATGGTGAGCTGAAAACATCAACTCTCTCTCTCTCTCTCTCTCTCTCTCTCACACACACACACACACACACGCGCGCGCGCGCGCACACAAACAACAGGAATACAGCCACATGCACCACAACACGGTGCTATAGTTTCGTTTACTTTCTGAAGCTGGAATACTATTCTTGTGTTTTAACTTGCTTCTTCCAACCTCTGGTTCAGGTAATCCGGTGCTTGACGATACACCTGATGAATTATCAATTGCCTTGGTGGTTGCGAATTGTGATTATGGCGAAGTTCTTGTATTTGATTTGAAACCTAAGAAATGAATAGCAGATTGCTGAAACAAACCCTTCCGGGTTTATGTTGTCATCTATGTGTACTCTGCAGTCTCGATTTATCTGAGGAGCCCCTAAACAGCTTCAAGAATGGGATTCCACGTCATGCCGGGCTCCTACTTAGGTGTAGCTAGCTTTTACAGTTCATATATAGCTCCCTGGGATTTTGGATATTCAATTAATTTATTGGATATTGTCAATAAATTATTTAATATATCAGTGTAATGGTTCATCTATCTGTAATTATTTGTGGAAGACCGTTGCTGCTGTATTGGCTTCATCACCAAGTCTTCCTTCCTATATGGTTTGTTCTGAGATTCTAATGCGAAGAAACTATAGTGCGGGGAAGACTTGTCTCGAAGGAGTGGAAACAAACACACCACCCATGCTCCACCAAGACGTGTCTTTTTCATCCAAAACGAAATAAAAAAAGCAATATGCTTTTTCATTCAAACCCAGGTCAACAAGTACTTATCCACTTTTGCACCCATTGACAATATTATTTAACAACAATAATAATGCCAAACAAATTTCACTTTCTCACCTTTCCCATTCAAGATTGAAGCTGCTCATAGATACTTGTTTGTGCGGCCTAAAACATGTATGATTCTTAGGCGTGCCTTGTTTGCAAGCCTGTGACTGAACAACGGGCAGAGATACCAAACTCACATCAGTTAATTTCTTAAAAGTGTCTTTTTATTTATTTATTTATTTAATGCAATCGATGGTATAAACTATATGGAGGAGGGAGAGTTTTTCCCACTCACCCAATGTATCATGAGGATTAGAATATGAGATCACTAGTTTGCAAGTTAAGATTTTTTTTCACTAGATTAGATGGATCCTGAGTCTCTGTATTTAGCATCGGTGCACTTACGTGCGTTTATAAAAATGCAAACCATTAAATGTGGATTTTAATAAGTCCACGTCATCAAAATTGTATCAAACTAAAAATTAATTATTTGCACCTTATTATGTCCCCAGCAAGCCACATCCACACCTAACCTACCCTACACTGCCAGTCCTGGTTGCCACCTTTGTCTCCTTCCTTCCCCCGCCTCTCTCTCTCTCTCTCTCTCTCTCTCTCTCTCTCTCTCCTCCTTCCTTCAATTTGGGATGAATGGCTCTCAATGAGGCCTAGGAGCTGATATTATCAAATTCTAATCTTTAATACTATATTGTTTCAACAGAAAAAATAAACCTGAAAAATCATAAATAAAAAAATCTGCAAAATAAAGGGAAGGAATTCTGATGTACATTGTATTGTCTTATTCAGAAGACAAAGTGACGAAAGCGATATGCAATTCAAGAAGCAACATTGTCTATAATTTACAAAATTAATACATTAAAAGAGAATTAGATATCAGTTTTTGAATCAAATTCAAGGTTTTGATAATTATGAAAATGATTTAATTGTGGGAGAGAAGAGGGAAAGTCCTTGGGGAGAGGAAGAGATGGATGAGTGATATGGTTCAAAAGGAGTTCTAATATAATACCATTAGAGCAACTCCACCCATTTGCCCTTAGAGCATTTCCAGTAGTGGGGTTTGGGGGAGGGCTGTGGGGGGGTTTGGGGTAAAAACCCGTTTCCAAGTAAATGTCTTTGTCCTTTTACTTTTATTTATTTTTATATTACCCCATTTACTTAAGTTTACAATGTAAATAAGGAAATACCCCCATTTGGATTCAAATAAAAATACTAGAAAATCAAATTCCCACCAAATCAAAATATGAAAAATCGGTTTTAGTGCAAAATACGATTTAGGCTAAAAATGATGGCTCATTAAGTCAATATATACTTCATATTAAAATCCCATAAAATCAAGTTTTCTTATTTGATGTGTAAGGAATAAAAGCCACCAAAAATTATCTTGAGAAAATGATTATTCCGAAAAACCATTTTTCATACTTAGTCAATATTGCACCTCTGCTAAAAAAATTCCGGGTCTGCCAGTGTCTATAAATATCAACCAATACTCTTCACTTTTAACACCAAATCCTCATACTTTTTTTTTTCTATAAATACCAACCAATACAACTAATAAAATAAAATCTTATCCAAAAATATTATCTTGCCTTCCATTTCTTAGTTTGCTTGCCTTTCATTTCATTGTGTTTTTTTTGTTTTGTTTTAATAATTAGTGGTCATTCATGTATTTTATTTTATTAGTTGTATTGATTTATCTAAAATTTGAATTTTGAAATTTATATGAAATTTGAAACCAAAAATCTTATCCGATATGAATAGTATTGATATGTAGGAACCCAAAAATCTTATCCAAAAATATTATCCAAATCAAATGTTTAAGTAAACAAAGTTGTGAAAAAAAATGAAAAAATGAATAGTATTTGCCATGGCAAGTCTAAACTGCCAAAAACACACTTTGCTGGGGGGCTAGGGCAGCCACTATTGACATGAATAGTAGCCGCCCTAGGGCTCCCCTTGCCATTGCAAGGGGCTAACTGGTGGAAGTGCTCTTAGCTATGGCAAGGGGGGAGTTAGGGCAGGCACTATTCACGTGAATAGTAGTTGCCCTTGCAAATAGCATTTTCCGTTTCCACCCGTTGCCATGACAAAGGACAATTACTATTCATTTTTTAATTTTTTTCACAACTTTTTTTACCTCAATAATTAATTTGGATAATATTTTCGGATAAGATTTTCGGGTTCCTACGTGTCAATACTATTCATATCTCATAATCGGATAAAATTTTCAATTTCAAATTTCAAATAAATTTTTTTTTAAAAAGGCTGGTATTTATAGAAAAAAATTTGCTACCGTTGGATTGGAGGAAAAAATCAGATCGGAGAGCCCAGACGACGCCACGTGGCAACAGAAAAAAAAAATCAAATGAGTGGGCTGACGCCAGCCTACGTTTTGGACCTCAGGTTGAACTGGCCTTCGGGCTAGCCCGAGTTGTGTGGGACCCACTCCAGCCCGTGCTTGGGCTCACCGCTGGAAACCAATTTTTGCAAAAAAACTCCCCCAGCCCGAAGCAAGGGGGCCTCGGTGGAACTGCTCTTATGATAAGGTGGAATAAATTAAATTCCATTGGATAAAACGTTAAGGTTTTTTTTTTTTTTTTTTTTTTTTTTTTTTTTTGTGTGTAAATGCACCAATGCTAAATGTAGAGGCTCGAAATCCATATTAGACCATGTTAGCAAAAACTTTAGTGTCTTTCGTATTACTCTCTAATGAAATAACGGTAACCAATTGAGAGTAACCTTTTTATACGTGCTTCGACCAAAAACGCAATCTTATTAGAGCACTTCCACCCCTATAGGAAAGGGCAAAGCAATGGTTGTCACTATTCACATAAATAGTGGCAGGGCTTGCAATTTTGTTTCCACCTCTATGGGCAAGGATAAGGGCAATTACTATTCACTTTAATTTATTTTCTATTTTTTATACTTCAACTTAAAAATTAATTTTATTATTTAAACTTTATAGAAAAAAAATTTCAAATTTTTTTGGTATTTTTTTTATTTTTATTATGTAAAAAATTGCAGTTGTTGGATTACAGTTAAAAATTTGATCGGACGTCCCAGGTGATGCCACGTGTCTTGTAGCAGTGTAAAACAAATTTGAAAAGCGCGTTGATGCCAACGTGGAGTCAGCAAACCCGGGCAACAACACAGGCTGGATCTGCCCTTGGACTTGCCCGAATTGATGGCCTCCACATTTTGCCCTAGCTGCTTTGTGCGCGTTGGAGTCGTATCGAGGGCCCCCCTTGGCCAGGCCGAACTGCTGCGGTGGACATGCTCTTACTAGCAATTGGGCATGGTTGTTATCTTATAAGAATAGTAATAGTGCAACTAAAATAGATATAAGCTGAAGTACAAACGTAATTTATCTTTCATTTTAAGAAAAAGCTAATGCTTATGCTTTCCTCTTGATTAAAATAAGAAAAAGATTGATGCTTATCCCTTTCAGGTCAAGTAAAGCTGATTCTTTCATTGTTGTTACATTAAATCATAGGATGATGTGTCTTAGGTTGAAATAAAGAAAGAAAATTAAACCAAAGTAGTCATCTTTAATCTGTCATTAGTGATGATTTATATATAAATATTTTCAATTTTCAAGTTTGAAAAAAAAACAAACGAGGATAAACACCTTACCAGTCTACTAGAATCTTCAACGCAGAAAGTCACTCGCCATGGTGGTGCATGGGAAACACTTTCTAGTCAAAGGTGAGAGTAAACGTAAGCGTTGATGGAAGCAAATGGGCACAGTGGGGGGTGGAGCGTGGGATGTTTGAGCGTGGGGAACAAGTGATGAAAACAGTGAACGGCGGCTGAGATAGAGAAAAGTGAATGCAGCCAAGCGTTAAGGGTGTGTTTGGGGGCGTGCGTGCGGGCCACCACCATGGAAGAAAAAGACGACAGCTGGAAAAAATCCAAGAAAAATAGAGAGAGAGAGAGAGAGAGAGAAAGAGAGTCAAGTCAGAGAGATGGGGTGGGTGGCAAGTGCTTTTATTAAGGAATTTATGATATTTTTTATTTTTTAATCTTTTGTGTGTGTCGAGGTTTGTGTAATCTGTGTGTTGTGTTGTCACAGCAGCAAAGCCCAAGAAGAAGGAAAAAATATGGAGTGTGAGTATTTTGAGAGTGTTTTTATTTACAGAGTCTGAAGAGAGGGGACATGTCTAAGTTCTTCCCAACAGCTATATTCTTTGCTTATTCATGCCTTACCAGATCCCAAAGGTTTCTCTTTCTCTCTCCTTCTCTTGATTATTTCTTACTTTTCTTCTTTGTCTCCTCCACTCCTCAACTTCCCTATTGCTTCATTTGCTCTTTTCCTTTTTTACTTTTATGTCTTTTTTTTATTTTTTATAAATCAACCTTTTTTTTATATATTTTTTTTTCTGCTCTTTTGGTGGATGGTTCATTTCTAGAATTCAAGTGGGTTGCTTTCTATTTGCTATTTACTGACTGCATGTGGAGTTTGGGATCATTTTGATTTCGCTTTAGTTGTTGCTGAAGATGGGAAAGCAGTAAAGTTGTCTCTTTTATTGGTTTCTGGTTCTATTGCTCCTTTGGGCACTTCGCTTTCTTGTGTTTTTGACACTTATTTTTTTTATTTGTTATATTTTACATTTTTTCTCCACTTATATTATTGGATATGGTGGATAATGCCTTGTTGTGTTGGGCTTGAGTGAGTAAATGGGCAGACAGAGCAACTGATATGCTATATCTGGAAATATTTTTCTTTTTTCTTTTCATTTTTTGGTATGCTTGGAGTTGGTCTCGAAATTTCAAGTCTTTTACTGACTGATTGATTTGCCCGATTAATCTCTCGTTGATCTGCTTCTGTTGCCATAAAAGGCTGTGATTTGATTTATTGCATACTGATGCTGCATGTAACTGGAAAGCTTTCTTCTCTGTAATATTTACTGAGCTGAATAATACCCCATACTTTTCATCTGGTTTTCTAAACCTAGTTTTTCCCTCACATAGTAAATGAGATATTAAATGCAGTCTGTTGAAACTGGGAAGAACCTCTTCTTGGTGTTCTCAGCATGTGGAGTCTGATTTTTCATTTAAGAAGTAGAAACAGTACCACCAAGTTGTTTGAGATTTGTTGAATGAGTGGTTAGAAGGCAATAATCTGTTGTATTTCAACTCATTTGTGAGTTTTTTTCTTTCTTTATTGTTGTTTGGGATATTCATTCATGGTAATTGTATTAGAAGAGAATTTATTGTTGAATAATCTTATTTTTGTGCTTTAATGCAGAATGTGATTGAATGGTTGCATACTCTCCCATTTCATGTAAATTTTTATGTGTAATTAGATAATCTGTCAGTATGCTTAATATAAGGTAGCCCTTAAGTCCTTATTAAGGATCTTATTATGGATTTTGCATAAAAATTCAGGATTCATTGATAGAATTATCTATGCCAACTCAAAACTTGGACAAGAAATTTTTCAGTCAAAGTTCTGTCCAGTCAATGCCTCTCTATACTACTAATTGTATGTCGTGGAATCCAATTGAACGAGAAATTCCACAATCTTCGTCCAAGGATGCAAGCTTTAAAGTGGAATTTATGCCACAAGTTCATCACGATGCAAAGCATTTAGGACTTCAACTGCTACCAGACCAGGGATCATCATCCACAACACAAACAATTAGCCAATCTCAAGATCGATGCAATTCATCAGAATCTGGTATATATACTCCTGGTATTATGATCTTAGTCTAATACTCCAGTGCACATTTTTTCGGGTTATCAGACTTTTGGTACATATGATACATGCTTCGTAGTCATATGCTTACCATTATAGCAATCTCTGTTCCCCTTGTTTTCTTTTACTTACTTCTCTTGTGCTTCTTGCCCTTGAACCCAGGTGAAGATGAAATATGCGGCAAGGGTGTTGAAGGGCAAATGAAGCCAGTTTATTTGCTGAATAATCTAGATCTCATGTCAAATCCTTCTCAAGTTGGTTACGGAAATTTAATGGTAGGTGGAGCTGTTATACTCAGGGATTAACTTGTTAGGTGGTTGTTAATTATGCTTCTCCCTCCTTTCAGGGTCGTGTACCATATCCTTATGCCGATCCTTACTTCAGTGGGTTCTTGGCTGCATATGGACCACAGGCTATGGTATGTTTTGTTGACTACATTGTTTTTCTTTGCTATAGATCTGTAGTTACAATTCTGCCCCTACTCAGTTATATTATATCTAGAAGTAAATGCATAAAAGTTGACATCTCTAATTTGCAAAAAGGTGTTGGGGTATATTCTTTGACAGTATTGTGTCAAAGAGAATGTGGCCAATTATTTATTTTTAACGCTGTCCGGATTGTACCAGATTGTACTTATTATATTTTTCTTCTTCTTCTTTTTGTGGTTGTTGATTGAAAATTAACTGAATTCAGCCCCAGATGATCGCACCTACCCGAGTTCCATTGCCTCTTGATCTGGCAGAAGATGGACCCATCTATGTCAATGCGAAACAGTACCATGGCATCCTCAGAAGGAGACAGTCTCGTGCAAAACTAGAGGCTCAAAACAAACTTCTCAAAGCTCGAAAGGTGTGTTAAGTGTTCATCCATTTCAACTCTTTTCCTGCATTGGGTAATATGTGGAGAAATTTTTTCTTAGTTTTGGATGCATTGCTAGTATATTTCATCATGTCAAAGAAAGAGATTGCGTAATGAAATGATACTTCATCCATCAAAACCAGAGCTCTCCCTTTCTAAATTTATTATCCTTTAGAATGAATAGAGCCTTAACCCACGTTTGTTGTGGCTTTTAAATGAATGCAGCCGTACCTCCATGAGTCTCGCCATCTTCATGCCCTGAACAGGGTAAGGGGCTCTGGTGGACGTTTTCTCAGCACAAAGAGGCTCCAACAATCTGATCAGAACCCCTCCAGTAGCACCCATGATGTTCCGGACTCCGTCAACTTACATCAGAAAGATACACAGGACACAGAAAGTCATCACTTGGGAAGCAGTGAATTCGTCACTGCTGTTGCAACCCACTCAGACATAGCAAGTGTTTCCCATACCAATGATATCTTTCGGCAGCAGGATCACAGGTTCTCAGGCATCCCTTCCCACATGGGTGGAGCCATGCAATTCCGCGGGGGGCTTATGCGTGCTGGAACCCAGCATTATGCTTCAGTTGTCCGGTGAGAGAGGAGCACGAACAAGACTGTCTCACCGGTTTGGCAAATCATCCTTGGCTTTACCACTCTAGAGTCTAGACTCTACCTTTTATGCATCTAATGGAAATGGCATTCGAAGACACATTACAGCCGTAAGGTCTATAGTATGTATTAAATATTATCCTAATCCTTTACTTGTTAACATTGATGAACGGGATTGTGTTTTGGTGATACCCTTCTTATTACGAAAAGTTTGGTTATTATTAGATTCCAATATTCTCATTCCTATGAGCAGTCCTTTGCATTCTTGCGGGTAATTCCTTGCATAAGATTGGATCTTGAAACAGAAGGAAATTTGGGCCGTAATATCTATATATATGCTTGTAGCTAGTCTGATCAGAAGTTTATGCTTGCAGTTTGTCTGATCAGAAGTTTATGCTTGTTTGAATGACAATGTTTTCAGGGTTCAATGTTGAAACTCAGGTTCAAGGCCATGGATGTGGACTTGCGCTACTTCCAATGAAGCCTTCTTATGATCCCGTCATCTTTTCACTTCAAAAGAGAGTAGTTTTTCCCAAGTTGGAATTCTCCTTCCTATTCATAAACATTAAAAAAAAAGGTCATAAATAGTTATATTACCACGGATGTATGGGATATGAATAATAGTATTGGAAATGGCGTTTTTGTATTCACTTGACGAGTAATACAATGAGCAATACAAACAGAGTTGATGATAGAATAATACAATGAGCAGTAGAAACAGAGTTGATGATGCTAACTAGAGTAAGTAGATGCGTGATTGAATACAAAATCAATTAGAGTTAATACAAAGTCAACATTAAAATAAATTAGGAAGGGAAGCTTTGATTGATTCTGAGGATTAAAATAAATTAGGAAGGGAAGCTTTGATTGATTCTGAGGAGTTTACGATGGAGTTGTTGGAAGAGCCTTATAGCATTGACTGGTGGTTCCCTTATATGGGATGGGACAAGAACTTTGTTACTAGTTATGGTCCCCATTACAGTTCCACAGTAGTTATAAATTTCCAAGGGAAAGGAACCATCAAATACATGGAAGCCTAGGTCTACATCATAGTGTAAATTCCATTATTTTCTTTTGATTTATGGGAGGTGGTGGATGCGAGAATAGTTACTCTACCACTAAACTTATACATCTCCACATATACTTTATGAAGAGTAATGCTATACATGTTCGCATTTTAAGAGTAGCAATTAGGATATTATTTTCATGATATGATTTTAATTAGGAATATTTTAGGAAACTTTTGTTTTTTTAATTTTATTTTCTAACGAGAGGTTTTTTTTTAAAAAAATTAAATTTATTTTAGATTTAAAAAGATAAGGAGTAATTGTGTTCCATAAAAATAGGATTTATTATCTTATTTTTATTTTTATTATGAATTTACCATATTATCTTCATTTAATTAATAATTTTAATTCTTAATGTTTGCATTAACAAATGGTATTTTCTGATATTTTGAATGTTTCACAATTCTCTGTCTTTTGCTTTATATATATATATATATATATATATTAGCTTTTCTAATTTCTTCAAGTGTAGAGTTTCTCTTGTATAAAAGGCATGCGTTGGAGCATCTTGAAACAATTATCTTATTTTTAATAAAATATCATTGAGGTTTTTCTCAATAAAATATCATTGAGGTTTTGCCCAATCAAATATCATTGAGGTTTTACAATTTATGGCTAGTTGGTTAGTGGATTCTAGCGTGTTATTTGTAGGATTATTGTTTGATTTTTGTATTCCCTTATATCTCGACGCGTCAACGTCTCTATTAGAAAGTAAGTTCTTCATTAGAGATGTGATACACATTATAAAATAAAATATCATACTCTACCAATCTAGACTACGTGATACATTCTCGATGTTCTATAAAATATTAACAAAATATCGACCATGTACGATATATCATGATACTGTAGGTTGGTAACAGTGTGAAATTTTTTTTCCCCTCTAAAATGTTTTTACCTTATGATGCAAACCTATACCAGTGACTTCCAGGTGGGACCGCGGGACTAAGTCCGAAGCAGGAAGAACAGAAAATATAACCAATTGACAGGGCCCCACCCTAACCTTATTAAAAAATTGAATAACTGTAAAAATAAAATAAAATCCCAATGTTCCATTAGATAAAATTCCAGAATTTAGAAATTAAATTCTCACGACATTTCCATTTCCACTTTCTGCTTTTCCAGCAAGTTGGAGACGGAAATTAGAGGAACCCAAAGCCAAGCCCAGCAAGAGCAAAGCTTCACACAAAGCAAAAACCATGGTGACGTACGTGAGCGCGCTGCTGTACGGTGTTGGAGGTCTGGTTGTGGCGGGCATGGCATTGCTTGTGGCCCTCCAGGAGAAGCTCGTCTACGTGCCCGTCTTGCCGGGTCTCACCAAGTCCTACCCGATAACCCCGGCCCGGCTCCGGCTCACCTACGAGGACGTCTGGCTCCGATCCTCCGACGGCGTTCGGCTTCACGCTTGGTTCATCAAGCTCTTACCCGACTGCCGAGGTCCGATCCGGTTCTTTACCCGATTCGTTTTATCTGTTTTGCTTGATTTGGGTTAGCTTGAATTTTGCTGAATTGGGTGGCTTTAGGTTTCCCTGAGGCAATTAGGGTTTGGTTGGTTGTTGGAATTGCTGCAATTACTGACCGCAGCCAGCTAATTGTGTTTGTTTAGCATAGTTTAGAACAAATGCATGCGTTGCACAGTAATTATTATTCGTTTCGCATTTAATTCGTCTCGAATTATAAGTAGTTAGGAACTTTAGTTGAAAATTAATCTGTTGCTTTGGGTTTGGGATGCTTTTGAAATTTTGGCATGTTCTTTCCGCGCTTAGAAAGTTGTTTCTCTTGCTTTGCAGGTCCAACCCTTTTGTTTTTCCAAGAAAATGCTGGAAGTATCCTATTTTTCAGAACTTCGTTGATATTACTATAATTTGGAACATTAGCATTACATTGTTTTTGTGATTTTTGCTTTCTGGTTTACCTGTAATTATCATGAACTTAGTGGGGGAGCCCTATATGCTTTATTGGCCTTGACTATTGACCTTCAGATATTGCGCATCGCCTTGAAATGGTCCGCATAATGATACAAAGGTTGCAATGCAATGTGTTTATGCTTTCATATCGAGGGTATGTGCCCGCTATGTTTCTATCTAGTGGCTTTGTGGCATATCAGCAGCTTAATTTGGGTAAACCTATCTATATTGATTTATTGAATGCAAATGGTCATTGATATAAACAGTTATGGAGCAAGCGAAGGATATCCTTCTCAGCATGGGATTACAAAAGATGCTCAAGTATGCTTTTCGGTTACAGATGTATTAAAATTCCACTCTACTTATTATATGTCAGCTCTGTAACTCTGTTAGTATACGTTTCTTTCTTTCTGTTAGGTTGCGTTGGATCATCTTTATCAGAGGACTGACATTGACACATCTAGAATAGTAGTCTTTGGAAGGTCACTTGGTGGCGCAGTTGGAACTGTGGTTACTAAAAATAACCCTGATAAGGTATCACTCCAATAATCTTCTGTAACTTAATGTTTTCCCACTTATTACAAGAGCGAAAAAGAAGGGCTGTTTAGGTGAATAGAGAGTTGTTTCCCCCACTTAAAAATTTAAAGCTGTCTTGTTGATTTCTTTCTGCTTCTCTGGCAACTTATTTCATATGTGGTTCCAGCGTGTTGTAATTTTTTTAAAACCAATTTTGAGTCTTACCAATACTGGAAAATTTTCCACTGTTTAATGTCCTTGAATAGTATATTTGGAGTTGGTAAGCTGAGGTGGTTTTGCTTTGTTTATGGATTGCAGGTAGCTGCACTGATAGTAGAAAACACTTTCACATCTATTTTGGACATGGCTGGAGTTTTACTGCCTTTCTTGAAGTGGTTTATCGGAGGCAGTAGTTCAAAAGGTCCTAAAGTACTTAATTTCCTTGTACGTTCTCCTTGGAGTACAATTGATGTCATTGGCGAGGTAAGCTTACTTGGTGGTAGAATATCTTGATTCACCCAGCACATAGACACGTGAAGAAGTGAAATAATATGCAAGATATGTATTGGTCACCTTTTCAATTTTCAGTATCTTCCAGTTTTCTTATATGAATGCACCAGTCCATTCTTGATCCAGTGCAGAATATCTGGATGGAAAAAAGTATTTTAATCTAACTTTGCATCTATTCGTTAAAACTATAATGCGATGTATAAAGCGAGTTAGCAAGTGTAGAAATATGTATCATTATCGGATTTCAGAAATGTTAGTACCAATAAGACATGATTTTTAAAGATGTAAAAACTCCCTTTATAAATAGAAGTTGCAATGCCTCAAAATCAACAAAGTGCTATGACTATGAGTCACATCTCTTCTGCCACTACCTTAATGTTTTGGGGAAATTTTTTGCCGATGCTTTGTCCCTTGCCCTTGCTGATTTCACTGATCCCTCATATGTGACCATCTAAATGCAGGTTAAGCAGCCAATCCTCTTTCTCTCTGGCTTGCAAGATGAGATGATTCCCCCGTCCCATATGCAAATGCTGTATGCCAAAGCAGCTGCTCATAATAGGCGATGTGTTTTTGCGGAATTTCCTACTGGCATGCATATGGATACTTGGCTCGCTGGTGGTGATCATTATTGGAGAACGATCCAGGAGTTTCTTCAACAACATGTTCAAGAGAAAAAAGATGATGAATCATCTAACAATGATATTGGTAAGATTCTGGGTAATGAAATATTCCAAAACCTTACACAGTCAGAGGCACACACAAAAGGTAAATGAAAGAAAAGAACTACTGAAGATAATGAAACTATGTAAGAATTAAGAACAGAGTGAATACAATCATGCTGCAATCATTTTACACATACTAAACTGTGTAGCTAGGCATTAACATGGAATGAATACTGACCTACCAGATGATTTCTGGCTGAGTTCCAACTAATTGTTCTTTCCCTCCCTCGGGGCAGGGTGTATCATGTGTTTAATTCTTCTTGAACACTGTATACTTTATGTTGTTGAACCTTAAGGATGGAAGTTTTTGGTACTGTTTTTCAAACTACGTGATGTGTATTCGTTGAAACTTTTGAGGCTTTGCCTTTTGGATGGTAATTTTAGTTATCCTAGGAGTGGCTGCAAGCACCAGACTGATTACTACTCTTCCTTGCTTTTTCCTTTGCTTCTTGATTCTTAATTTTTCTTTCTCCACTCTCAGATGTGGGGGCAAAGTGATTGGATGGATTTTAGACTTCTTCAAGCATTCTGATTGGCTCCCCCTCAGGACTCAACACAATTTGTACCTTTTTTTCTGAAGCTGCAGCAATTGAAAGCTCTCTGTGAGGAGTGACTCTGCCAAGGCCGGCTGCACCCGTTGAGGTTTTTCCCATTGAAGATTTTTTGGTGGTTTTTACGAACTTGACGATGCAGACAAAAATGTGAATGCCTTGGATAGACTATATGACTTCTGACATACACGCGTTATGCTTAATCTCGTTCTGACTGACCCCCATTGTATGAAATAAGAAGTCACTGAAGATGCAACTATATATATATATATATGTTGAGTTGGTGCTCCAGGATTGTTTGTATTGTATCGCTCAACTATGGCGCTTTAGGACCAATCTTGCTTTCAAAATAGTTAGTTTGACATTCCAAGTTGCCCATTTTATTTCCTTTTGTTTAGGGTCAAATAATTTTTTACCTTTTACTGCGTAGTAATCACTACAGTAAGACATACATTATTATTATTATTATTATTTTATGAAGAAAATACATTATTTTGAGTCTTGCTAGAGCAATGAGTTTTATGTGCTTTGTTGAACCTAGTTTCAGAAGGTTTGGGCTGCCTGATAATAAAAAAATGTTTTGGAAGATAGAGGTCACAACAATCGTTGAGATTTTTCTTCTTCATGACACGTTTATGGCCAATAAGAGGTCTGGTCCTCCAGATACACGTGGGACCCACTGAAGCCGTCGTCAAATCCCCATCCTCGGATCATATCCGACGGCTGGAAACACAAAAGGAAAAAAACTGTATTTTTATTTGCAGTGGACCACTCTGCATTCTAGTCCACAGCGCAAATCAGCGTTCAGCGACCCATCGTTGACTTTGTTCCAGCCCTACCTCATTTTACGACTTCAGCCAATTCCTCTACGCCACATCATCATAAAAAACATTCACACTTCACACACCTTCTAAAAAAGAAAAATAAAATAAGAGTAATGTTACACTTATCAGATTATTATCTCATATTTCTATATCACATGATGTGACATGTCCATATTATATGTCATATTAATTAAATGAATGAAGTATATTTTAATAAATAAAATTAGAAAAACAGAAACTAGTATTTTACATAATGTGGTATGTATATATCAGCCGACACATCATATGGTATAAAAAATGTGTTAAGACTAGTATTATAAAATTCGCTCTTAATTATATTAATTTTAATTTTATTTATTTAAGTAGTTGTTTTGGTTGGTTTTGATTTCCCTCCTTTTAAAAACGTGTTTCCCCCAATCTTTTCCTTCTCTCTCTCTTGTGCTATTGAGAACGTTGGGATCTCAGGCTTCTCCTCTTTCTGAACCGTCGCTTCTGCATAAACAAGTAATTAAATACCATTTGGATTGGAAGTCAACCTATTTACGATTCTACCCCTCACCTCCTTCATTCTTCAGTCTCTTCTTTTCTTTTTTCTAAAGCTTAATTAGCTCTCAGGACCGGACTGTGTGTACGGACATGGAAGGAAGAGGCGGAGGAGCAGGAGCAGGAGCGCCGTACAGCCCACGCACTGTGGATGAGGTTTTCAGAGACTTCAAGGGCCGCCGAGCCGGCATGATCAAGGCTCTTTCCACTGGTCTCTCTCTCTCTCACTCTTTTTTTCTTCTCTGTTTTATTTTTAAATTTGAAAAATTTTCAGTTATTTCTTTTGACTTTGTGGCTTTATTTAGGGCTTTGTTCCAATTTCCTATTATTTCTGCACTTTTTAAATGTTTTTCATTTTGCTAACTTTGTTTCTGTTTTTTTTGGGTGCAGATGTTGAAGATTTTTACGAGCAATGCGATCCTGGTTAGGGTTCTCTGTGTTTGTGTTTTCTCAATTTCGTGTTCAATTGCTGTTTCTCCGTTTTTGAGATTTTACTATTTACTATTTATTATTTTCTTTTTTTTTGGCTCTAACTGAGATAGCCCTTCCTGCAACTTGGGGTCCAAATGTTGTTCAAACACTAAAATAATATTGCTTTCTAACTACGTGTGTGCAGAATATTAGCTCTTTTTCTAGTTTTAAAGCTTGAACCTTTATTTTCCCCCTTCCTTTTTTAAATGCATAGACACCCTGCTGGCTTGCCATTAGCTTGTTCCCTTTGATGTTTGTTTTTGGTCTTGCGCATTTTTATGGGATGCTTATTATTTGTTGTGCTGAACTGAATGCATTGTTTTATTGCATCAACTGCGTGCAAGTACCAGCTTCTTAATTCCTGTGGATTTCCATATTCGAATGAGAGTATTAATTTCGTCATCCTTTTTCAAAATCCTACCTTCCAGGGCCATGCGACTCTTTTCTTGGATCTCTAGTTAGGCTTTGATGCATTTGATTGGTCAGCAATCCTACCTTTACTGAATTATGTAACTGCTAAACAGATCTTTCAGTTCACTTTTTCTTGTTGTAGTCATCAGAACTGGAAGATCCTTGTGTGGGTTGGATATAATGTACTTCAAGCTATACTGCGTGATAATTTAGCTTCAGTAAACGGGCTGATGAAGTATATGCTATATCATTGACCTTTTATCAAAATTTGATGTTGGAATTATACACTATACTACTTGTTTGTGGGTCAGTGTTTGTAATACTAAAACTATAATTCCTGTGTAACTTTGCCATTGGAAGTTGTTGTTATGCTTTTGCATTGTTATTTACTTATACTGTAAATTGTTTGTAATATTTTAAAAGTCTGGAATTTTGTATACTCTGGAATCCTTATGGTAGGAACTGATGCTTATTGTGTTTAACTAATTGATCAATGGGTCAATGCTTCAGAGAAAGAAAACCTTTGTTTGTATGGATTCCCAAACGAAGAATGGGAAGTTAATCTACCTGCTGAGGAAGTTCCTCCTGAACTTCCGGAACCTGCTTTGGGCATCAACTTTGCAAGAGATGGGATGCAAGAAAAGGATTTTTTATCTCTGGTAGCTGTTCACAGCGATGCATGGCTACTTTCAGTGGCTTTCTATTTTGGTGCCAGATTCGGTTTTGATAAGGCTGACAGGTATGCACACCTCCTTTCTTGCTGCTACGTGATGCTTTCATTTAGATTTGCACAACAATAAGGTTGTCTAGATGTTGCAGTAACAAGTCAGAATGAAATCGTAAAACAATAATTATGCACTAAAATGAATTTTAGATGAAGAATTTTAGGTAGTGGATATTTGCCTTTGTTGTACCTGTGATGCAGGATAACATTGATGAAATATTTGGTTGAGTGTCATCTCAGTAGCAATGGCCAAAGGTGCAGAAAGTGATTTTTGACATGTATTAGGATGCCTAAACATGGCATGGATTCATTTCTGGGATGAGGGTAGGATTGAGCTTCAATCTAGATAGCTCGATCAATCGGTATCAGGTCAAACCTGTTGTTTAAAAATCAACATGTGCATCTGAACAGATTCTGGATCTGAGGGGATTGCCCCTCCAACGATTAGAATTTAGAATACATCACCTAAAATGGTTCAGTGCAAATTTTGATGCAGGAAACGTCTCTTCGCTCTGATGAATGATCTACCAACAATATTTGAGGTTGTGACGGGCAGTGCAAAGAAACAATCAAAGGAGAAGTCATCAGTTACAACAAATCAAAGCATCCATAGGCCTAAGTCAAGCTCTAAAGGGGTAAAGTGAATTTGTGTTTTGCAGTCTTATGGATTTGCTTAATCATTTAGGAAAACGAGTTAATTGGTGACTTTTATTATGTGAGTGTGCTTTTATTACTCTCTCTCAATAGATAATACGATATAAAAGCATATAAGAAAATATCCTAGTGTAATACAATATGAGTGGAATTGGAATTCGTGTGTGTCCATTTGCGTGAGTGGAACTTGAATTTGTTTGTGTATTGCCTGGCATTTAAATGTCATTTATTATTCATGTAAGTATTATTTTGTGCTAGGCTTATCTTAATGGTATGCTTCCTTAACTACATGTTTCTGCTACCAATTCTTAATCCGAGAACAGCGAGGCTCTGATTCAAGCAAACAGTCGAAAGTGATGCCAAAGGATGAAGACGAGGGAATGGATGAGGAAGATGATGATGACCACAGCGATACTCTGTGTGGTGCATGCGGGGAGAACTATGCTTCCGATGAATTCTGGATTTGTTGCGACATATGTGAGAAGTGGTTTCATGGAAAGTGTGTGAAGATCACTCCTGCCAGAGCTGAGCACATCAAGCACTACAAGTGCCCCTCGTGCAGCAACAAGAGAGTGCGGCCTTGATCGTAGTACAAGGTGTAATTATGTCGAGTTGGATAGAGCTAACTATTTAGTTAAGTTTTCTGCTCATGAGCCATGGTGACGTAGCCTTTCCACTTAGTACTTTGTTCTTGGTGATCTTGCTGTTTGGATGATATTAATGTTTCCTAATGTGAACTTGCGCTTTATGATTTGACTTTTTCATACATTTATTCTGTCAAATGTGGAAGCCCCTAAATTATTCTGTCTAATTTCGAAATCTTATGTTTGTTATTTGTTCCATTTTGACCAGATTAATGATGAAAATGTGTGTGACAGCATAGAATGTGCGTTACAACTAAGGCAACAATTCCTGAAATTTGTTGGGTATATTATACCGGAATTACTATATTACCATATTTCCAATAAATTAACTTGACTCTTAGTTAATATTTCGGGTCATGTAAATACTCTTTTCACATCGCATGTCATCGTTACAATATTGATGTACGAGTTTTCACTTGAAAACCACCATACACCATCAAAAGTAATTAAAGAGTGTTTTCATCGTTTAAAAAGAGGGAGAATGTTTTCATCAAATGAAGAGTTTGTCTTATAAATTAAAGGTGACAGACAATTTCACAATTGTAGTTTGATTTTATTGCAATTTAAGGACATATTCAAATATCCGTCCAATTTCTTGACAGTATATCTTACATGGAGGGGTATTTTGGATGGAAATGTATGGAAATTTTGCTTATGGGATTTTTTATGAGATGTTGCCATGTATTGTCGATCCATCTTCCATAATTTTGTCTTCTATTTAAGAGTTTTTGTTTTTGTTGGTCTAGTTATGTTTTATTTTGAGAAAATAAAATCATTAATATATAAGTAAAATCAACATGTTCATATTGAAAAATCTTTATAGATGATGTAAAGTGGATTGAATACAAAAACCTATGGTTTATAAGAAAGGACCAATTAGCAAGTGATTATATATAATTTATTTTAGATTTTCTATTCGTGTTTATTAATGAGCAAGGGTCCCAACAAAAACGTTTGACTGAAGCAATGCATTCTCTTCTCTAATAAAAAATATTAATCTGGTTTTGGACTTTGGTTGGCTGGGTCAACTTCTGCTGGCAAAATTCTTCTTCGTTTTGAGTATTGGCTTTCACAGTACCAGATTTTATCACGGCTCCATCTCCGTGGCTCTCAAGCGCTCAAGCGAAGAGACTTTTCAAGCAAACCCAGAGGAGAGGAGAAAACAGAGCGAAGAAGATGGAGAAGAAGCTTTTGGACGCGGCCATGGAAGGAAACATAGCGATGCTTAAAGATTTAATCCAACAAGATCCACTTGTTCTTGATAGAAGTTTAGTATCCTGCGTCTCCGAGACCCCACTTCACATAGCTTCAATGTTGGGCCATCTGGGTTTCGTCAAGGAGCTACTGAGTCATAAGCCCGAGTTGGCCTCCGAGCTGGACTCGAGGGGCTCGACTCCTCTCCACTTGGCGGCGGCCAAAGGGCACGCGGAGATCGTAAAGGAGCTGGCTTTGGTGGATCCCGCGGCATGCATGGTGAGGAACGAAGATGGGTGGGCGGCCCTCCACGTGGCAGCCGTCAAGGGGCGTGTTAAGGTGCTGGGTGAGTTGGCCCGAGTCAGGACTGACTCCACTCTGGCGTTGACGGACCGGGGCGAGACTGTGCTGCACTTGTGCGTTGGGCATAATCGGTTGGAGGGGTTGAAGGCTTTGGCTGAGGCTTTTGGAAAAGATGATGAGTTTCTGAATTGGAAGGACGTCGATGGGAACACCATTTTGCATATTGCTGTGGCCAAGAAGCAAATTGAGGTATGCAGCTTCTAAGTTTCTTTCTATCAATTAGCTGAGCTCAATGAATTTTAGTTAGTCTAGACTTTCACATAGATGGATATAAAGTTTCTTCTATCAATAAGTTCATCAATGGTTTTTAGTTATTGTAGCTTTATGTTTTGAAGTTTAAGACTTTGGCTATTTATGAAATTTTTGGGATTTGAGGATAAGGGAAAATAGCATGTTAAATTCAGTGGTAAAAGAAAATATGTTTGGGTATGGAGATGAAATGGGAGTGGGTTGTTTTCTGTTTTGTTAATTGCCATTTCTGATTTTCCTTTACAAACCTGAGGCCCCAAATAGAACCCATATCAGAAACATTATACATGTACCACTTTGAAACTGCTGATTCTAATAACTTCTAGAAGTTGGTTCATTATGTAAATGGGTTAATACTACTAAAATCTCTTAAAAGGGATTGAGTTGCATATTTCATTCAAAATGGTGTTTTGAATTTGTACAGATCATTAAGTTCTTGCTTACCAGTACCGGAGTGAATGTGAATGCGTTGAATGCCAACAGCTTTACGGCTTTGGACATTCTGATGCAGAGTCCTAGAGATTTGAGGGATGTGGAGATTGAGGATTCTCTTCGAAGTGTAGGGGCTAAAAGTGCAAAGGATGTACGTCCCATTGTGCATGACTGGGTTCGAGTTCCAACAAAAGAACGCCAGATAGCAAGACGTCTAGGCTCAGTACTATCCTCTAAAGAGGGTGATTCTATGAAACCGGCTGCCCAACAGAAGCCTAGCGATTGGCTTGGGAGGAAGAGAAGTTCATTGATGGTGGTGGCATCTCTCCTTGCAACCGTAGCCTTCCAAGCTGGTTTAACCCCGCCAGGAGGTGTTTGGCAGGATGACCTGAAAGTAGATGAGAATGGCAACCCTGTGGCAAAACCTCATTCCGTAGGAACTTCTGTCATGGCATATAACCTGCCAAAAGAGTATGGTCTGTTCATGATTTTTAACACAACCGCTTTCCTCACATCCCTAAGCATAATTCTTCTGCTTGTTAGCGGGCTACCAATAAAGCGTCGAAGGTGGATGTGGATACAAATGGTCATAATGTGGGTTGCCATCACTACACTAGTAGTAACTTTCTTCATCTCTCTCCGTCACATGTCACCTGATGACATAAATGTGCAAGGCACGCTGCGTGAGGTAACGTCGATATCAGTTTTGACATGGTTGACTTTGATGGTGGTTGTTTTCGTAGGGAATTGTATTCGTATGAATTTATGGGTTCTCAGAAAGTACGGTTATATTAAGCCAAAAGAGGAATCAGCCACCATTGATGATGAACTTGAAGAGGGGGAGAACTGAGGATTAAAGTGAAAAGAACTCTCACTTTTATATGGCCTGACAACACAGAACTTGTCATTGCAGTCATGTAGATGTGATTGTCAAGCTAGAAAGTTTTGGTCCACAACCTTGTCAAGTATGAGATTGGACATTTGAAGGTCTGTTTTTTAGCAGCACATTTGAATGAAGATATTGTAGTCAACCCCTTTCTTATCTGATTGTTTGGGTTTGAGGATTAAACTCACCATTCTTGTATATCTATTCCTCTGTTAATGATTATGTGGAGGGCATTCTTTAATGAAACGATAGTCGTTGGATAGTTGTCGGCTTGGTTAGTGTATGGTGGGTTTGCAACTTTCTCCTCGGAAGCATATATCTTTTGATGGTGGAGGGTCTTTCATTGGTGAAGACTAACAAGAAGAAAATGATTTTTTTGGACATGTTGGGGGTTTTGGCTATCTTTTTCTTATGGAATGTTTGGTTGGAAAAGGAATAAGAGGTTGCTTGGAGCTCAAGAGGAGGAGCAGGTGGAGCTAGTTTGTTTGGTGTATAAAAAAAACATATGTTTCTTTATTGGGAGTTTCACTAAAACACCTAAAATGGGAGTTGAAATTATAAAAAAACCCAACACCCAAAACACTTTATAAACACACTCAAAACTCATCATTACACACACTCAAAACCTATTTATAAACACACCCAAAAAATATACAATTGTTGATTTTGGATGTGTTTCTATGTTTAAATAGTGTTTGGGTTTTTTTTATAAATACATGTCTAGGATTGGGTTTATTTATAAATTTGTATTCTTGCTTTTATTGTTGCAAGATTAAGCTAAATATGAAAGCATCAAAATTGAGAAGCATGACAAGGGGTTATAGTTCTATAAATTATGCGGTTTTGTACACAAGCACTTGATCAGATAAAATAAAGAGGAAAAAAGAATCCAAGTCAAATAATTCCATTCATCATTTCATCTACTTATCTGTTCTCATTGTGCGCCATTCATTTTGGAAAGGAAGGTGTCAATCCAAGTCAATACCAAATATGGAAGCTTCCAAGCTTCCAGGGGTCTCTTCTCTAATAAAATATTAATCAAGTTTTGGACTTTGGTTAGCTTGGTCAACTTCTGTTGGCCAAATTCTTCTTCTTTTTCACTATTGGCTTTCACAATACCAGATCCAACGTTTTATCACGGCTCCATCTCCATGGCTCTCAAACTCTGAAGCTAAGCGACTTTTCAAGCAAACCCAGAGGAGAAAGCAGAGCGAAGAAGATGGAGAAAAAGCTTTTAGATGCGGCCATGGAGGGAAACATAACGATGCTTAAAGATTTAATCCAAGAAGACCCACTTGTCCTTGATAGAGCTTTAGCTTCCTGCGTCTCAGAGACCCCACTTCACATAGCTTCAATGTTGGGCCATCTGGGTTTCGTCAAGGAGCTACTGAGTCACAGGCCCGAGTTGGCCTCCGAGTTGGACTCGAGGGGCTCGACGCCTCTCCACCTGGCGGCAGCCAAAGGGCACGCGGAGATTGTAAAGGAGCTAGCTTTGGTGGATCCTGCTGCATGCATGGTGAGGAACGAAGATGGGTGGACGGCGCTCCACGTGGCAGCCGTCAAGGGGCGTGTTAAGGTGCTGAGTGAGTTGGCCCGAGTCAGGACTGAGTCGACTCGGGCGTTGACGGACCGAGGCGAGATGGTGCTGCACTTGTGCGTTGGGCACAATCGGTTGGAGGGGTTGAAGGCTTTGGCTGAGGCTTTTGGAAAAGATGATGAGTTTCTGAATTGGAAGGACTTCGATGGGAACACCATTTTGCATATTGCTGTGGCCAAGAAGCAAGTTGAGGTATGCTGATTTTAATTTTCTATCATAAGCTGAGCTCAATGATTTTTAGTTAGTCTAGAGTTTCACAGAGATGGATATAAAGTTTCTACCATTAAGCTCATGAATGGTTTTTAGTTAATGTAGCTGTATGTTTTGAAGTTTAAGACTTTGGCTATTTATGAAATTTGGGTATGGAGATGAAATGGGATTGGGTTGTGTTCTTTTTTGTTAATTGCCATTTCTGATTTTGCTTTACAAACTTCAAGGCCTCAACTAGAACCCATTTCAGAAACATTAAACATGTAGCACTTAGAAACTACTGATTTTAATAACTTCTAGAAGTTGGCTCATGCTGTACATGGGTTAATACTGCCTTTTTTCTGCTGAACATTTGATAAATACTACTAAACATCTCTTAAAATGGATTGAGTTTGTATGCTTAGTCGCACTTTTTCATTACAAAAGGGTGTTTTGAAATTGTTCAGATCATCAAGTTCTTGCTTACCAGTACTGGAGTGAATGTGAATGCGTTGAATGCCAACAGCTCTACGGCTTTGGACATTCTCATGCAGAGTCTTAGAGATTTGAGGGATATGGAGATTGAGGATTCTCTTCGAAGTGTAGGGGCTAAAAGTGCAAAGGATGTACAACCCATCATGCATGACTGGGTTCGTGTTCCAACAAAAGAACACCAGATATCAAGACGTCTAGGCTCAGCAGCACTATCTTCTAAAGAGGGCGATTCTATGAAACCGGCTGCACAGAAGAAGCCTAGTGATTGGCTTGGCAGGAAGAGAAGTTCATTGATGGTGGTGGCATCTCTCCTTGCAACTGTTGCCTTCCAATCTGCTCTAACCCCGCCAGGAGGTGTTTGGCAGGATGACCTGAAAGTAGATGACAAAGGCAACCCTGTGGATAAACCTCACTCCGTAGGAACAGCTGTCATGGCATATAACCAGCCAAAAGAGTATGGTCTGTTCATGATTTTTAATACAATCGCTTTCCTCACGTCACTGAGCATAATTCTTCTGCTTGTTAGCGGGCTACCGATAAAGCGTCGAAGGTGGGTTTGGATACAAATGGTCATAATGTGGGTTGCCATCAGTACACTAGTAATAACTTACTTCATCTCTCTCCGTCAAATGTCACCTGATGCCTCAAATGTGAAAAAAATGTTGCGCGAGGTAACGGAGAAATCAGTTTTGACATGGTTGTGTTTGATGGTGGTTGTTTTTGTTGGCAATTGTGTTCGTATGAATTTATGGGTTCTCAGAAAGTATGGTTATATTAAGCCAAAAGAGGAATCAGCCACCATTGATGATGAACTTGAAGAGGAGAACTGAGGATTAAAGTGAATGGAACTCTCACTTTTTTATGGCTTGGCAACACAGAACTTATAATTGCAATTTTCTGGATGTGAGTGTCAAGCTAGAAAGTTTTGGTTCACAGCCTTGTCAAGTATGAGATTGGACATTTGAAGGTATGTTTTTTAGCAGCACATTTGGATGAAGATATTGTAGTCGAGCCCTTTCTTATCTGATTGTTTGGGTTTGAGGGTTAAACTCACCATTCGTGTACATCTATATTCCTCTGTTAAAGTCTTCGGTCCTCATCTCTGAGATGGCAATGCTTTTATGTGTATGTGCTTTTATCTTCCGTACTCGTAAATTTTGAGAGAAATATACTTCATTCTGATTGATTCAGTTGGCATGATAAGATGCCACCGATAAAGTCCGCTCTGTTAATGATTCTGTGAAGGTATTCTTTAATGAAACTGTAGTCATTGGCTCGGTTGGTGTGTGGTGGGTTTGCAACTTTGTCCTGGGAAGCATATATCTTTTGATGGTTGGGGTTTTGGCTATCTTATGGACTGTTTGATTGGAAAGGAAACTTGTGTTTAGGATGGAGGATGTCAACAGGATTTAGATGTACAACTCCTTTTCTTCTTCTTCCTTGTAATATTTTTCTGTTTAATTATTGAAGCACATGCTTAAACACCTGTTTAGGGAATATCTGCTTAAAAGCTCACATTATACAGCCAACTTTTCCTCCCTTTTACTTCTTTCAAGTAACAATACAATAGCATGCAGATCGGTGAATTTTTTTTGTACTCTAAATTCTTATTTTCGGCGGGTTTATACAAATTCAAGTTAATACCTAATGACACAGAAAAATCAAAGATAATGAAGAAAAATTATTCATTTCCTCTTTTTAAAAAACCCGATCACTGCACACTGAAAACAGCATTGAAAAGCTTCCAAAATTTCTACAAGGTCCAGAACAGCTATTGCACACGCAAATACCCCCTCTGGCGGCTGTGAATGAAACACAATCCCTTCACATTACAATGCTTGCAAGCAGACTTACACAACATGAGGATTTACAACACAGAAATTATGAGGAAGCAGCACCTTTTCTATTTTATCTCATGCTGCCTATCGGTTGACTATGTTTTAAGTGACTACAAGATATAACCTCACAAACACAACCATCAACCTTGTATGGTTCCAGGGAACACCCTGTTTGTATGGATTCCATTGACAACCCAGCTGATTGATGATGAGGCTGAAAGCATTGCCCAATTCAGAATTCACCGTGAGCTCCACCATTTCACAGAAAAATGTAAAAAATCCACTCAGCACAATCTAATCATCTCATTCGGAAAAATAACATTGGGGTTTCTTATATGTGGATTTAGTGCTGCCAATTCCTTCCATTTTTCTCCAGTTCCATGAACGCGAGACGAAATGCTCCACAAGGTATCACCCGGCTGAACCTTTGTTGTTGCTGGAGCAGAAGATTTAGGAGCAGCTTTTGACTTCATAAATGGATGCTTATTGTTTTTCCCCATTCCATTAGCAAGCAACCAACGGGAACCAGACTGTTTCTGACTCGCAGTACCCCATGGCTTCTTTTTGTCTGGTTCAGTTTTCAGACCTGCAACATGGACTTCAGTGATTCTAAATTGAGGAACAGCTTCCACTTCAGAAGATTTCTCATCTTTCCTCTCCTCCTCTATTTTTTCTTTCCCAACTGACTCCGACTCATCATCCTCTTCATTACTGCACCTTAGTTCTGAAACCGTGCTGTATATTTTTGGCTTCGGTGGGAGGAACACTCTCTCTACTTGAACAAGAGAAAGCATTGGTGCCCCAACAGGCTCATAGTTTCGTAGTGGATCTCGAAGTTGCACCATCAATGCTACTGTGAAATTGTTCCCCAATAAACCACACTTTCTGCTAGCTCCTTTTCCACGCCTTCTCTCTCCCTTCGACCCTCCACGAATCATGTCCAAAGAGTTCGCGTGATGAGCCGCAAGGATTTTAGAAGTCCGCTCACTAATATGATCTTCATCATCAATTTCGCCGGAATCAAGTTTCAACCATTCATCAAGAGTTAATGAGAGGCCCATTAGTCCGTCAACATCATTACCACTGTCTTTTATGTCTAGCAATTGCAATCCAGCAGCTCCCTCCAAACCAAGAGATTCACCAACGTTAACACCCTTGCCCTGGAGAGCTGCGATTTCCGCAACAGACTGTGCATTGATATTTGAAGGTGCATCTGCATCTGACATCCCAGATTGTATTCTCAACCCCTCAATTGAAAGTGCTTCAATTTTATCCATGGCTAAAGGAGCAAGATCTTCTAGAGAAACATATTCTAAGCCCATCTCATTGCCTGCTGCACTTGAATTAAACTTATTAGACTTGGGCCCAGATAAAATTCCTTTAGCTCTTGTTACCCCATCTGATGTATCTTGCCCAACTGATTCATGTTGCATCAAGCATTCCCTGCAAACAATAAGGAATGGCATACAAAAAGAATTAATATTCACCAAAGATGTAAAGGAAATATTGAACTTCTGACTTCACAATTCAGTGCTAAAACAGGACGTACAAACCTCTGACTCTGAGGTCCTTCCAAGGCAGGCACAGCTTCCCATGCTACTTGTTCCATTGTCTTTCCAGTGATATCTTCCAAGGGCATTAACTTGTTTGCCTGCATTGAAAGCTTCTCAATTCCTACTGATGCCAAATGCTGCAATATCTCAATTACCCCAGAACCCATTTCTGCCGGTACCACAACTGGACTGGAAACCTGCATGATCAAGTTCCCACCACTTTTGGTATTGCTGAAAAGTGAAGGATTCATGGACCGCAAAAACCCTCCATTCTTTGTCTGAAGAAAAGGACCTAACCCTTCTCCAAGAGGAGGCAAATCAAGTGGTTCTTCAGCAGGCAAATCTATTGGACTTCCAAAACTAGCAGAACTTTTTGGTGGAGAATGTTGAAAGGCCATCTCATTCAAGCCCCACTCACGCATTAAGGATTCCGTCTCCAAGTCCTCTAACATTTTGGCCTTTTCTTTACTCCTTACTTCCTGAGTTGCTATCTGATGTTCTTCCTCTGCAGCTTGAATCACAGATGAAAGTTCAAAACTATCAGATAAGTTCTCCCAACCAGACTCAGTTGAACCCGCGTAGCCACATTCTGCTTGGTCACCATTTCCTATGTCCTCAAAATCAAATAAAGAACAACCTCCAGCAAGGGCTTCCTGCTCAAATTGTCTTAGCAGACGCTCTCTTGGAGACTCGGGATCACTCTCAGAACTCAAGGAAAATGGACTATGCTCCATCCCTAGCATGCTCAAGAACTCATTTGCAACAGATTCTGTAACCTCATCCAAGCTATGCGACCTCCCCATCATTTTCGTTAGATTACCTTCCACGCAACTTCTTTTGTCTTCAGGTGATTCTAGTGCTGCTCTCTCCAGATCTGACACAATATCTAAAGCTGACTCTAGTTCTTTCATGAGTGATTCTTTAGTGCATAAGTCATCTTCTCTGGAAGTGAACTCACATACCACAAGGTCATCTGTACAACTACCTTTTTCCTCAACCTGGGATTCAAGCTTAGTTTCACCTTCAACTGCTACCTGTACACTGCTGGTGGTTTCAGAAAAATGGGTTTCGGCTGGAGAAGCATCAGCAGCGTGTGTAATAACTTCTGATTCTTTCAGTTCATTAGCTGGTAATTCTATGCCCTGTTCAACTACAGAAAAATCATTTTCACACCCATTTTCTACTTTTTGACCAGAATCAGGTGAAGGGAAGGGATTTGTTTTCATTGCTTCAAGATGCTCTGTGCACACATCAAGTTCAGGCTTGTAATCAACTGGAGTATCTGACTTCTCTTCTTCATCAAATTTCTGATAAAGTGTATTCACCGAACTGGAAAGTTCCGACCTTGATATAGGCAAAACCTCATGAAGATCCTTTATGTCCTCTACGGATTGAGATGAGGCCCGTGACCGTTGTTTAGGAAGAGTTCCAGCACGCCTTATACTGCTCCTGCTATCAACCTGGCCATATTTCATGCCTGCTGTTGTTGCCATACTCGAGTTATTCTGCCTCGAAGTCAACACCTCAGGAACATTCTGGCTATTTTCTGTTGCACTGGGATTATCCCCCAGCACTGTATACCCAAAACTAACATTCAATGAACCACCTTTAGCCTTTCCTGATAATCTAAAACTCGTTGTCCAGTTCCCTGAGCTTTTCTCCTCCCCTAACTCCTCCAATGTCAGAGGAAGCAACCTGGTGAGATCAATCCTATGCTTCCCCAGATCAAGTTCTGGTGCACCAAACACAGAAGCATATAGCAAAAAATGCTTTGCCTCATACTTTGCTGAATGGTGGGGTCCACTCCTACTACCATATACTGAGCACGTGTGGGTCAACTTCTCTTCAAATTTGGCCGTGCCTTGAACAACCTTCACTGGATTAGTAACGAAAATTCCATCCCGCCTCTTCCAATGTACACAAAGACTAATTTCATTCAAAGCGGAGGGCAACCCTTCAATGGAATGGACTTGAAGAGAGAAGCAGCAGTTAAACCTACGGTTTCGGATATGGGAAAAAGCCTTCAAGGGCTTCCAATTCCAAAAGGACCTCTTCTCTTTAGCTAACAAGTTCTCACCAACAGATTTAGGCTTTGATTTTAGATCAGGTACGCGGGACTTTCCTATAGATCCTGAAGGGTTACTTCCCGCAGGAATTGAACTCCTAGAGGGGTTTTTATCTACGTATAAGGCTTTGCTTATAGTCTCAATCTCATTCAACAATTTCCCATTACCTGAATCACCACCCCTCTTCCTTCCACCGTCCAAGTTTGACAGCATCTTCTACTGTTTTCCACACAAATTATAAAATTCAAAGTGAAAAACAAACAATCAGATTAAGCAAAACCTAATTCTACAAAGTCACCCAAAAGGACAATTCTTGACAATTCAAATTCATTGGCTTAAGCTCTTTTCTCACATAAAATGCAAAATCTATAAAATTGAATTGAATTTTTTTAAAATTAATCAGAAGTGAAACGCGAATTACCGAATGGAGCTGGCTGGGCAAAAAAAGCTCGCTGGTGAATCAGAACCAAAACCCTAATTACAAGATCCAAGGCATAGACTTTCGCAGCTGGAAATTCAAAGTTGAAATTTTGGAAGTAAACGGATTTTAAATTAAAGAGGGAGGAGGGAACGAAATCCAAAATCTTACAGAAAGAGAGAGTTTCGGAGCTTTCTGAGCAGCGTTTATGTCGCCAAAACTCGCTGTCAGTCTCTCTCTCTCTGGTTTTCTGTGTTTGAATTGCCGCTGCCTCTTTCAAACCAAAAATATGACAAATTTGAAAACAAGAAAAGAACAAAAACAAAAACAGAAACAAAAACAAAAAGAGTATGTAATTTACCAGATAGCCTGTAATTCATTGTATTTATTTGTTTGCCCTACATTTTATGTATCCTTGTAATCTAGTCCTTTTCTTTTTTTTTCTTTGTTTCTTTGTGGTTCGATTGAAAAAATAATTGGTGTATACATTATAATTAGCTGATTAAGAACGAGTTAAAATTTGAGCATAGATAGTAATTTTTAGAAATATAAATAAATAAATAAACTTGACACCATCATTCATATGTCATAAAATTGTGAATTAGAATGAGTAAAAATTGTTTACACCATAATCAACCGAATATATCCAGCCTCAAAACGACTAGCACCAAGGCAGACACGCCTTCTCTCTTGTCGAAGGAAGACACTCTTTTAAGGTGTCAGACACCTGCCGAAGCTCCCGACTGCTGAAGCTCTTAATTGCCGAACTTAATCTCCAAGACACGTGTCATCACTACAACAACTTGCACAAAGTCCCATATCGAAACTTTGTGCAAACGACCCACTTTCATTTCCCTATAAATAGGGAACATTACCCAAGTAAAAAGGGTAACTATTTTCTCACATTTACTATTACTCTGCCAAATTTACCACTCATAGCTGACTTAAGTATCGGAGAACCTTCTGCCGGCACCACACCGATATCCGAAGCTTGACGACTGCTTCTACTACTTTGTTTTATGTATGCTCTTCCCTTACCGAAGGTCCTCACCTTCTCCCTTGCTGAAAACTATCCACTTCTCTCTAAGTTGACCCCTAAAAAAGAGCATCAACAAAAATTATTATTATTGTAATAAGTGTTGTTAGAACAAGTTCTCATTGGTCAGTGATGGTAACTTAGTTAGTTGAGTCCTTCCATCTCCACTCATGTGGACAGAGATTCGAACTTCCTATACATCAAATGAATTTTTATATAGACCCCTTCCACCAATCGCTTGTACTATAAAAAAAAAATTCCCATTCATATATACATATAGAAGGTTATGAATTTTTCAACCCGCCAGACCTAGTTTTGGTTAATTGTGCTTAAATTTCCCCAACTACCTAATAAAGTTTTCTTTAAGATGAATGGGGTACCCAAAAGAACTTGTGGGCACTAGTGTAATTAGCCAAAGATAAATAATTTGTCTTTGTGTGTGAAAAAAGGGTTGCATTTGCATGAAGAAGGGGAAACTAGGCTTTCATTAGCTTTTTTCTTCCTTAAGATATACTTTGCTTCCATAACCATTCACATGGTTTGGCTAACTATCTCAAGAAAATGAAGAAGCCAGGTGTATATGTAGCATGTCTAAAATGTCTATATTTCGAGGGGTGTATTCAATTGAGATTTTAAAAGATTATTTAGGGATAAAAAAGTCTAGTATATTTAACAAGAACATAATGACTTATATGATTTTATTTATGGATTTATATAATAAAGATTTTTTACTTAAGGATTTTAAAGATTTCTATAATAGGATTTATAAGATTTGAAAGGACCACATTGATTTTTTTTGGGTTCGACATAAGAATTTTTTAGAAGAAATAGACCCGTAAAAATTAAAAGCTATTATTTCATTGTTTGTATGTCTTTCTCAATACAAAAATAAGTAAGAAATAATATTATTTCATCAACTTCCAAACTCTTGCTGCCCCGTACCAGCATCCCACGCTTAGCATACAGGTTTGCCAATTGCACAACCACACTCTAGCTCCAATTGCACAGGTTTGCCATGCTATCTGCAGCCTCAATGCCAATCCACACGCTTCCATGAACCTTACAATTACATGAACCTTACAGGATGAAATGCTGCGACGTAAGGCTGTGCTGGGCATATATCCTTGCAATCATGGAGTTCCAAGTTACATTATCTTTGCCATACACATTTTTGAATATGTAAAGCGCATCTTTGACATCCCCAAGATACATTATCTTTGCCTTCCAAGATACATTACTTAGTTGTAGTTCTTTCATTAAGTAGATTTTGGCTCTGGTGACTTTTCAGGGTCCACTTTACTTAAATTTATGAAGGCCATTCTTGATTATGAAACAACTTACCAATAACTTTACAGTGCTCTAAAAGATTTCTTAGTTGACTTCAACTTTTATGGCTTAGTTTGTGACTGTCAGTAATGACTTGTTTATTGAGATGACAACCCTATCACTTGCTGGCAGAGAGCACTTTTGCCATGCCCAAGAGCTACACTGCCTGTGCAAGCACTCAGAATACTTGCATACGTAAAATCATTTGGTTTTGAAGAATGCCTTATCTCACTAAAAAGCTGCACACACACATCAACCTGCCACTCTTGTGCAAACCCTGAAATAATGGATGTCCATGACACCACATTTCTCACAGGCATTTCATCAAACGCCCTATAGGCAGTCTGTAACTCACTGCATCTACCATAAAACTTACCAAAGATCTTCCAATATACACATTGGCAACAAACCCACTTCTTATTGGTCAATTATAGAATCAGAGGAAAAAAAAACAGAAAAACTCTCTATGTGCCCCTCCATGTCTTCTATCTCGTCAGCCCACCGCCCCACTGCCCCACCACAGAAAAATCAGAGAACAAAGTTGAGATTTTTATTTGTGAATTGGGGGGTTGAAGGTGATGGAGAATTCACAAGATTTTATTATGCAACAGAAAGGGAGATGGGGATGGAAGGAAGGTCGTTGCCTACACCCAACAACAAGTAGCTCTAGGTATTAATGGTTTGGTCGTTAGGGACAGTGCACAACTGCTTGGGCGGAGGTCAAGGTGAGGAAGGAATTAATAATAAAAAAAGTCTCATGTGAAAATCTGATGAGTTAAGGTGGGATTTGAGATAGAGTTTGGTATTTATACCTCTCACTGAAAAATCTCACATATTCCGCATTTTAAAAAAATCCTTCAAAATGAGCAAGTTTTTGAATACCATCAGACTTTTTGTTACTTGTTTAAAGTCTTATTGAATACCACCAGATTTGGTAACCCTCTTTAAAAAGTCTTAATAATCTTAGGGCCAGTTTGGCATTACTGAGCTGTGAAAATAATCGCTGTCAGATTTGCTGTGAGAGAAAGCAGTTTGACGTTTAGTAAAATTTTTATTAAAAGTGTTGTTGGTATTGATTTTACGCATAATTAGAAATTGATTGTCGCATAATCATTAAACCTAGCGCCTCTTAGAAATTGATTCCTGCATAATCAAAAAATGAAAGTACATCATTAGCTGCTTTTCCTTATAGCTTTCTCTCACAGCAATTTTTAACAATAAGTGATTTTCTCACCGTTTACCAAACGGGTTGGGCTTCTCAAAAATTTTAAAAAATCACTTATCACCCTAAATAAGCAATGCCAAACTGGCACTTAATGGAATACCACAAGACTTTTTAGATTATTTAAAAGTCTTAATTGAATACCACAAGACTTATTTATCCAAAAATAGTCTTTTAAAAGTATTTTACTTCTGTTCTGTGTTCTTGCTGGTTCTGCCAGCTGTGTTGTATTTGCTTCCCGTTTTGGACTTTTTTAATACAACAATCTCTTTCAGACAAAAAAAAAAGGACTTATTTATCCCAAAATAGTCTTTTAAAATCTCAATTGAATACATCCCCCTTCATGTCCATTCAAGGCATAAGATGGATATGTTGTTTAATTTAAAGGAAGAATAGATACTATCTATAAGAGGTTGCGTACAAAAATATATAGGCCTATACTTATGTGAGTCTTATAAATAATGTGAAAACTTTCAAAATCCTTTCGGATATTCCCAGCAGTCCATAGAGAATAACATCACAAGAGCTATATAGCATCTCTATTTTGAAAACAACTTATTCCCACTAAATTCTGGAACTTAGGGCATTAGATGCTGAAATTATTTTATTGTCGTAATATTCTAGTTCTCTCTCTCTCTCTCTCTCTCTCTCCAAAATCAAATTGAAAGAGCAAGCTTACAAGCAGTAGCTGACATGCACACATTACTATTGTGTATTATTAGAATTCAAATTAAATATCCTGAGATGAGAAGAACACACACCAAGCTCAACAAGACGAGACAACAATGACCCACTCCCTCCAACTCACAAATTTTAAAAATGACGCGCCAACGCATCTGTTTATCTCATTCATTCATTATTATGCAATTGCATACGTGAGAAGAGAACCATGTGGCAAATAATAATACTTCAAGCCCTCCCCCTACCCCTCAAATCAAATCCATGTAAATATGCTTGACTATTTAAAGCTCACGATCTTTGACCATCTAAAGACTTCTTCATGGTGTTTTTTATTTTAAAAAAAAAAAAAAAAAAAAAAAAAAAAAAAAAAAAAAAACATGCATGACATGTATCACCATTTATAACCACAACGATTGACAATTACTCACGTGTACATATTCAAATATCAACAATTAATACGCACTCATATATGCATGCATGTGCGACTAACCTTATCATCACTCGACCCATTGAATAGCCTAGCTCATGTG